ACGAATTTTGGGCTGAGGCTGTAAATACGTCCGTCTATTTACGTCATCGAAGTCCTACAACATCAGTAAAGGATATGACTCCACACGAATGTCTATATGGAAGAAAACCGGATGTAGCTAATCTACGAGTATTTGGTTGTGTGAGCTATGTACATATTCCAGAGAACCAGCGTAAGAAGTTAGATCCAAAATCCTGGAAATTACTTTTTGTGGGATACCCTGACGGAACAAAGGGGTACAAGTTTTATGACCCTATTGGATTGAAATTCATCCGTAGCCGTGATGCAATGTTTGTGGAAACACAGTTCCATGACTTTGGTGAAGACAAAAGACCATTGACTGCATTTGATCAAAAGAAAGAGCAAAATGTTCCGCTGATTATCAAAGAAACCCCAACGCAAGGAGGTAAAGATTTTGATTTGAATCCAATTATCGAAAACGTCAACATGGATGCAGAAATCAACGATAACGAGCCAGTGGGAGTAACGTACGAGGAGAGATTTATGAATGAAGTACAAAACATTGGTGAAAGGAGACAAAGAAGACCTCCCCAAAGGTTTGATGAAGAATGCTACATCGCCAATGATTTAACTGCGGAAATCAACGAACCAGCAAACATCAACGAAGCCTATTCTGGAGAACATGGACATGACTGGAGAAAAGCAACCGACTCCGAATTTCATTCACTTATCGAGAACGATACTTGGGAACTTGTCCCATTACCAGATAATAGGAATATTGTTGGAAGCCGATGGGTTTTCAAGGTGAAGAGAGACGAAAATGGAGAAATACAGAGATATAAAGCTCGCCTAGTTGCACAAGGCTATTCACAAGCTGAAGGTGTCGACTACCATGAAGTATTTTCACCCGTCAAACGAAATACAACTGTTCGATCGTTGTTAGCTTTAGCGAATGCAAAAGACTGGGAAGTTCACCAAATGAACGTCAAAACAGCGTTTTTACAAGGAACTTTGAATGAAGAAATTTATATGCGACAACCTGAAGGTTATATTAGTAAGAAGCATCCTGACTATGTCTGCAAATTGAGAAAAAGCATCTATGGTTTAAAACAGTCAGCCAGATGTTGGAACAACGCCATCGACTCATACCTGAAATCAAAAGGATACAATCAAATGAGCTGTGATCCATGTCTGTACGTGAAATCTATTAAACAGCAAGATGGAAATGTGAATTTCGTGATACTATCTATTCATGTTGATGATATTCTCCTATTTTCCAATTCTACGAAAATGCTGAAGGTAGAGAAGAAAGCCATTGCATCAAAGTTCAAAGTTGAAGATTTAAATGAAGTCAAACATGTCCTTGGTATGCTGATCAAACGAGACAGAAAAAGGGGAAAATTGACAATTAGTCAATCAAAATATTTGGAAGGAATCTTGAAACGATTCAACATGGAACATTGCAAACCTGTTTCAACACCGTTAGAACCTGGAAAACATTTTCAGAATCTGCCCGAAGAAGAGACCGCAACAAATATTCATGAATATCAAATACTTGTCGGATGTTTGACATACGTGACAACGGCAACTCGACCTGACTTGGCATCTGCTGTAGGTATTCTTTCAAAATTTATGTCAAAGCCAGGAAAGGAGCATTGGCAGGGAGCAAAAAGAGTGTTGAGATACCTAAAAGGCACAATCAATTATGGTCTTGTTTTTCAAAGCAAAGATTCAACATGCGAAGTGGTTGGATATTCAGATGCTGATTGGGCAAGTGATGTAAATACAAGAAGATCTACATCAGGATACGTGTTCCAGATAAACGAGTGCACCGTCAGCTGAAGCAGCAAGCGACAATCTTGTGTTGCAAGATCTTCGACTGAAGCTGAGTATGTTGCACTAAGTTATGCAACACAAGAAATCATATGGTTACGACGTTTACTAGCGAATATTGGAATAAATCAAGATCAACCATCTATACTGAACGAAGATAACCAAGGGGCAATTGAACTTTCGAGGAATCCACGATTTCACAATCGCACTAAACATATTGACGTTGCGTATCATTTTGTTAGAGAAAAGGTCAACGATAATTCCATTGAATGTTTTATGCAGTGCGGTGTTTGAAATTAAATGAAGATATGATCTTCGCACTTTGCTGGACAATTTAAGCAATCGTCTCAGGAACCTGAAAAAATCAGGTGACTCAACGGGATTCGAACCCATGACCTCTGCGGTGCCGGTGTAGTGCTCTGACCAACTGAGCTATGAAGTCACACAGTGGTGAGCAGGTCAATATTGTTGGGCTCACGTTTTCTCGTGAAAGGAATGTCGTATGAATGTTTTATGCAGTGCGGTGTTTGAAATTAAATGAAGATATGATCTTCGCACTTTGCTGGACAATTTAAGCAATCGTCTCAGGAACCTGAAAAAATCAGGTGACTCAACGGGATTCGAACCCATGACCTCTGCGGTTCCTGAGACGATTGCTTAAATTGTCCAGCAAAGTGCGAAGATCATATCTTCATTTAATGATAATTCCATTATTGTTCAATACTGTAGTACAGATCAGATGTTAGCGGATGTTATGACGAAAAGTTTACCAAAGCAAACATTCCAAAACTTTCGAGACATGTTAGGTGTCAAAGAAATTTTAGTTTAAGAATTCGTAATTCTTAAAGAACATTTATAGTGCACATTAAGTGGGAGTGTTAGCAATATGAAGTATTATTGATTATGTAATGTTACACTATAATATTATTGCATGAAGTATTAATCTTATCTTAGCACATGTTATGTTATACGGGAAGCCATGAACTATTTTTTCTATTAATTACATTTCTATTCTATGTATTCCTGATTTCTGATTATAATGAATCACTCAAATATCAACATTCTGAACAAGTGGTATGTTTTGCTGCCGTAAAATGGCATATACAACCACAAATACAACCATCCGACTGGTGCAGCTTAACCCTCTAGGGGCCACGGTTGCTCCTGAGCAACATTGAATATATTACCCTGTCTTTGTTCTTACATACAAAATTTTCCCATTCCAAGCCAATGTTGCTGCTGAACAACATCCAAAACTTGTCACCAGCCCTAAAAAATGGTGCTCGGCTAAATACTACGGATTCTATATGTCGTCAAAATGGCTGCATCAACAAGTCAGTGTGAGAGTGTGTGTAAGGTAAGAAAATTTCATCTAGTTCTCTTTTATGTGTAAATTTTATGGGAATTTTATACATAGCAAAGAATGATAAATATCTAAAAATTATTGAGACATATTGAAACTCAGGATGTACTGTAACATACTTGTAGAAACGATCGTGACATAAATGTGCCAGACTGGAAAGTATGTCTTGCGCAACCTAGATCTAGCTTGCGCAATTTCGGGAGAAATGCGCGTCCTGACGCGCAGATTTTAAAAAATTTCTTGTTCGCTGCGCATTTGTGAAATTTGCCGCGCAGCGCGAGAAATTATTGCGCAATATCAGCACATGTGCGCTGCAGCGCTGTTGTTTCCGTTGAAAAATATTGTTGCCTGTTGAATGTCAATCTTACAAGCTGTTTTGACAGGCAAGTTCCGTTAATTGGTTGGTAAGCCAATAAGCGTTTGATGACTAGAAATATGATATCTGAGCAGATTAACTACACATTCTTTGCTTTCGTTTTTCGAGCTTTCTCTTTTTAAGTGACTTCAAGGCAAACCATATCGATTCTTCGGTGTATTCTACGGTGATACGTGATATTTAATTAAACCAACTTGGGGTGTTCAAATTTGTAAGGTGAGTACACGTAATGGTTTAGTAAAATCAAAAGTACTGATACAAAATTACAAATGATAAAAATTCTGAAAGCATTAACGCTTCTAACACTAAACGCCCGGGAAACAAGTTATTATTTAACAGTTATGTTTTTTGTGTAACCTAAAAGTAGTGGTACGAAAGGATTTCTTGTATTACAAACTACAAAGCATGTTTTAATACATTTAAGGCAAATAAAATTCACAATCCTTACATAAAACATATTGATAAATGGAGCAATTTATAATTAAAACCGGTTTGCTAACGAACTAACAGGGCTTAGCTCGCTATTGTTTGGTGATAAAGCGAGATTTTTTGACAAACTTTTTTATCTAATTGTTTATTTATTTTTACTAGATGGCTGAGATTCAAGCAGTTAAATCAGGTAAATTCACGCGTTACAATAGCCGAAAATTTTCCTAACAACAATATACACAATATATATCAGCCATTGGTTGATTGCAGGAGCTGATTCGGTGATTCCTCGACAATATTCACTTCTCACTAAGAGTACCAAACCAACATTTGTGTGTTGCTAAAAACTAGTGCTGCTTGCCTTTGATACCAAAAAAAAACGTTCATTACATTATCTTAACTTATGTTTTCATTGTTGTTGCCTAATTACTAGTTTGCGTTTCATGCAAGAAGGAATGTGGAAGCCATTTTTGCAAAGTTTGCAAAAAAACGTGCCACGCAATTCCGCCTTGCTCAACATCAGCAGGTGATGATGAAGGTTTTGGTGCCCAGGTCTTGTGTAGTGGCTGTGCAAAAAACTGAGACAGCAGCAGTGGCTAAAAATAAGCAGCAAACACTGTCTAAGGAAGGTAACAGAGCAATTATCTAGTGTTAGAATGTTAGTCGTGTGTAAGAGTGATCGTGTTTGCGTCACAAAGAAAAGTGGCATGACATTGTCAGTGGGTTTTATAAAACAATAGTAAACAACCAAGATTGGCTATCGACACATTTGTAACCATAAAATTGTGTGTTATAGAGTTTCAGTTTGCCAACATGTTTAAAAGACATAGCAAGCAGCAGAAAACAGGACCAGAAGCAAAGCGAGCAAAGAGTGGACACGAGAAAACCCCAATGGGCTTTTGCTTACTTTGTTTTAGGCAAGGCAAACGCAAATTTTGGCTTGCTAGAGGAACAAGTCCTCTCTAGCAAACCATTTAAAACTCACAGCGACAAGGGCGAAAAGACCTTAGCAAATGACGCTATTAGAGAAGATTCCCTCTTGCTAAATCTGCGCTACAGGCGTACAAAATGCTTAAATCGGCTAGGTAAATGAAAATCAAGTTCCCAATTCCCAAATTGAGAACTGCACTTACATTGTGTATGTTTTCTATGTTAATTGTATTTTCAGTACAAGCCAAGTGCAACAAAAGTGTGGTGGCGACGGAATGGGAGAACGGATAGAAATTATGGAAGTCGATGAAAGGTAGCTAAATTGCTCATTCCCTGCGTGAACCATAAAATAACCGAATATCACAAACTGCATACATGTTATATAATACATTTCTTTTACATATACAGTGATAGCTTTTTAAAATTATGAATATTAAATTGTTTCAGAGAGCTTGGTAAGGATACGGCTGGACATGCAACTGACGAACTTTCGTGCAAAATCGTTTCTGGTGTCAGTGAATCTGAAAGTTGGGAGGAAACCGATGAAAAGATGAGAGGTTTGTTAGTGAAATACGGCATTTTTCTTGCATTATAGTATCAGATTTTACGACATTTTGTCACGATATTTTGTGAAATTTATGCCATAGTGGTTGAAAGTGTTGACTTTTTAGTTCAAGGCTTCCAATAATTCACTTGTTCGGATAAGTAATTTCTACATTACAAATTTCTTAAGTCGTTTAATATTAACGATGAAATCATTAAGTATTTCAACGTCTTCTGTTGAATTTCTTAGTACATATACTTTTCACACAGTTTGCAAAAAAATTTTAATGTTGGCTTTTTAACACTTTCATTGTTACAGCATAGAGATTGTGAGAGTTAATGCAGTAAGTAAGACGAGTAAGGCTGCCTCTATTTCAAACACCAGCCGTCTTAGCTATCAAAGCTCGCTTGGAAGTTTTCTTCCTTCAATTTTATCAAGTGAGCAAGGCGACCTGCCATTTGATGTGGACGAACTTGCGGAAAAAATTGCTACTAAGGTGGCACAAAAGTTGAGTGGTAACCCTAAATCAGCCCAATCAACAAGTTCAACAACTACATACAATCCCACATCGAGTACCGCACTTCGATCTTCCAATTTGATTGAGCTTGTGGATGAAGTGGAAGATTTTGAAATACTAAAAGAAGAGAACAGCTGGGTGCTGCAGTGTCGAACGTGTGTCGAATTTTTAAACTCTTCCCGTGTTTCCTTTTCGTCATCTTTTAATCGACCTACTGGCAAAGCAGACGGATCTTTGGCATCTGGTTTACATATGTCAGATGCCTTGTATGAACAGCTAATTGCAGGCAAGTGTGAAAAATGGTACAGCCAAAAGCAAGCGTGTCATCGACATCTTCTTTCTTTGACCCACAAAACGCTGATGACCACATGAAGATGGTAAAGCAAGGGAGGTCAAGGGAAGTACTTGTTGCAAAGAATCAACTCCGTGCAGCTCTTGTCTTGTGTTGTGAAAACAAAGTCAGCTGCAGTTCATTATGAAGCACGAATTGCTGAGCTTCAAGCTGCTGGTGCGGATGTTGGTGATTTTTGTCATTCTCGAAAATTGTTTCCAGACATGATCAAAGCAGCATGTGCTTACATCGACATGAGAGCAGCCAATTTTCTTTCTACCCCTCTTCCAAACACAGGAATGCCCCCACATTTTTATGTTACAGCTGATAAATCTACCAATCATCGCATCACTAATCAGGTTACTATCGTTTGTCCAGTTGTAAATGGTAGTCGCCAAGGCATTGTCCTTGACGCAAGGGAGTTTACAGTAACTCTGATGCAACTGGTGGTACAGGTGATGCTCTAGCTGCATCCATTTTTAAAGATCTTGACGTGCATGTTGGTATTAAGGATAATCGGCTACTGCAAGTGCAAGGGCGAGTGATGGATGGACAATACGTCAACAAGCCGTTCATTGCAGGCATGAACGAGCCTGTATTTGAACTTTTGCATGATGATCTGTCCTGCAAAGAAAGATTCTGGTGGCCTGTCCAATGGGACCCTGCCCATTGGTTAGATAAAGTATTTAGTCAGCTCAAGGACTCGCCTTTCGTTGATCGTTTGCTGAGAAGGATTGCACTTTATCATCAACTTTTTAGTCGTGGTAAAATGCACAGCGTAGCGCGTCATACTGCTAAGGACTTGAATCTTCCGTTTCGAGTAACCAACGCATTTGCACATCAGCGGTTTTTGAGCTCCAGCTATCTATCTTTAAAGAATCTTGCAGATAGTTTGGAAGTGTACATCGAGACTTTCAAGGACCACGACAATAGAGAAGAGATGGGTTACAAGTTATGTGGTCAAGACTTTGTCCATGATTTGCTTGGTGTACTCGATTTGTTGTGGCCCTTGGTCGTCCTGATGCTGCAAGCGCAGGCTGAGTGGTATCCTGGTTGGAAGTTGTGCTCTCATGTTCCTTTGGTAAAACGACAGATGCAACGTTACATCGAGGAAGTATCTAAAATTGATCCTGATGACTTTGTTTGCCCAAGATTAAGCCAGCGAGTTCATGAAATTCGAGATTACCGCTTTGGGCAAAGTGAGTTGGAAACTGGTTGGTTTGTCGTTAGAGAAGGCGACGGTAAAGTGCCAGTGGATTGGGTAGCAAGAGAAATGCAGGACAGTGTTCATGATCTAGAGAAGCTGGCTGCGGATGTCATTAGTCAGATTGATGTTCGCTACACCAATAGCTTTTCCGACCTCAACAGAATGCTATCAAAGTGTTTTGACTTTGGACGACTTTTCGTGGTTTATGCGGTTTTCGTTCGGAAGAAAAAAGTCCAGTAAACAACAGGGAGTTTTCTGAACTTGGAGCTAATGAGTTTAGACGATGTGTAAACTTTTCCTCACAGATGCCACATGTTTCTGAAAAGAATTTTGAGCTTTGTAGCGAGCTATCATCCACAGTGTTTTGGCGTCTAAAGAAAACACTCATTGCCGTTGTTTGGGGTGATATGCTACACACTCACTTCCCTAATTTTTTCAAGAAGATCTCTCTCGATGACGAAGGAATTTTTTCCTTGCAGGATGTGGTTTTCGAGGAAGGAGTCTTTGTGACTAGGTTCCAAGAAGGTACACCAAGGCAGTTCACCCTTTCTGAGGTCTTCGAAGTGACGCTCAACAATGGTAAAATGATTGACGTTCTTTTTAAAGAAGAGGCCGTTATTGAATCTTTATATAACGATTCCTCATTTTATTCAGCTGTCGGCCAAGAGTTTTGTCTCGTCTTTGACATATTTTATGCGAAATGCGGAACTGAGGCTGTTGCCGAATCTTTTTACCGGGTGGTGGATAAGCAAGAAATGGATGGTGGGCAAAGCATAAAAGTGCTAATGAATCGTGCTAAAGTTGATTGGAGTTTACCATCTGTACTTCAATGCGACGCAGCACTGAACGAAATGGCAAAACTTTACATCAATGGGGACAAGGAACGTGGTTTGTCCAGACATATGATTCCTGTTTTAGAGACCGACGAGCATGGCAAAAACACGAAGGAGAGATGTCCAAGGTTTTGCAACGCATCATAACATCACGCCCTAAGCTACCTTTCCTCTTGTAACCTTAGTCAAGCGTCAACCAGTATGCTTCGTGCAGTTATAATCAAAAAGTTTTCAATCCAAATCTGGCAGCAGATCGTAATTGTTTATCAATTGAAAAAGCTCCCTTGCTTACCATCTGCCTGCTGATTATAAACAATTATTAACTGAAAACCTTTTCTGTCCACAATCTGGCTGCTGATTATAAACAAAGATTAACTGAAAAATCTTTTTTGTCCACCACCTGGCTGCTGATTATAAACAAAGATTGACTGAAAACCTTTTTGTCCACCACCTGGCTACAGATTATGAACAAAGATTAACTGAAAAACCTTTTTTGTCCACCACCTGGCTACTGATTATAAACAATAATTAACTGAAAAACCTTTTTCGTCTAACACCTGGCTGCTGATGATAAACAATTATTAACTGAAAAACCTTTTTTGTCCACCATCTGCCTGCTGATTATAAACAATTAATTGAAAACCTTTTTGTCCACCATCTGGCTGCAGATTATAAATATTTATCAACTGAAAACCTCCCTTGCTTACCATCTACCTGCTGATTATAAACAATTATTAACTGAAAACCTTTTTGTCCACCATCTGGCTGCAGATTATAAATATTTATCAACTGAAAACCTCCCTGCTTACCATCTGCCTGCTGATTATAAACAATTAATAACTGAAAACCTTTTTGTCCACCATCTGCCTGCTGATTATAAACAATTATTAACTGAAAACCTTCTACTCCACAATCTGGCTGCTGATTATAAACAATTATTAACTGAAAACCTTTTTGTCCACCATCTGCCTGCTGATTATAAACAATTATTAACTGAAAACCTTCTACTCTACCATCTGGCTGCTGATTATAAGCAATTAGTAACTGAAAACCTTTTTGTCCACCATCTGCCTGCTGATTATAAACAGTTATTAACTGAAAACCTTCTACTCCACAATCTGGCTGCTGATTATAAACAATTATTAACTGAAAACCTTTTTGTCCACCATCTGCCTGCTGATAATAAACAATTATTAACTGAAAACCTTCTACTCCACAATCTGGCTGCTGATTATAAACAATTATTAACTGAAAACCTTTTTGTCCACCATCTGCCTGCTGATTATAAACAATTATTAACTGAAAAACCTTCTACTCCACAATCTGGCTGCTGATTATACAAAAGATGGTTCCTGATTGATTTGTTTTTTTTTGTCGACGTATTTGACGACGTCAGTAAATCAAATTTATTTGGTGCCTACCTTTTATCGTATCATACGCTGTGATGAAACGATGAAACAGATGAATGATAAACATACGTGGTACGTTGGTCGTTCGACTCGTTACATAATACCTAAGGTAAAGTGGCATTTTTTTGTGATTACACATGACACATCCTCACGTTGTAAAAGGAGAGTTGCAAGCTCCAACTTAAGGTAAGCTAAAACTATACACATGTATCATCTTTTATGTTATGTTTCATAATTATTTGCAATTGCAAACTATCAAAAATGGAGTGTGATACGGAAAAAATAAAACTGGCATCTCGCGAATATTTTATGGCTTCGCAGCGCAAAGTCGAAAATCCGCCGCGCAAAATTTCTAAAAAAAATTGATCTAGCTTGCGCAGTTTGCATACTTTCCAGTCTGGATGGTGATACAGAAAATTCAGTTTTTGAGGAAGATGGAAATATAGATTGCGAACTTCTTGTAGACCTCGTGCGAAGTTTTCCTATTCTTTGGAACACTAAACTTAAAGGATACAAAGAAACTAACAAAAAAAATCCGCATGGAATGTAGTTGCATCGCAATTAGGAGTCGAAGGTTAGTTTGGGAAAATAATTTCCCTTGTCTGACGATGTATATGTAGTTAACATCTCTCAATTTCACTAGTTGTATATTTATCTTAAGCTTGTAATATAATTGGCGTTTTTAGTGAGTATTTGTCGTGCAAAGTGGAAAAACATTCGAGATACCTACAGAAAGTGTCTTAAAAGGAGGGATCTTGCTACACGGTCAGGTGCAGGGTCTAAACGTTTACCAGAGTGCAGGTTCTTTAAAGAACTGGAATTTTTGAGTGATTCAGTATCCAACAAAACTACTATAAGTAATTTCACCTTACAAAATATTGATGATGGTAACTCAGCTGTTATGGCAACTGGAAATTCTGTATCTAGTGATACATCTGGAGAAGTGCCATCAGAAGTATCTTATTCATCACATAGAGAATCTCCCACCTCATGTAAAGAAAAACCCTCAGTACCAGTTAAAAAGAAATTTCGTGTCAAAGAGCGTGAAGACATAAGTACAGCACTAGACTTACAGTTGTTAAACCATTTAAAGCGACAGGGAGAAACTGGTGGAAATACACCACAATCTGATAATGAATTTTTTTGCAGAAGTCTTGTACGTACTCTTGATCGCCTAGATAACAAAGCAAATCAGATGGCCAAAGCAAAAATCCAACAGCTATTGTTTGATGTGGAGTTTGCAAACAATTAATATATCAACAATAACTAAAGGACTACTCATAGCAATATTAAGAAACTGTCAAAAACAATTATTTTCTGATAAGTTTATTGTTTGTAATTCTTGTTTTTTGATCTTAACTTTATGTTGTTCATTAAAGTTTTAATAAGTACATTAAATGACAGTATCATCAATTCATTATTTGTTGAGCATTATAGTTTGACATTTTCTTGCTATTACTGCAGAAGCTCTTCAATAGTAATCGGTTGTTGATCAAAACTGTTAGATACGCTGTCCACTACATTCCATTGCCATGGTACCTCTCCTTGAGGTGAGTTAAAATATTCCTTAAAGCTATGTCGAACATTTTTGGCATCTCTTGAGTATGTGTTTGTGCAGCAATTACGTATATTTATTGAGTTGTTGTCAGATGCAACTTCTGCCCTCCATTGACCATTTGACTGACCATTGCTATCAGTGTAGCCATGAGGACAATATCGTGTTGCTCTTCCCTTGTTTGTATCCTCCATCAAGTAATTATGCAAAACTACTATAGCTTGTGTAATTGCAATTACCAACTCTGTTTTTGCAATAATAGGTCTTCGCAGTATGCGAAATCGTGATGCAGCAATACCGAATGTATTTTCAATGACCCGCCTAGCTCTCGAAAGTCGATAGTTAAAAATCCTTTCTGATCGTGAATTACCACCACCAGCGTAAGGCTTCATAAGATTTGGCTTCAATGGGAATGCCTCATCGCCAACCAGAACATATGGTAAAACTTTATCACTTCCCTTGAGAATTGTATTTTCTGGAAAAGACAATGAATGTTGATTTATTCCATAACCAATCATACTGTTTTCAAATATTCCCCCGTCACTAATACGACCACTATTGCCAATATAAACGAGTGTAAACTGATACTTGGCATCACATACAGCAAGCAACACAATACTATGTGTTTTTTTGTAATTAAAATATTCTGATCCACATCTGGCAGGGGCTTGCATTACAATATGTTTTCCATCGAGTGCTCCCAGACAATTTGGGAAGTTCCACATTAGTTCAAACTCCCGAGAGATTTCTTTCCATCTCTTAACTGAATTTGGTGCCGTTATATAACCCTTTGAGCTGAGGACTTGCCATAAGACTTGGCACGTTTCCATCACTATTCTGCCAATTGCTGTGGGACTTATTCGATAACTCATGGCAATAGTTTGTTGAGCATCACCCGTTACTAAATACCGCAATGTGGCACTAAGTCTTTCACTTGGTTCAATGGCCTCCCGTCTTTTAGATGATTTTGTTATATGAGGTGCAATTAATGTTAAAAGTTCCTCATACTTTTGAGGAGTCATCCTAAAGTAGGTAAAGAAATATTCGTGATCTGCCAATAACAGATCCTTGACTAAGAGGTGAAATTCGCCTTTTTGTTTACGTTTGGCAAACGTTTTTCTAACCCAAAAACGTTTTTTATACTTATGGCGACGTAAATGCCTCCGACGTCTTTGTCTTACCGCAACAAAAATAAAAAATCCCTTTCTGTGGCATTCGAAAACCAAATGCTCGCCATGTTGTTTTAAAGGGGAACTCCACCCAAAAATAATGTTGGTCTTAAAAGTTCCATTTTTATGCAAAGGTTACTATATTTTTGAAATTTTTACATCAGCTATTTTATTTTTGACAAAATCGCGTCTTCAAGTGCGCTATTTGAGCTGTTTTGAGGCTTAGCAGCGTGGGCACAGAAAGCGTCAGCGGAAATTATTTTGACGTCATATCGTCAAACCGATTTGGAGTTGAGTTTACAACAAAGTAAAATAGTAACGCACAGCCTAGCACAAAAACAAAACAATCGCTTATAATGGCTTTTTTGGAAGAACCTCGGCCTAATTCACCAATCGATAGTGAAATGGAAGACAATCCAACAAACAATATTCGGCCATATCAGTTTGAGCCCGAATGGCCGGCTGATGAACACGAAGAAGCTCACCAGTTTGAGGATAACGAAGAACAGGAATTTTTGTATATTGACGATGAATCTCGGCGCGACAATCTTGAATGGTGGGTAGTAAAATGTTATATTATTCTAGACCATTGTTTCTATCTCAAAAGTACGTTTTCAGTTTTTGAAGTTGACCACGTCCACACACACATAATACTTTAGATTTTAAAGTTTTTATTGTAAGATACAATTTTTATTGAAGTTTTGACATTTACTTTTCAAGATCCTTTCTTTTAACATATTCAGGTGTCAATGTGGTAACTGCCAAATAATGGATAATAACGAGGAATGTTTATGCTGCAAAGAGATTTCCAATATTTGTGACAAAAATTTAGAGGCAGTAGAAAGGAATGAGACCACCGAAGTCCCTTTGTGCATTACACAACATCCTGGTTTTGAGCCTGTTCGTCTTAACAGGTGGGTTTTACAAACAGCTTGGTACCAGTACAAGCAGCAATATGAGGTAGCATATGATGGGCCCGAGGACAAACTGTACCGCCATGTTGCATATAGACAGTTGGCTAGATGGTGCTGGGGTGTCTTGGGTAGAGAAGTGAGAGTCATCTTGCCATCATATGCAGTTACTCACATTAGAGAAACATTTCCTCTACCTGGCCTTGCAGAGGAATTTCAATTTGAAGGCTTTCACTATGTTGATGAATGAAGTATTTTATTATGATATAGGTATATACCCATTACAATTACTTTGTATGTCAATATTAAAGTGGCATAGCCAGCTCATTTATAGGTCATGCTATGCACATTTATTATTATTAATTTATTACAAAAAAAAACCAGATTTACAAAGAAATGATTATAAATGTGGCTTGGCTATTACACTGGTTATAATATAACTATAATTAGTTACATGAATAGTTTGTGTAATGCAGTGGTGAAACTAGCTATAGCAAAAGGTTTTGCTATGTTAATATTTAAGAATGAACATTTTTTAAGTAGTACAAAAGTTGTCTTCACTGATTCAACATCATATTATATGGGTATGGCAAAACCTATTGCCATAGCTAACATCACCACTGACATTTTATGCAAATCTAGACTGATGTTCCTTTACAAGTACTTCTTTCCTGGGTGGACATGATTTAGAAATGTTCTTTGGAAGATTCTCGCCATGATGTACAAGTTCAATCTCCTCAGTTTTGCATGCATTCACAACCTCCGCAAATAGTTTATCAATGTACTGGTACTCTTTCTTTTCTTTCATTGCTTTTACAACCCATTGCTTCTGTGTTTTAGCAAAAAACATTTTGTAACGGTCTTGCCCTTTGTTTGTCCAATGACTGCTTTATCACGTTTATTATTGTTGTTGTGATCTAATGCTGCTAACTGAGTGCGGGCTACCATCCCAGGAAATGAAAAATGCTCTCGCTTTGGGCAGGTCTTTTAGAAGCCTCTTGTCACATATCACCTTCTCTGCAGCGATATATGCTTGTGAAGTAGGAGATAACCACTTCTTCTGCTTTGTTTCTTTTTCTGTTAATTTTTGGTGGCAACATTGATGAAAATATGTGTTCCCCTTCCAGAAATGCTTGTTGGAAATGTGATTAAGGACAGACTTCCATTTTTCCACCAATTCTTCTGCATTCTTGTTACAACTTGCAGAGCACCACCAAAGATGATTAGAAATGGACTTAATCCAATGGGTCAAGTCATCATTTCCCTTAATGTTAGCCTTCTTTGTTAGTTTTTTTTGTGACAGATTTAGACAAATGCCACACATCATATTGGTGATCAATATGAGGGTGTTTGTTTTTTAACCTCTGCATCCACAGTATTCAGCATCGACAGTGTAGTTTGGACTTCCATGGCATGTAAACTCCTCACAACAAATGAACACTGTGTTGATGCATCTTTGGTTTGTGGCTTGCAATAATTAGTTGGCAATGCTTCAGAACTGTCAGACGCACCCAAATCACAACTGTTATTTGCTTCTGGCTCAACCACTGAGAAAACATTTGTACTTGTGGAGGAACATTGTTCTAAAATATTTGAAAGCTGAAAATAGAAAAAATAGAAATATTTAGAATATGCTTTAGGCTATAACTTTTTCTTGATTAAAATTTAACAAGAAATGCTTTTACTAACTTCCTCCTTGTCTTGGTCAGCCTGACGTTTCTCTGTACGATGCTCGCTAGACAGACGCTTTTTACTGGGTTGAGGGCCAAATGAAAAGATCGATGGTACTGCATCCCGCTTCAGTCGCCTTTTTAAAGGTTGCCATGGTGTAAGTTTCTGTCTTAGGTCCGATTCAAAACAATCGAGAGCAAAGTGCTCGCTGCAAACGTAACAGTGTTGGAGGAGGTAGATTTTCTCTCCGTATTCTAGCAATCCATTATTATACAATTATGTACAATAATTAGGAAACTATAAGTTCATACTTTGCGTCAAGGAAACTACAACTTAATTCTATGCACGAAAGGCTATTTTTACAATGGTTTTATGTAGGATTATTTTCTAACCGTAATGAGTTACACAACCATGTTTATTATTATTCAATGTTTATTAAGGGCAATAGATTGGTTTCACATCAGTGGAAACTGTTGTTAAGGTTGAATTCGGAGGACAAGCAAACAGCATTACGCACAGTTTCCACACAAAGAAACCTTCGTATTTTTTAAAAAATAATATTAATCGACATTCAAGTTCTATATGTAGTGCGGAAACTGTGCGTAATGGCCTTTATGGATGTGAAACCGTTCTATTAAAACAGAATACAAATAACCAGCTCAATACTTGCATGTAATCTATAAAAGTTGCTTGTGTATATACCTACGAATAAAAAATTCTGACGTTTCGAAAAGAAACATTTTGTGATTAGGAGAAGCATTTTGACGCAAGTTTATTATGACTGTGCAATGACTTTACATAAAGCTTTGAGGAGCAATTGACGATATGACGTCATACAAGCCGCTGACATATTTCTGCTCCCACGCACCGGATGCCCTAGCTGCAGCATTTCAACTCATTTTTTGTGAAAATATTGAATCAAACAAACAAAAAAATTGCCGCATATTTATTTTCACGGGACAGACAAAGTTTTAAGACCAACATTATTTTTGTGTGGAGTTCCCCTTTAAAGCAGTTGACAATGAAATTTCGCTAAGCAGTGGAGATTGAAATTTTCGCGCGGGAATTTAATTTGCTACGAAATTAATTCGCCAGCGACGAGCGAAATGGTGAGTGGAAAACAGGCTTGATAATGGTTTTGTCGCAGCATTTCGTTGAAAGTGAATGGTGCATGTTGGAATTTCGGGCTGCGTACAGGCGCGTTTTAAAAAGTCGCGTCAATTTCCTGATTATCGTACTTTTCGACGAAGTAAATGTCGACAATCTGGACGATGAACTCAAGTTGTACTTAAAGACGAACACGTACCTGAGTGTCAACAGTGAATGGTTCTGGGAGAAACTGACCTACGCTCTACCTCAAAGGAAATCAACAACAATGCAGGAAAATCACGTGAACGTCAACCTGAGCATGGACGATGACCAGGTGTAGTTTGGATTACGCGAGATTCACACGGGATAGCGTTTCACCCAGTACCTGGGAGTTCGTCACGTGAACTATAATAGGTCAATGCTTTTGAGTTTGCCCGCTTCTTGTGCAGTAATTTTTGCACTTGTGCGAATGGAATGTCAAATAAAGTTCTTGGGTCGACATTCATGACGAATATCACGTCATAAATAATTCATTCATTATAAAACGAAAAATGCAAACGCGTACACACAAATGCGTTAAATCAAAGGTACGTTTGTCAGCTGATGACTCCTTTAGTTCGTCCAACTTCAATGAATGCTTCGATGCATCTCTCGATCTCTTCGGTGCTGTGAGAGGCCGAGATTTGTACTCTTATACGGGATTTACCTGGGTTGAGAACATGAGTGTAGTTAGAACATTGATAAATATAAAAAAGCATCTTATAGGTTGAAATAAACTTGGATATTTGTACGAAAAAAAGGAAAAATAGAATAAACGAAATTATTCGTTTCTTTAAACGATGGCTGTCGGTTGTCAAAAAGCTAAGACAACAAAGGTTAGTTAGCGCTAACAATGGGCTAAAATACACCTCGGGTTGAAATACTTTGTTTAGGAAAATCAAGAGATGTGGCAAAAATAACCCTCGTTCAAATTATCGAAAAAGGTCATAAGGCCGCCAAAACCTTTTCGATTGAAAAATTCGACTGATTGATCAGAGTGAAGCAACTTATCCCGGTAAAATTCCACATCTCGTAATATCCTGTAGGATCTTGGATACGGCTAAATTTTAGATTTCTCACTTCACAGGATCCTTTACACGATCCTGTTAAAATCCTAAGCCGGATGCCATACCGAGATGCTACAAATAGCGAGTTTGAATTTTGATACTAAGCGATAACCTGAGCAAGCAGAACCCAAACTAGATTAAGGTCGAATTTCAAACCCAGGCTGCGCAACCTCAACCCTAGTTGAAGCTTGCTTTCGAATAAGCAGTTATTGGTTAATGAAGGCAACCAATCAAAACCAACTAAAGCAGCGTTTGTTTTAAAGGTAAAATTTAAAATAAGAACAACTTATTCCTTCGATCGGTATTGCAACCATAGTCGAGGTTCGCAAATCACTCTTAGCTTGGGATCGCGTTTTCATCTTGAATATAATGCACCGACTCAACCGTACATACTCCCCCCTTCCCCCCTCCAGTGGCCTACAAAGTGGAAGGGAGGTTCAAAGATTCATATATGAATATTTTCATCCGTAGAAAACAATTGATACGGCAGAAGATGAATATATGAATATGTGCCCCCCTCCCTCCACATTTATGGAGCTTTCTACGCCGCTGCATATCCCAAATTATAAACTAGGACATATACTATCTATAACACTAACCTACGGGTACCACCGGGTATGTAAATCCGATCACGTAGATATCTCTTTCTAAAAAAAAGTTGAACACTTTTGAGTTTCAACTGCACCCAACATTCACCCATAAAGTGCACGAATCATCGTCAGAGGTCATAAATAATAGAGAGTTTTGGTTGAGGTTTGCCGTTTTGAAAAGATTTGAATTTAGCGTGAAGTTTTGCATTTGTATTTCACTATTCGCATTGTCCTGATCCAAATTTCACGTTTTGTTAAAAGTTTGTCGATAAAAAAAGACGTATTCGTGTTTTATACACACATAAAAATACAACATTGAGCCATAAACGTCACTTGAAAGTAGTTATATTGAAAGTAGTTATATTGAAAGTAGTAAAAAACTTGTCGTACATCACAAAGTACCGCAAGAAGGGCCTCTTGCCGTTTAACCGCAAATTACAACGTAACCCGCAAAGCCATGATCACGTGACTTTTGCAGTTTGCCATTAACGCCGAACTAAAACTCTCTAATATCAAAAATACCCACTTAGCATTTCATCAGCAAATTCAACGGCCAAACGTTCGTCGCCCAACATAACGGGACATAATGGATGATCTTCACCCTAAATACATGAAATGAGACCAACCACAGTTAGTGCACAGGAAGTTGACTTCTAAAATAAGAAAATATAACGCGTGCGCTGATTGGTCTTTTTATAGCGGAGTTTGCATTAACCTGTGCAAACAGATCTGAGCTCAATCAATTAAATCAATCTACGAGAATTTGCAAATCAATCATGAATACATGTTAGAGAAAAATTAAAACGTTTATTTTAAATTTATCTGTTTCGCATTATTGTTATTTTCGAAAAGAAATAAAAGATGCTTTTCGTATTCGCACTAGCATGTTGCAAATTATGTTAAAGTTGTGTTGGGTTTAATTGTACATTCGGGTACGTTGGGGACGATAAAGAACAATATAGAAAACATGAGTGGAACGGAAGTAGAGAGAGCAGAGAACGGAAGTGAGAGAAGTGAGACATGCGATACAAGAGAGACGAACGAGACAAGCGAGGGAAGCGAGATACTTTAAGAAGTAATAATAAAATTTGTTTATGAAACCAAGTTGTGATAGTGATTATTCTTCGTGTTCCGAACACATTTGGGACGGAGGTCAATTTTCGGAATAAGCATATGCAAACTTCGGAGACGTTTGTGAGAACTCTTGAGCAGGTGAAAATGAGTTAACATCACTGAAATCACAGTTTTATTTTTTAACCGAAGAGTTGTGAGCATGCAAATAGCTAAGTAAGTTAGCATATAAGACGTCAATCAAGTTTGTTACGTATATTTAGCGACATCAGGGGCAGATCTTCTCAAAAGAACTCAACCCGGCTTCACAATACCGGAGCAGACTCAGATGAGATTATACACCCCTAATTGAGTTTGAAAAAATTGAATATATTGTTCATGAAAATGTTATTGTATTAAGACATTTTCGAATGATGAACAACTCCCTGAATGAAATCCTGCATCTGCCCTTTAATAACAAATCGAATCAATGTATGTCAAGATGCCTTAATCCTAATCCGATGTATTTACGGATTCTTTCTCATCTAAGATAAATAAATCACACTTACGGCAATCGTAAAGCCTGCTTCGGTCATACCATTTCGAAATAATCGAGTATTTTCGGCAACTTTCGACGTCAAATATGTACCATCCATCAGAAGATCAAATACCTAAAATTTCAACCAAGAGGAACTCGAAATCTTGTCGACTCATTACTCATATAACACATTTGTTTCTTACTTTACTCGCGGCGCCGACGACCGGTGGTGGCAGGGTATTGGAAAAAAGATACGGACGGGACTTCTGACGTAGTAAGGAAACCAGTTGCTTGGAGCCTGTCGTGTATCCACCTGGTTGTTGAAGGAGATTATATTCACTCAACCGTAGTTTGCGAAATAGTTTCACGATAAAAGCAAATAGCATGATAAAGCAAGCGACATTTTTGCAACAGGGACAAATACCACCCACCCCACCCCCTCTCACAATGTTGCCCCCCGCAACGTTCCCGTCGCAAATAATCACGCTTGCCTAATCTCGTCCATATTTCTACCGGCAGCACCGCCGAGTGCTTTGCCAAGTGTAGAATTGATGATGTCGACACGGCCAGTCAAACTAAAGAACTCCTCCGTGCCTCTTAGGGAGAAAAAAAGTGTCAAAACATGACAAAACAGTTCGTATCGTGAGAACGATTTGAAAATGAAACGAGATGGCGATTTATCGCCGAAGGTTTAAATCGAAATCAATGTTCTGTCATGCAGATTGAGTGCACTGTGTACCTTCCAGTTTCACCAAAGAATCCCGTGGCATGACATTCGTCAATAAAGATCAAGGCGCCGTACTTATCAGCCAAGAAAGCTATCTCTCTACGGAGAATGAAGAACACAAAAAACGAACATGACATTAATTACACGATTCAGGGCTACACTCAACGGCTACATTTAATCCAATATGATTAACGCCTGAATACTAAAAGCTCGCTCACACTCTTCGAGTGCCGACAAAAATCTTGCCCCTCCCCCCGTGATCATTGATAAACTTATGTCACGATCGATTGAAAGATTTTTGCTAAAATATTTTAAATCAAACAATCGGTGGAGTGAAAACAACGTCTTCGAATAGTTACGATGTGATTTTCAAGCACCACTCAAGAGTCATAATTCAAACCTTAAAGGTGCCACATTTCCATCCATGCTAAAAACACCATCTGTTATGACGAGTTTAACTCGCGCTTCCTCGTTTTCCTTCAACACTCTTTCCAAATCTATGAAAAATCTCGTACTGAATAACGAACGTTTGGCACAGGTACACAGGATTTCCTCTATTTAGCGCCCGGTCTCATTTTGGATCTCCCTTCTTATAATCCCCAACTTAATGGGTGGCAAAACAAGAATAAACCTCCCTCTCTGTTTACCCCACAGTAAATTAAAAAACAAAATTAAGCTTTATTCATTAATCTAAGAGTTTAAATTAAATGAAGATATGATCTTCTTCATAATCTAAGAGTTTCTTCGTTTGAAACTTACGAATGAAAAAAACAAATGCTTTTTGTCAAGAATTACAGACAGAACTATAGTCGCGCGAATAGTCTTTCTTTTCTTTCTTTTTTGGAAAAACATGCACTTACCGGATAGACTATTTCAATAACTAGAAATTAGTATTGAAGCAAATGTTGCGTGAATTATAGTGTGCCCTAGCACTTTTGGGTGAAAATTTATGAAAGATATAAAAAAAAACCCAGCAGGAAGCTAAATAAAGGAAATATGGTTCATTACAATTGCATATTTTGTCTTTATACCATTCATATCCTTGTGTTTGTAACGCAGTTTTTTCGCCTTGCACAACCTCACACCATCGATTATGGAAGCATGGTTCAGCTCATCGCTGAACACCGCGTCGACTGGCTCTAATATCGACTCAAATAATCCAGCGTTCGCATCAAAACAACTTGGATACAATATCGCATCTTCTCTTCCGTGGAATTCTGCGATCTTTCTTTCAAGTTCTTTGTGAATATCCTGGTAATTAATGACTGTGCGTTGGTATAAAAAGCTGCATTGGCAGAAATCTTGCTGAGAGGGGGCTTACAGCTTCGCGAATTTTCGAAAATTTTCTTAGTTTTAATTGTGCAAAAAACTTTTTTTTCATGCCATTTGATGTTTGAAAATTCCTAGGCAAACCTCCAAAATTCCTTGAATTTTATAAAAATTCCACAAATTATCTCAATGACTTGTTTTTAAAGATTGTGTCATTGAAAATTGGGATCGAATGGGGATAGGCTAGGATATACAAGACATCAGGTAACACATAAAAACAAAGTAGATTAAAGAGAATCAGGTTTATGCAAGAATAGCATTTAACATTTTTTATGAATTTCAGTCAGAATATTCAGTTGTTTTCATGTTTGTGATATAAATTAAAATTACAAATAAATCACTGATTTTACAAAAAAAGGGGGGGTGGGCAGCTGCCCCATCATCTCATCAAGATTTCCCCCACTGGTAATAAGAATGAAAGGAGCTAGACCAGGTACATATTATTTCTCAGCATACCTGTGTGCCACATATAAATCTTACAGAACTCAGGCCTGCCCCATATCTATCTAAGGCTTCTTTCCCAGCCTGGATTACTTCAGGATGTGACTACATGTGATGAAATGGACAAATAACAATATAGCAAAGTAAGCTCCGTGTAATAAATGAAGTTTGTTGTTGATTGTGGCTCACTTAGATATTACTTACAGACAAGCCCAAATAGTTATTGGCACAAAAGTTTAAGATATTGTTTGGAGAACCCTTCACGTTTATCTCAGATCCTTGCTTAGACAAGATTATCCTCTCCTCCTTCCACGTGCCGGCATCTCTAATCTCTTCAAGACGATCTTCCAATAACTTAGTAAACTGGCTTGAAGCACCATTGAATGAACCTTTCCTTGTTTTTAAGAGCAAAAATGAAGCTTGGTGACCAACTGATAAAAGGCTTTGCCTTCTTAAACAAGCTAAGGTCAAAAGAAAAAAAAATCAATTTAATTACCATTTGCCTAAGAGCAAAATCCAGTGCTTAAAATTGTTCCATTGGTCAAATTATTATAAAAATCGCTTTCCATACAGAATACATTCCATGACTGACTAAGATTGTCTTCCAAACAATTACTTAAGTTAAAACAGTAATTTTTGGTTAAATCTAGTAATGGCCATGTCAAGTACGGTTATGGCAAATGGCATTTTGAACTACAGCTGTTGCTGTAGTTCTTTCATGTTCTTTCATGTTTCAACAACTTTCATGTTGCTTGAATTATTAGTTTGTGCATGACATTAACGTTGGTTGCAACACTGGTATAGTTCACTGGCACATAAGTAGAAATTATACTTAGCTACTTTATGTTTCCATTATCGGAAATTGGAAATATACGGACATTTATCTTTCATTAAATAACTTTCAAATAACTTTCCTCTCGACGACACTCAGTGCCTAAATTACACGACATTGACGACAACATTAACTCACTCGTGTACCAGTTGAGTAAAAATATATAATGAAATATTTATATTATCCTTGCTATTGTTGTAATTGCTTTTTCTTTGCCAACACGTGTCATTCCTGTAAATGTTATTCATTAAATGTAGCAAAGTTCAAAGAATTCGATTGAGGAAAAACACACGATGAAAACTGAAGAATTTTAGTAATTAAAGAACGATGCTAGTAAAAACTTTTATGACGGGATAAAGTACTAGTATGTAGGAAGTACAAATGTACAAATCAAACTTACCCATGTTTTGTTTAAGGTTCTTCGGAAAAGTAACATCAACACTGAAGATCGTTTGGTTAGACGGGGGACGGTAACACGTGGCCTATCTTTAGCCTCCACGATGACGACGCCACTGCTGAACAGGGGGGAGAGTAACAATATCACAGAATCAGAAAAATTGTCTTCGATGAATTGACCAATATCGATGCAAAAGTTTCTATTCAATCACTTCAGTTAGTTCAATCCATTCCCGGATTGTTCTTTCGAAAAGGTCGTTCATCTCGGACAGATGCGTCGCACCGCAGGTAAATGTTCGTTTTCGCAATGGAGTTTTTGATATCTGGTACGGGGAATCGAAGAGATGTTGGCTACAACGTTTGTCACTTTAAATTGTGTTCGTAGGGGGAGCTCATGATTATGGTGCACCACAAGCGAGGCATATGTTAGAGGAAGAAAATGACCGAATGGTCGACGACTTATCAAATAAAGTTCAGGCTTTGAAATCGGTAAGTCAATTTTATGGTAGACAACACAGTGTATGTAGTAAAATATATGAATACAGTATTACCACAGCCAAAACCAGAGAATATACGTAATATTAATCCTAACACGGTTTTTTATATGCACATGAAAAACATGTGGCTTGGATGAGATTTGAACTCGCACCTTTGGAATACTAGTCTGCAGCTCTACCTGTTGAGCTACCAATGTGTAGATGTACACAGGTAGTGTACCCTGTGGGCTTGGTAGCTCAAAAGGTAGAGCTGCAGACTAGTATCCCAAAAGTGCGAGTTCAAATCTTGTCCAAGTCACATGTTTTTCATGTGCATATAAAAACCGTGTTAGGATTAATATTATGTATATTCTCTGATAATGGCTTTGGAATAAAACCAGAGAAAAGTCACAACAAATTTACTAAACTAAATTTTACCAACAAATTGTTTTACAACAGGCTGTGATGATTATTGGTGTAGCTTAATCCTGTCGATTGTTGCTAGCCCCTCTGGAATTCGATTGATATACAATATTCCATCAATCATTTTTCTGTTTGCATATATAAATTTCTGCATGCAAGCAAATGAGAAACATATTTTCTTCATAATACAGTTGACAATCGACATTGGAAATGAAGTCAGAGCACAAAATCAAATGCTAAGGGGGATGGTAAGTTGAGAAATATTGTCTTAAAATGAAACGAAATGATGTGCAGCACTGTGGCCCAACTTGTGAATGTTATAATTTGTTTTCCACATGTGCATGGGAGCAGTTTTGAATCCAGTTGTTCAAATTAGTGTTGTTTGGATGGTTCTTAGAGCTTGCGAGAAGAAAATTTTGCCTTTGTGTAGCATGTTGGTTCAAATGCTTGTGAAATGGAATCTCTCTTCCCCAGAATATGTACTTGAAAAAGGCTTAACTTCCTATATCTTAGCAAGAAAAACCTTTGAACTATATCTATATCTGGAACATGACCTTTATTGAAACAACCATCCTAATGTTTTGATTCTGATACTTAAATATGCTGTTTTTCATTATGCAGTTAAAAGTTTAGGAGGGACAATGATAACCCTTTTCAGTGAAAAGTAGACTTCCATTATGTCGAAATGACTGTTGGTTAACAGACTAACCAACTTTTATTTGAAATGGTGTATATGGTTAAAGAGGTTTTTCCCCTAGAGGGGTAATTTACTTAGAGAAGTGTCTGCCTTAATAAGGTGTCCACATTCAAGAGGTGTCTACATTAGAGAGGTGTCTACATTAGAGAGGTGTCTACATTAGAGAAGTGTCAACATCTACATTAGAGAAGTGTCTAAATTAGAGAGGTGTCTACATTAGAGAGTTGTCTACATTAGAGAGTTGTCTACATTAGAGAGGTGTCTACATTAGAGAGGTGTCTACAAGAGAGTTGTCTACATCACAAGTTGTCTACATTAGAGGTGTGTACATTAGAGAGGTATCTACATTAGAGAGGCGTCTTCATTAGAGAGGTGTCTACATTAGAGAGGTGTCTACATTAGAGAGGTGTCTACATTAGAGAGGTGTCTACATTAGATACATCTACATTAGAGAAGTGTCTAAATTAGAGAGGTGTCTACATTAGAGAGTTGTCTACATTAGAGAGTTGTCTACATTAGAGAGGTGTCTACATTAGAGAGGTGTCTACAATAGAGAGTTGTCTACATCACAAGTTGTCTACATTAGAGGTGTGTACATTAGAGAGGTATCTACATTAGAGAGGCGTCTTCATTAGAGAGGTGTCTACATTAGAGAGGTGTCTACATTAGAGAGGTGTCTACATTAGATACATCTACATTAGAGAAGTGTCTAAATTAGAGAGGTGTCTACATTAGAGAGTTGTCTACATTAGCGAGGTGTCTACATTAGAGAAGTGTCTACATTAGAGAGGTGTCCACATTTTGAGAGGTGTCTACATTAGAGAGGTGTCTACATCACAGAGTTGTCTACATTAGAGAGTTGTCTACATTAGAGAAGTGTCTACATTAGAGAGGTGTCTACATTAGAGCGGTGTCTACATCACAAGTTGTCTACATTAGAGGTGTGTACATTAGAGAGGTATCTACATTAGAGAGGTGTCTACATTAGAGAGGTGTCTACATCACAGACTTGTCTACATTAGAGAAGTGTCCACATTAGAGAAGTGTTCACATTAGAGAGTTGTCTACATTGGAGAGGTGTCCACATCACAGAGTTGTCCACATTAGAGAGGTGTCCACATCACAGAGTTGTCTACATTAGAGAGGTGTCGCCATTAGAGAGGTGTCTACATTAGAGAGATGTCACACTAGAAAAGTTTCTGTAAAAAGAATTCAATGATTTCATATGATTAAGTCCTGCATTAGTCAGGGTTTGTCAACACATACTGTCAAATTGAAATAAATCACTGATTTAGATACGAATATCAAAAACATATCAAGCTACATTTGCAGGAAAAACTCACCAAAATTGCACAAACAAGTGTGTGCGAGTCACACGTATGTGACATCACGCCAAGTTACCGCAGATCTGGTTTCTGTCTGCGCCTTACTAAGACAAGAGACATACAAAGTTTCATGGGACGAACACGTTTCAGTAGACTACCAAATTAAATCATGATATGTTAGCATAAAATAACAACAATAAAACGCGTGCGTTGATTGGCTAAAGCTGACTTTGCATTAGCCTGTGCAAGCCGATTTGAGCTTGATTAAATCAATGGAGGAGAATTTGCAAAAGGTTTCCTCGACTTGCGTAAAACTGGTGCAAACACACTATTGACATTAAACCACTTTTGAAAAGTTGTTTTCCATTTCGTTTGGTGATTGTGGCAGAACTGCTACACCGCCTCTGAAAGGTTTAAACAGAAGTAGCATGTTTGTCTATTTCTTTAGGATGATGATTTCGACAAAACTGGATCGTTCCTGAGCGCTACGATGGGCAGACTGACAGCACTGACTAACAAAGGACATCAATGGATCATGTGTTATTTGTTACTGTTTTGTGTCTTTGTTTTTTTTGTCGTGTACTATTTAAAGAGAGGTTAGAGCAAACTTTTGTAGATATTATTTACGAATGTAAATACTCAACGAATGTGATTAGTTGAAATTGCTTAGTATTAAAGGCGTCAGTCGACCCTTAAGGACACAGTACGAGTACTATGATAGGGGAAATTTATTAAATGAATTGAAACGTCATTTTGAGATTTATTGTATACGTCACGTCGAATCATAAGTACGTCATTAGTGTCGGAATTCGTACATAACAAGAGTAACGAAATTCTAGCACTCTTCGAGAACTGCCAAGGGCATATTTTGGAAACTTAAAGGCGAGTAAAAGCTTAAAAGCTTTAATTGCATGTCAAACAACAAATTAAAACAAAAAATGGTGTCTTTTCATGTGACTGGAAAGGCCCATGTTTGTAGGCAATTTCCGTTTAAAATTCCAAAACTGAGATTATTCCCATCCAATTCTCAAAACAAAATCAGAATTCGATGACTTTCAAGCAAACCTTGTAAATTCAAGAACTTTCAACTTTCAAGGCCTTGAAGTATTTGTTTTAAATTCTAGGACATTAAAGTTTTCTAGGAATGCTGTAGAAGAGAATATTGTTTGTCGTTTCGATCAAATTTATAACGTATCTGACATTGAAAGGTCTAATTCATGTGAAAGCAAATTGATTCGCAGTGCGGTCAACATATCATACTGCCACAGATATAAGATGTGTAGACTCATAATGCGTTTAAGACTCGGGTCAGCGGTCACCATACATCATGGAAAACCGCTTTACAAGCAAAGCGCTACAAAACGTGCTGTTTTCGTGACTGTTCCTTGATAGTCACCAAACCTTCGGTGCTTTGCTTTTCCTTTCTCATTGTCCGTACATCTCCAGGGTTGAACTTAGCTAAGTCATCGGTATATGTTCTGCAGTTAAAAATATATGTGTAGTTTGTATAACTTGTGTATGATCATTACTGATATCCTAGAGATACTATGCTCTTCTTTCGCTATGACAAATAAGATAAATGATAGCGCAGACAATTCTATACGTATGTGATGAGTAGACCATATGTACACAAGAGTAGAAGAGATAATGCAAATGTTACTATAATAGCTGACGGCTTATACGCAGGTATATAAAACATTTTATCTGTTACTTTTCGCTGCCTCAGTCGCTCAATATGGTTGAAAACGCGGGCGATGCTCGTCATCCGGCTCTTTATTCGTCAAATCTCTTAAAAAGCGAGCAAGAACATTGTGAAATAATGTTTCAGACAAAAAATCCATAATAATTATACCATTCTAAAGAATCGCTCGTGTTCTTTTCTCCTTAATTCGCTCATTCGGCCGATTTCGTCCACTCTTTTTTGAAGTAAAGCTAGTGAAGAAGATTAAAGGCAAGAAATAAATCGAAAATAAGTTGAAATTACTGTAAACATTCGCTGGCGAAAACTTCGTAATAATTTACGAAAGGTTTTAACGTTAACCAAGCTATGGAGCGCAAGAGCTTAAAAGTACATATTTATGCTTACCCGAGTTCTGGTCAATCCAATGCAAAGAGTCCATATGTACGTTGAGAATTTTCGCAATTTGAACAACCTTAACAAGCACAACGAAAAATTAGCATGACCACAAAATACAAAAACACGAAGATCGCAAGTATGGTGATCGAGACAGGTGCAGGGAGGTGCGCCATAACAAAAAGGATTTGACGATCACACGGTACGGCAACAAGTAGACATGGAAATTCAATCTGAACTATGCACTCCCTTTCCCTCATACAAAACCATCGCAGATCCATCCACGGTAGATTGTACATACAGGATTGTCATCTTGATGGCTTGCATTTGTGGAGTTAAGGTAATCAATTATGTCTCTCAAATCTTGAACCATTCCTTTTAATTGACCATCGCATTTCTCTGCCATCGAGTATCTACACCGCATAAGGATAAAAGTTGCAAGAAGACACTCGACGTTTAGCAACATACAAATGCACAACAAAACACAAAAGGAGTGAAGCTTCAAAATTGGATAGCAAGCCGACAACACTATAGCTACAAAAGTTTATAAGAACGCAAGAAAACATAAACATCACTTCATAAAAAGACGCTTAACGGAAATATATAGGCAGCTATGGGCGCAAAACCGGGGGGACATGCCCCCAAATTTTTCAAATTTAAATGACCTCATATTAAGAGCACTACTATTACACCATGAGATATCCAGTTCACCCACCCCCATTAACTTTGTAAAAATAGATTTGCGCCGTCGTAGTAAGCCAATTTCGTACATCAGATAGACAACGAAAAAGACGTGTATCTGAAGTCGACAAAGATCAAAATTCCAAATTTCAAACACATAACTCATAATCATGCACGACCGGCCGTTAAACAAGAACTCACATCTTTTCGCGCTCTCTGTCGGGTTCCTGGAAGTTATCTGGACCGTGTTGTTTCACAGATTCTTCGAGAGGTTTCAATAACTCTTCTAGCTCGATTTGTTGAGAAACCAAAAAATCAAGCTCCTGATCTAATCTGTGACGGAATGAAAAACATAAAATGCGACAAATCACGTTGTAGAAAACTGACAAATATTGTACAGCATACAAGCTTTGCCGCTGCGACAACATCGCCGCTATAAATTCGCCTTATACACGGGAACCTGTATCAAGCGGTTAGCCTTGGGGATTTCCCATGTGACAGCTGAATGCAGGGTTGACTGTTGAATACAGGTCTAAAGGTTCCTATATCACGAGGTTCCTATTGTTTTTAATAAAACATCTCCAAAAACTGCACTGGACTTTCTTTTTCACATTAATGTGTGCATGCCTAGTTTCGGAGATATTGAATTTTTTGTGATGTGGAAATTAGAGAATTTATGTTGCTTTTTTTCCTAATTGACACATTCGATATTTGCAGTTAATTTAGCAAAAATAAACAATGTTGTTTTAAACGAGGTACATAGGTGACCAGTTTACATAACAATAAAAGAATTCTGAGAAAACCAAAGCTGGTTTGCAACAACCAAAGAAAACCAAAGCAACAACGAAATAGAACATGATTTTAAGATATGTAAATTAGGAAACGAAGGAACATAATTCCCTAATTTGATTATCAGGAAAAACTTCGATATCTCCAAAACTAGGCATGCAAACATAATGTGAAAAAGAAAGTCCAATACAGTTTTGGGCGATCTTTCATTTAAGACAACAACCAATTTCGCAACATGGGCACTTAAAAGAAAATAACCTTACGGTTTACATGTAATATTTAGTATATAACAAACTAATATTTAATAGGTAGTAATAAAGTAAATGGTTTGAAGCCGGGAGTATCGTTACATGTTTGTAAATGTAGATCGTCCAGGTTGGTATAGTCCTGAGAAGGACTTTTTTTGTTGTTGTTGACTGACGTTTCGACAACCTTAGCGGTAATCATCTTCAGAGTCAAATGAGGAGTAAACGTCAGGTTAGCCGTATTTGTTATCTGGTTCGTACGTCATTGTATTGTGTGTACAGGAAATGTGTATTGTCATTCTGAATTAGTGTGAAATGAAATATTTTTATTTCATTTAGTTGTGATGTGTGATTTAGGTGTGATGTTTTTAGTTGTAATGTGTGGGTGTCAATTGTGTATTGTCATTGTGAATTAGTGTGAAGTGTAATGTTTTTAGTTGATCGTTTGTTTGTATTGTGAATAAGTCGTTTGTAAGGTGCCGGTAATTGCTGTGATCTGTTCAGGGGGGTTTGTTCCAAGTTGGTATACCAACTTTCTAATGTAAGCCGTTGTCTATTGTCAGTACTGTAAGTAATGCATTTTGCCAAGTCCCAGTCAATGTTGTGCTTTGTGATTAGGTGATGTTCGGCAATGTGATTAGTTTTGTCTTGTTTCTTAGTAGCTCGTTTGTGTTCAGTAAGTCTTATGTTTAAGTTCCTGCCTGTTTCCCCGATATAGGAGGTGTGGCAGCCGGAGCAGTTTATTTTGTAAACTGCACCTTGTCGTTCGTTGGGTTGTTCTTTGTCCTTTATGTTCGTTAGTACTTGTCGTAACGTTGTGATTGGTTTATGTGCGACACGTATGTTGTATGGTCGTAAGATACGCGAGATAGTCTCGGACGTACCTTTGATGTAGGGTATCGTTGCTGTTGTCACTGAGTTGTTCGTTTCGTTGGGTTCGTTGGGTTTGTAAGTGTTGCGTTTGATAAAGTCAGAGTTATAGTTGTTTTTGTCAAAAACACGTTTGAGATAGTTGTTTTCGTTGTGTAGACCGTCCGGTGAATCACAAATGATTTGTGCACGTCTTGTTAATGTTCTGATTGTGGTGGCTTTGTGTGATGTAGGGCTTTAAGATGATTGGTCTAGTAGCCGGTCAGTATGTGTTGGCTTGCATAAACTGTTGTTCGTAGTTTTTGATTGTCATGTTTTACCAAACAGTCGAGAAAAGGAAGAGTTCCGTTTTCTTCGACATCTTTGGTAAATTGTATGTGGCTGTTCTGTTTGTTGATGTGAGTGTGAAAGTCATCAATCTCGTCTGCATGTTGTGCTGTGATTGTGTCATCTACGTAGCGAAACCAAAAAGTTAGTGCATGTTTGTAAGACGTGAGCGCCCCTTGCTCTATAGATTGCATTACAATTTCAGCAACTACAACAGAAACAGGTGAGGCCATTACTCTTCCATTTAATTGTTTGTAGTGTGTACCTTTTGTACTGGAAGTAAGTCGAGGTGAGGCAGAGCTCCAGTAGCTCCATAATGTCCCTCATAGGTAGTAATGTTCCTCAACATGCAAGATAAATGCAATATAAAGACTTCGAAAAGTTCCCAAATAAATATTTAATGTCGTATTATGTGCTGTACGTAGTAAATTTATCCGACCGTTTAGTACAGTTTCAAAACAATCAAAAACGAAGTTCGGTACGTTGAAGAAGTCGACCGCGTCCGCCCAATAATGGCGACCGTATTATATTTATATCATGATATTTTCGGGACGGTGTCTCGTGACCACTTTAACGCAGGGTGACCGCTTAATACGGTACCGCTTATAGTAGGTTCGACTGTATCATAAACTTTAGGATAGTACTATATTTTTATCATAGCTTCAATCATAAAGTTTCAAAAGTGTCATTGCTACAATTTCATGACAGGATACCTTTTTTGTTCGAGTTTAGCTTTTTCAACTTCATGATGGAGTAGTGTGATCTACAAAAGACGATGTCAAAGTTTTTTCCACGTGCAACTCGGAAGGAATAACAAAAACACTATTGCCTAACTTATAACTACTAAAGTTCACTGTTCCTACGGCACGAAACAATCTGTGAAATGATCTAAGATCAACAGAAAGAATAATACGGAAACATTTCAAACCTTTTCGCCATTTTCCATTAGTTCTCTGTCTGCCACGTTTATTTGGGCTGCTTGTTCTAAAAATCCCCTTTCCATATCTTCCAGTTCAATGTTCCACTAATTAAAAAGTGAACAATAGTTAATGAACCCATTGTATTGGTGATGCATCGAAGGAATAGTTCCAGACTTCCAGCATCTCAATGTTATCCCATACCCTCTCCCCCAATTGCAGCCCACTCCCCCATTGCAACTCCCTCCCACCTTCCCAAATTGCACCCCCCTCCCATCATTGCAACCCCCTCCTCCCCATTGCAAATGGTTTGAGCCCGGGAGTATCGTTACATGTTTGTAAATGTAGATCGTCCAGATTGGTATAGTCCTGAGAAGGACTGTTTTTGTTGTTGTTGATTGACGTTTCGACAACCTGTTGTTGATTGACGTAGTCATCTTCAGAGTCAAATGAGGAGTAAACGTCAGCTTAGCCGTATTTGTTATCTGGTTCTTACGTCATTGTATTGTGTGTACAGGAAATGTGTACAGGAAATGTGTATTGTCATTGTGAATTAGTGTGAAGTGAAATATTTTTACTTTTAGTTGTGATGTTTTTTGTTTTAATGTGTGGGTGTCAATTGTGTATTGTCATTGTGAATTAGTGTGAAGTGTAATGTTTTTTAGTTGATCGTTTGTTTGTATTGTGAATAAGTCGTTTGTAAGGTGCCGGTAATTGCTGTGATCTGTTCAGGGGGGTTTGTTCCAAGTTGGTATACCAACTTTCTAATGTGAGCCGTTGTCTATAGTCAGTACTGTAAGTAATGCATTTTGCCGAGTCCCAGTCAATGTTGTGTTTTGTGATTCGGTGATGTTCGGCAATGTGATTAGTTTTGTCTTGTTTCTTAGTAGCTCGTTTGTGTTCAGTAAGTCTTATGTTTAAGTTCCTGCCAGTTTCCCCGATATAGAAGGCGTGGCAATTGGAGCAGTTTATTATGTAAACTGCACCTTGTCTTTCCCCCCAACTGCAACCTTCCTCACCCATTGCAACTCCTTCCCCCCATTGCAAGCCTCCTCCTACCATTGCACCTTCCTCACATTCATAACAGAACATGTCTAACTTACTTTATTCACTAAATCCTCCAATTGTTTGTACGTAAATTTTTCAGAACTAAAAAATTCAAAAAAAGTTAAGTTCACGGACTTAATTGACAAAAGATGCAAAAAACACACCGTTTTTGCCATTCTTTTAATCATCCACACACTTCACTAAGACGTTCTAGGGTATTGTGGTGAATTTAAAAAGTGCGCGGAGTTTGCATAGTCTGCAGTTATCTCATAAACTCAGACGTTTTTCACAGGCACGCGTAATCTGCTTTGACAATTCTTCGAAACAGATCAGATATTTCATCCGTTTTCTCAATTGTTTTTCATCAGGAATGGGACCACAATGGTTTTGTTGAGGTAATGGAAGGGGGGTAGGGTGGGTGGTGAAATAATTTAAGGTGGCTACTTATTGCAGTAGTATGCCAGACATTTTTCGTTAAATTCTGTTAATTTTATAATATGATTGGAAGATTGTTGAAGGCGTGAGTGCTTTAATAAACATAAATCACAAGTGCTTTTCTTAATTGTTTCATACATTAGTATTTTCTAGGAAAATCAGCAACCCTCCGGTGCAACCTCCCCCTCCTGCTACATCCATTCCTTATTTTTCATACATTAATTACCTTGTATTGGCTGTTAGAGATCCAGATGTTGCTAAAAGTGAAGTAAAATAATCATAAATTAAGTAAGAATAAAACAAAAATCATCCATAGATAAAGTATTCCAATAAAATTTCCCAAATACGCGGTAAAATGCAGAGACTGAGGTCGCGGAACAACGACAGCAAAATTTTGCTCTGATTGAAGACTCGAGAGGTTTCAGGGGGGTAGGGTAGCTAACCATGTCAATGTAACGCACCTGACGTAATGGAGGACGTACTTGCCACAGACGTGGTCGCCTGAAAGCCAAACGAGGTGGACGCAGTTGTAGATCCAGATAATTTGAAGCCTTAATGAAAAAACAAGATAATTCTTAGAAAAGAACAAGACTATATCATACAACACGTTAACATTGCTAACAAAAGAACAAGATTATATCATACAACAAGTTAACATTGCTGACTAAAGAATAAGATTATATCACACAACACGTTAACATTGCTGACTAAAGAATAAGATTATATCATAGAGCACGTTAACATTGCTGACTAAAGAACAAGATTATATCATAGAACACGTTAACATTGCTAACTAAAGAACAAGATTATATCATAGAACACGTTACCATTGCCAACAAAAGAACAAGATTATATCATACAACACGTTAACATTACTAACTAAAGAAAAAGATTATATCATACAACACGTTAACATTGCTAACTAAAGAACAAGATTATATCATAGAACACGTTACCATTGCCAACAAAACAACAAGATTATATCATAGAACACGTTAACATTGCTAACTAAAGAACAAGATTATATCATAGAACACGATACCATTGCCAACAAAAGAACAAGGTTATATCATACAACACGTTAACATTGCTAACAAAAGAACAAGGTTATATCATACAACACGTTAACATTGCCAACTAAAGAACAAGATTATATCATACAACACGTTAACATTGCTAACAAAAGAACAAGGTTATATCATACAACACGTTAACATTGCTAACTAAAGAACAAGAATATATCATACAACACGTTAAAATTGACAACAAAAAAGAGCAAAATAATATGGCACAATACAAAAACATCAACAAATTGGTTTGAATGTGTTCACCTGATGTAGTTGCTGTCGTGTGAGGCAGGCTAAAGCCCAGAGATGGTTTAGTAGTCGTAGTTGCTATGACAGACGATCTTTGCCCTGACTGAGTTCCAGTCACACCGTCGCCAAACGTTCCAGTACCAATGGTGCGAGGCTGCGACAACGTTGAAGGTGAACTTGTGGAAGTGGTCGTCTTCAATTGTCCAGCGATCTGTCCGGAAAGGTTGAAACCGGTTGAACTTTGACCAAGAGGAAGATTTATGGAAGTACTTGACTTGCTAACCGTGGACGGTACACCATTTCCTGCACCAAATGAAAATCCCGAGGTTGTTTGCGATGTTGATGAAGTTACTGCATTTGAAGCCAACTGAAGGGTAGGGGCAGTGCTTTTTGCTTGCACAAAGCTTGATGCACCACCAAGTTTGAATCCCGGTGCGAGAGACGTTGCTAAGGTGGTATTGGATGTAGAACCTCCAAATGTGAAATTAGTCTGGCCAGGGGTAGGAGCGGTTGAAGATGTTGCTGACCCAAATGACAGCCCTTGTTTGCCTGTTCCAACATAGCTTTCACTCGCACCAAACTTCAGTCCAGAATTGGTTGACTGAGTAGACGAAAAAGACAGCGCAGATGATGTACTTGTCTGTAATCCCAACCAGCCAGGTTTGGATGCTTGCCCTGAAGAACCAAATAAAGGTGTGGATGATGTGGTTGTCTGTGAGGCTAACCCACCAGGTTGGGTTGGTTGCCCAGAAGAACCAAACAATGGTGTGGATGATGTACTTGTCTGTAAACCGAACCCGCCAGGCTGGATTGGTTGTACAGAAGAACCAAACAATGGTGTAGCTGACGCACTTGTCTGTAATCCTGGTCCGCTAGGTTTGGCTGCTTGAATTGAAGAGCCAAAACTGAATGAAGCATAACTAGCTGTTGTACTTGCTCCAAATAAGCTATTATTTGATGTCAATGTAGAAGCTGCAGTTTTTGGAGCCATAAAACCACTGAACAAGGCAGAAGATGAGCCACTACCTGCATTTTGATTATTTGCTGGTGCGCTGCCAAACATCCCAGTTACGGCAACAGGTTTAGCCAGGTTACCTGCACTTGTACCAAATGTAGGAGGATTGGAAGTTTGGGTTCCAAATAGAGGAGCTGAAGTGCTCGGTGTTGAGAATGATAAAGTAGGTCTGATGGTGGATGCGCCAAAATTAAAACCCTGACTTACTGGGTTGCCCAAAGAAAATGCAGTTGAAGTTGTAGCTGTAAAGGTAATCATTAAGAAAATATTGTAGCTCATATTTTAAAACAAGACTGATTTCTGTTTAAGGTTGCTTTCACATTAAATATTTTAGATAAAAGTAATGCAGATTTTTGGTTTAATTTCATCAATAAAATATTTTTAGCATTGACTCTGTTATTCTTAAGATGCTTTTGCAATCAGCCGAGTTTTGTGTATCCTAAAAAAGATAATATCGTTCCCATCACTAACATGAAGAAATTTTTGTTTCATATACAAGAAAAAATGTGTGCTCACGCAAAATCCTCAGGTGTTTAAGCTGGGAGCCTCTTGGTGTTCAAAGAAAAAAAAGTAAAGCAAAACTTATGTTCAACTTGCTTAACAATGTGGGTTCCAAATCACTTACTAGTTTATTTAGTTTTAAAAGCAAGTCTACTGATTATCAACTTCTTGGTGTTAAAATAGCCCTAAGCTTACCCCAGCCACAAGCAAATAGAATGAAAAAAAGTATTGCATTTAATGATCCACTAATCTGGAACTCATTACCTATAGAACTCAAAGAATCCTGCTCTCTAATGTCTTTTTAAAACAGAGTCACTGCTCACTTTCCAAAATAATTTCGTGATATTTAATTGTAAATACTAACTTTGTAGTCTATAGAATGTAATTTAATGTTTTAGGAACTGTACTTTGTTAATTTAGTATTCTTGTTAAATTCGTTTCTGTAAAATTTGTGCACGCCCCATATCGAAAACAACTCACATGTTGACAATGGTTAGCGTGTTGAAATAAAATTATTCATTTATTCATTGTAACAATAAATTATAAATTGTCTGCTTGTGTCGTGAGGAAGGAAAGGCAGTCTGGCACAACTAAAAACAGAAAGTTTGATATACCGGGTTTCTTGCATGCTTGAAACACATAAAACTTGTCAATTCGTTTCCGGACAAGTGTGAACCAGACATCACACATGATATTGATACATTAAAAACCTTTGAAATTCAATCGCTTCTATGACAGTTAATGCACATATTCGTCATTTCTTATTTCTTATTCAAAATATATTCTTACCTGAAGAAGAACGATTACCAGACCCAACCGGGAGACCACCGAAGGACAAATTATCATTACCAAAACTCATCTTTTTTCACGGTTTTCGACATAAAACAAAATCGAAACTGAAAAAGTTTAACAACATACCTTTGAATAAAGCGCTAGACTATGAGAGCATTTTTAATGTCAACCGCTGGTCAGAGTGAAAAGTGGCAATATTCGTTTCTGCTGCTTCTGCCGGGTAAAGAGTTACTGGTTCGCAGACCAATTCCGATATTCTGATGGTCATAGGTGTGTGTTACAAGAAATTACGATATTTTTTTCTCAATTATTCCACCGGTTTTACGACATCGTAAAGGACGTTGTCGGTAATAACCCAAACGTACAAGCCAGCCAAACAGTACGGGTGGGGATGTGGGGTGAATGTTCAAAGTAATAATTACAAACTGGCTTCTTTTGAAAGTAACTTGGCAATAAAAATCAACGTTCTATCGACAGCCCCGTGTCCAAATTCTAAGACGGCTTTTTTATTACCACTTTCAGGTCAGGTGATCGCTCTCGACTAATGAGATGCATGAAAAAAGAAACACATGAACAATTGCAAAAAGAAAATACAATTTAAAGAAATTAAATAATACAATCATATTTCAATTGCGCCGAATGTCCTCGTAGCGATAAATAACATACAACAAATCTTGAATGATTGAATCAATGAAATCAGCGGCAAAACTAGTTTGAAATAATCTCATGAAACATTTTAAATAAAATCTATGCGAAGTTATTCCTTTCGTTACACATTTCTATGTAGTAGTTTTTATCGTCTGAGCGTCTGTAGAATTTTCACTCAAATTCCACACGACGAGACCAGACGAAATTGCAGCTTCTGAAATCTAAAACCAGAAAAAACAAACAATGGTCTACTCGTCACTTTTAAACATAGACGCAGGAACAAATCTTAATTGGAGGAGGAACACGTATATCAATACGTTCCTCGACTTTGCTACATATATCACTATAAACTACAACGGTAAAAAGCAGCGTGTTCTGGAATGTACGTCACGTTGTGTGAACTAGACCCAGTTACAGCACCTCACGGTCAAACACGAAAAAAGCCAACTTTGAGGCCCAAAAAAGTCACGGAAGATGAAATTTTCGTTTTATATAACACATATTGCAAATTTTCTTAAAATGGTCAATTCTATCTAAATAGACTAATTCCCTGAGGGTGATATAAGCACTTTAAGAGTTCCTGTATTCTTTGCGATGAGTAAATAGAATAGGTGGGGAAAAGGTTACAGCGAGAATGTATTAGATTTTGGCAATGTTAACATGCACTTTAGGGGGGTTAAGCCCCCATTACAAAATTTAGGGGGATAAACCCCCTCCCCGCTTCCAACGCCTATATGCTTTTAAAGATAATATTCGCATACACCGAAATGATTCAATAAGCGCTTGGGGCGTTTATTCTTGCGGCTAAATAGGGACGTTAATAGATAGGAAGCGTTTAATAGAGAGAAGCGGTTTATATCATTTCAGTCACTCTAATGTTCGCCAAAAAACAACAAACTAAGACTGAATGTATGGTTTTTGAGCTCAATTGTTAATCTACTTTAATAACCAGAGACGCAGCGTTTATTAGAGAGGTATCTAATACAAACTCATGCTTTAAAGTTGTCGTGAATTAGATGCGAGGCGTTTACTTGATTATTTGCTGTGTTTCAAAGTGAATGCCTGGAACCCAGAGTATCGTTAGATATTTGTAGATGTAGATCGTCCAGGTTTGTAGAGTCCTAAAAAGGACTGTCGGTGTAGACTGATGTTTCGACAATATTGGCGGTAGTCATCTTCAGAGTCAAGTGAAGAGAAAACGTCACGTTCGCAAGAAGTCAACATCAACACCAAAAACAGTCCTTCTCAGGACTCTACCATCTTGACAATCTATATCTACAAACGTCTTACTGTATTTCAATAACGAGCCATTCTTACGACAGCATTACAAGATCACATGATTACCTGTCTTAAGTAGTCTAAGCAATCCTGTCTTGCAGACAGCAATAAAGCTGCCTGACCCTTGATAACACGAATGTTCCACGCATAATTCTCAACGGCCTAAAGAAAATAACCACTAACTTTTTTTAATTCACGGGCGACAAGTTGAATATAAATCAGCGTTTAATAAGTCCAAAGTTATTCGTTAAGTTATTCGAAAGTACCGGGGGTGGATTTAGAGAAGAGATTCGTACGCATGCTAGCCTTTGTAAAAGGGGGTGCAAGAGGGGTGACAAAACTTTCGTACAAAAGCCTTATAGGATGAATACCATACAAAGCCATTGTAAAAAAAGGTTATTCACCCATTCACAATAAAAAGAATAACAGAATTTAACAAATAAGACCCATATGCTACGGCAATAAGCCTCCCCCTCCGAAATCTAACCCAAACGAGAGCATCCCCCCCCCCCACACAAAACCATTGTGGATCCATCCCTGCTGATACAACAGCCAAAAATATGGTTGACAAGATTTCGCCTGAATAAAGGACGCGTGTCCATCCACACCTTTGCCAATCGTTTCTCCTTCACTCCTTCTTTGAGACAGAAATTTTGAAACTCCTCCTGCATAATGGAGTTGAAAGTCATCAATATACTGTCTTGTAACATACAATGTAGCAAAATTCAAACTTGGTAAATACCAAATTGTAACAGTTTTAGAATATAAAGAAAAACAATAAAAATTATGTTGAGATTAGGTCACATGTCGCGTGCAGCCATTATCCTAACATGACGTTAAAGGAAGTTTTACAGATCTTCAGTTCTACTGCGTGATTATCAATGTAAATAATATAAACGACAACTTTTTTGAAAATAGACATGTTTCGACATCTCATGATGCCATCTTCAGTATGAATGAAATAATAGGTGATACAGGGTTTATAAAAAGGAATATGATACATAAATTAGAACAATAAAAAGGAAATAAGATAATATAATGAGGAGCGTCCGAGCGTATTATAAACTAAATATTGTATTGAATTTAAAAACTTGAACATTGAGGTCAGGGTTAGTTTTGTTAATGTGGAGTGCTTCTTTGATTTTAAGGGTGAATGAGGTGTCGGCAGTGTCGATGATTTTGAAACAAGAGGGTGAATAGTTGGTTTTGCATGAGTGAGATTTAAGAAGGTGTCGGTAGATGTGAGAGTTTTTGTCTGTTGTGGTATGTTCCCTGATTCTGTTGGATAAATGGCGCGAAGTTTCGCCAATGTATCGGGAATTACATCCCGCGCAATTGAATTCATATACCACCATAGATTTAATTGAATCAGGGATTGGGTCTTTGAATGAGAAAATGTTTTTGATTTTGAATGATGTGAAAATTAGTCGAATGTCAATATCTGTACAGAAGCGTTTCATAATGTTTGTAAGTCTGCGTTGTGTGTGTCGTGAGTAATGTCCGATGTATGGTAGTTTGAAGTATAGAAAATTCCAAAATAACAACTCTATACTTCAAACTACCATACATCGGACATACACACAACAAACATATGAAACGCTTCTGATATTGACATTCGACAATTTCATCATTCAAAATCAAAACATTTTCATTTAGATAAATCTATGGTGTATAATTCAATGCGCGGATAATTCCCGATACATGTTCATTTATCCACCAGAATCAGGGAACATACCACAACAGACAAAACTCCATCTACCGACACCTTCTTAAATCTCACTCATGCAAAACCAACTATTCACCCTCTTGTTTCAAAATCATCGACACTGCCGACCCAAAATCAAAGAAGCACCACATTAACAAACTAACCCTGACCTCAATGTTCAAGTTTTAAATTCAATACAATATTTAGTTTATAATACGCTCGGACGCTCTCATTATATTATCTTATTTCCTTTTATTGTTCTAATTTATGTATCATATTACTTTTATATAAACCCTGTATCACCTATTATTTCATTCATACTGAAGATGGCATCATGAGATGTCGAAACATGTCTATTTTCAAAAAAGTTGTCGTTTATATTAAATGTGTATTGGCAATAGTGCTTTTACGAAACAATGTAAATAACCTATTAAACTCGCAGATTATTGTCCAGATACCGAGAATTGTCTGCAAGTATTTCGTTAGTACAATCGAGAGAGCAATGCACTGATAATTCAATAATAATTTGATAGTCGAGTTCACAGCATGCAGCGCTACAGCAGTAGACGAGACTTCCTCTATGCCAGCTCGCTCACAAGGAAGCCCCAATTGCGCTGCAGTGACGTCAAATCGACGTCATAGCCCAAAGGATGATCAAATTCAAATTACACTTCAAGCGAATAAACTTCATTTAGTTGCTTTGATCTAGATACACCATGTGATAGGGTATTTTTGACTATTCTTACATGCCATTCCATGCCAGCTCGTTCGCAATGTGCTATCTACAAAACAAAAAAACAAGCAAAAATAGCACAAAACTTTAATTTAAAAATGCTACCGTGCCGCACTTTTTCGTATACTGAATCGGATTTTTCGACGAGATTCCTCGATTCCTGTGTCACCTTGAAGACAACGAGAAAAACAATTAGCTCGCTCTCGTGAATGATCGTCAAGACAAATGGAAACTACTGACCCGCTTCAGGGCAGATATCGCTTTCTTCAAGATTTCGGGCATCTCTCCGTTGCATTCAAAGTAAGGGTACTATAAGATTAAAATCAGGTAAATAACGACCGCAAATCAACAGCTGTAATGCCGTCCAAAGCCAATCTGGAAGACTGTATGCACATCAATAGGTGACTTGCCTTGTTTACGTTTTGCTGACGGGCAGATTGATCCCAATGGAGGTGAAGCATTGTTGCTATAGTGTTGTCTAAAACCACTAGACCAAATCTGCCTGCCCGCTAAACGTAAACAAGGCAAGTCATCTATACAAACAAGAGATTGCTTTCATGTAAATATACACAGCCACCGCTCGAACCAATGCATCACAATATATGAGAAATCACTGAAATATACACGAACATCATACTCGCAACTAGCAATAGGTCAAATACACACGACCTATCCAAAACAACGATATGCAGCTCAAATATACAAGAGCACCTCTAAGAACGTCACATCAACAATAAGTATGAGAAATTACTTGAATATACTCGACCACCACTCGCCCAACCACACCATCAAAAAAGAAAGAAATTCACGACCTTCGTACATCTTATATGTTTATATGTCCTTACCATATAATAATCAAATATACTTTATCCCAGAGGTAAATCGTCATTCTATTGGATCAGAACTATTTGATTCACTTTTTTTGAGAGTAAATTTCTATTTTGCCACTCTGCTTAACGTCACATCGAGATTTGTTGTGTATATGGGTGGACAAAAATGACCCCCCCACCCCTCATTACAGAAATTGCATTGTAAAGGTTATTCACAATGACTTATGAACTTCTTTAACAGAATTGTGTTATTTTGTTTCTTTTTGGAGAAATGTAACTTTTCTTCAATATGCACATCGTCGTAATGACATCACATTGCATCACTACCATAAGGAAAAACTAGTTTTGTCCAAAGTTAGCAATACAATATCTAACTTATGCATCTTTACAAATATTCATCAATAAATGTATCATGTATACACCAATGTATTCAACAAAAGTGTATTTGTTCATAAAACGTTGCAACGTCGTGGAAAATTGACGATGTTAAAATGTCATAACGCTCTGTGACGTCATTTGCATTTCTTGCAGAAGCATGCACGGCCTAATCATTCCTGCTATTTGTAAAAATTTAATTTTCCTTTCGTTGCTTCCTTTAAAGGAATAGTTGACCATCGTCAACATAAAATTCTGATTCTTCAACAGTAAACTTTTTTTGTTTCTATTCATTTCTCCAAATTCGACAGGCTACGAACCATTAACGATAATTTTCTGATATGGCTTACATTTTTTTGTCCGCACGTTGTATATACTAAAAAAGCCACTCACCTAACCAATATATCGAGGTAAATTCTCAATTTTCATACACTTTTACATACAGCTATGGACACAATAAAACGAAGCGACTGTATGCAGCCTTATAACTGATATAAATTGTTAAATCATCAAACCTTTTCATCCATCGATAAACTCAGATTGAAAGTTTGCGAACTCGCTTCCATTCGAGATGCCAGTTGCCGTAAACATTGTTTGATGTTCGATCGAGCGGGTACACCACATGTTTCCTGGAAATTAGTTAACGCGGATCGTAATAAAGATCGTAGAACACATCGTAGAGTAAACGTTTTAATAATTATTTCCATTTACTGAAACTCAGCGATGGATCCACGATGGTATCGAGAGAAGGGGAGGGAGTGTGCTCTAGTGTTGAGGAGATTTCGGTGGCTAATTTTCGCAGTGGCATGGCTAACGTTTTTGTTCAATTCAGCTACATTTCGTTGTGATCGGGAGATTTTTGGAAAGCTGCTCTGTTAAATATCCTGATGACAAATTGCTTTTGCTTGATTGTTTGGTATGTTAATAGCTACTTTGTGGGGAAATTTCAACTTCTCCTGCACCCAACACCGCTCCCCCCGTTAAAACCGTTCCTGCTGAGACATACAGAGGCGTAACTAGAACGTTAATTGGGGGGTGCATATCCATATATTCCCATAAATTGAATTTCAAAAGAAATCAGTAGGGCACATCTGAATATATGAATATAAATCCCCCAATTAACGTTCTAGTTACGCCTCTGGAGACATAGTATAGGGAATATACAGTAGGTCCACGTCGTGTGAAACTGGCTGCTGTATATTTAATTAGATTACTGGCTGCCATTAGCTATATCATCATTCCCATTGGTCAAAAAAAGCAATTAACTGGCTGCTACTATGATAATCACAAGCGTAATAGATTAAGCGTGTCACGAAAAAATTCCATGGAGTCGATCTACTGTATATTTACTATACTGTGGTATGAGTTTGTGACGAGTTAAACAACAGTACACGCAAGTAACGACTCTTGAAATTAGATCTTGAAATTCAGCACATGCAGCTTACTAAAACCTCACGCTTTTACGTACGTGTAAAAAACGCAGGTTATGATTCATAATACGCGAAATTGATCCTAACCATTATGCCGGCCATAGCCTGGTTCTGTAAGATTAAGGCTGGGGTTAGGATTAGAAATCGATTTCGCGTATTTCTAGGGAAACGGAATGGGCACGGAATGGATTGTGCATTGTGTGTACTTGCGTTTACTTGCGTTCAATGGCATATACGTGCGTGCAAGTACACGTGTCCAAAACGCTACAGTGTAAAACAAGCCTCGCCTTTCACCTTCAATCTGCCTAGGGCATTTTGAACATTTTCGCGAAGATCTGTGGCATCAAGAATCGGTTGTATTGCAGTCTAAATGAAAGCAACAACTACCATAGTCAGAAATACATCGCACAGGATACAACACAAGTTTAATGCTCACTAGAATTTACAAAGACACACAACGTTGTGTTGCATCGATTGAAGATGCAATTCAGACCGCAAAGATGGAGTGATGATTTCGAAAAAAATAATCTTACCTTAAATGTTTCATCGACACCTGCAACTCCAACTGTCCGAAGTCTCGCGTACTTATATGAAGGAAGCATGGAATACATCATTACACAAAGACGCAATGGTATAGTAAAATATCCAAGCTAATGAAATCGTGAACAATTCGTGAGGTATAAATCAAGCTCTCCAACCTACCTCCCTTCCTTTTTTCGAACGTTTCAAAGAAGACCTTTTTATCTTCTAGAAAATAAACTCGCTATGTAAATCCAAACGCCATCAATAAAAACACCTCCAGCAATCATCAAATCGACAATCATTGTGAACTGATGTTAGTTACCGCAGCTTCATCTATTCCTGTTAAGGTCACGTGTATGAACAACTAACTGCCTTCACCTTGCCTCACGTCACTTACCGCAGCTTCATCTTTTCATGTTAAGGTCACGTGTATGAACAACTAACTGACGTCAATTACTTAAGTTGCATTTCGTTCAGTTGGTCACGTGTATAAAACTAATTGACTTCACTTATCGCAGTTTTGTTTTTATCAGTTTTGGTCACGTGTATGAACAACATACCGACGTCACCTTGCCCACGTCACTTACCCCAGTTTCATCTTTCCCCGTGATGGTCACGTGTATGAACAAGGTGACACAATGCATGGGTTCACCAAGACCGTTCAGCAATCGGATATGACGGTAGCCTTGGGAATGAAATTAAATAAAAATTTGAAATAAAAATCTCGATTCTTTGAGATATTCACATCATTGTAAATCCTACAATCGTATTGACATTCACGAGACTATCTATTGCTGCATTCAAGACAAAGATATTTACTTTGCCTCATAATGTCAACAGATAAGGAACTCACCCTGTCTCATGCAGACAACAGGTATTGAATATTGGCCAATGAAGGCGTCCCCAATGAAGTCATCATCCAGAACGACAAATCTCACAAGTGCTAACTCGGGAATGTTGATATGAAACTCGAATGACTCGTCGAATACAGGATTGAAACCTAAAAACACCACAAAATTACAAATGCAGCATTTCATACAGTAATAAACACAAAATTATATAAAGGTGTCCTACCCCAAAAATAACGGAACTCACTTAAATGAATTATGTATTCGCTAAAGTTATTATGCAAAATAATGTAACTAGCTTTCGAAGCTGTTCAATGAACTTAACAGTACGGCGCTTCTGGGGTTTATTAGGGTTTGTAAAGTATTAGCTTAAGGAAAACAAGTTAAAACTTTAAAGTTCTGTCATACACTGATTTTCATTTCAAAATTATTACGCAAATGCTTTGTAAAGGCAAAGCGACATTATTTGAGTTAGAACAGCCACAAAATAAAACGTAACCATATTCTCCATAAATTGCAACGAACATAGACAAGCGTACGACTAAATCTAACCTGGCGGAATAAATAGCTTTTGCCTATCAACTATCCTATGCAGATTTAATTTTAATGCATACATAATTAGTACACAAGTCTCACAAATTGTTACTATTAGGTGTGATTTGAGGGATTTGGTGCAGGATTTTAGTCTTTCAAAATTATTGGTGTTGGTGGTGGGGGTTCGAGCCCCTCCTCCCCTAGTGTCCGTCACTGATTTGTGGTTTTCAAGTGGGGGAATACACAGGAGTTGATTGAAGTAGATGATAGTTTTCCTGAAAAGGAAACGAATTCACAAAGGAAACGAAAGGATGAAATACGGGTGGATGAACGCATAACAAATAGATATTGACTGAAGTATGTAAAATAATGTACAAATGTGAAAAGAATGTGAGCCAGTGAAGAGAAGGCAAAATAAAATAGCGATCAATTCCAAAGAATACTTTACATGAATACACTACACTAATACAGTAAATTTATTTAATGATAAAAATGGTACAACTTTTATAACTACAGCATACAAATATAAAAATGTTAACTAAAATCAATGTTTAAAATATCCATGATAATTTTCAAATTACTAGCTTGAAAAAGAAAAAGAAAGAAAAAAAAGGGACAGTCAGGTGTAAAGACAACTTTCCCAATAACCTAGGTCAATATTTAAAGTGTGTTCGCGAGTTGAGGCAGATCTACTTCCTCGTATCGCAGTAATTGCTGACCTAATCAGTGCGAAAGACAGTTTACAACGCATCCACGCTAGCGTGATGCCATATTGCAGCTTTCTCTTTTGTGCCAGCAGATCAGCTAGCCGTTTATAAGCAATTGCCGTCTCTTTCCCCATACCACCTGATGTTGATACACTACACTAATGAATATTCTACAGCGCTATTGATAAGTCAAAGAGTGTATGTTCGTATATGAATGTTCAATGTACTTTATTCAACCACGGAACTATTTCACAAATATTTAACAAAGAAAATTGAAAGTGACCTTCCAATGGACCGCGCACGCTAAGTATATACAGAAAAAAGGAAATGGAGTAAAAAACATAACTCAAAATGATTTCTAAAATTTACTAAAAACCTAGTTATATCACATAAAATACGTACTATTCGTTTCTGCATTATTTGCAAAACGCTTTAAAGATTTATAGCTTTTTCAATCGGACGATTGAGTATTCCGAGCCACTGCATCTTTATACGAAAAAGACTATTTCATCCGAGTTAAAACCAAACAATAAAATGTCGCATGTATTTGAATAAAATAGTAAAACAATTGGCTGCTTACTAACCGTTACTAGGGATAGTCTTGGTTCTTTCGTGCGCGGTGTCTCCTGGGATACCATAAACAGATACGGATACGAAAGGATCGACAACCTGGAATGGTTACAAAATAAATTCGTTCAGGCACAAGGGAATGAGCTTGTACATCATGCATTAACGGCAACGAGACACAAATACTGGTATTACCTCAGCTTTCGTGCCTGACATTTTAGGTTTAGGAAACTGCTGACCACTGATCACCTACAAGGAATGAATAAATGCATTTTTATAGCTGCAAAAAGCAGGTACCACGAATGACCGATGATTTTTTTTTGAGGGTGGGGGGAGAGGGGATAATATTCATGCATCCATGTTCTTCATTAAATCCTACACACCAGAATTTAACAATGGGTTCGAAAGTAACAGAGAACTATCACTCTTCCATTTTTCAGCTACACATGCAATACATTCGTATTTTCGTACTTACATTTCCTTCCATATGACGTCACTAAGCACATTTAAATATAGCCAAAGTTAACTTGTAAATATATGTAGTCTGATGATGAATTTGTGTTAGATTCAAAAGATTAGCATATGAAAATTGTCTGGTTTGTTTTCTCAAATATTGAGTTCGACACGGATCTTTTTTTTTGGATTAAGCTTAATACAATACTTCATTATTTTCTATCGAAATCAACAGCGAAGACTACAATTTACCTTGTTATTCGACTTTATTCTAAAGACATTGTTAAACCATAATTAAAGCTGTTATTTTGAGTTTGCAAAATGAGTTCTTTGGAAGCATGTTTTTTCATTGTATTTTACGGATTAGAAAATACGAATATGAGTCCTCTCCTTCAAATTATCAATCGATCGCGGTCTTTGAAAAATGAACGAAAAGAAAAACACGTCTAAACTAGGTCGTGTCCGTTTACCTTTATTCTCAATATCTGTGGAGTTATCCCGGCAATAGCGTCTTGTGACGTCGGGTTAAAATACGCTATTTCTACGAAATATTCACGACTTAGAATTCATTCTGGGAACAAAGTTCATCGTATTTAAATCAACCTCACTTTCTCTCATCACCGATGGCTTTAAAATGTAACCACAACGACCGTTGTTGTTGAACATCGCCGTGTTGAGGTCCATTGCAGAGCCGCCTGTCTGATAGTTTAAGGCCACTGTAAACAACATAAGAAACACTCCAAATCAATGACCTAGAACCCAATCTACTAGATACCTCACTCCGCCAAAATTGTATTGTTACGAGTGAGGCGAGCCGCCATCTTGAAAGGTGGCAAAACTGATGACATGATATACAGTCGAAGAAGCGATAGTCCAGTTTGGTTTTAACATGTTTGAAAGGATTGTTTTTTAAACTTTCTGTTAACTTATTTTCGACAGTCTCGCTTTTTTCCACCTTAAAAGATGGCGTCCTCGCCTCATCTTAACACGGTGTAATTATTGGGAGACTTGGTTCTAAACCATCGCTTCGTACCCATCTGACATCCGTAGCTCCACATCTCCACTGGATTGTAGTTACTGGAGTCGAAACGGTCTCCTGACGGATGAACGCGAGAAACAAACATCTTGTTATGCTTTACAAAATCTTCGGGAAACGACGTAATCAGCTTCCTCGCCGTAATTTCATTGACGGAGCTCACTTCCCAGTATCTCTCTAACAACAAAAACGAAATAAATTCGTCCGCCTCCCGATGAAACATTCAGAGATCATAGGGAATAGACAATGGGTCGAATTGAATTCCTCGTTATCTCCCTTTGGTACGACACGATACAAGAGGGGATAAAACGGAGAGACGATTGGTCAAACTAAGGGACTGAGCACATGAAGCATTTTCAAGCCCTGCTAAGTGAACTGAAATTTCAGCCATGCCTGCAGTACACGAATCAAATACTATGCGCTTTAAAATAAAAACTTCCAAACTCGGTGCTAAATTCCATTGAAATACATTCGAACGATTATTCGCTCAAACAAAGCCGTCGAACTATACACCAATGCGATATCTTGAATATGCATTTAGCTAGCAGCAAAACAATATTAAATACTCATGATGCGATTTTTTAAGAGATTTGATAAAAAAGCAATATTGTTTACTGTAAAACAATGTAATAAAAGAAATATCTTTACTGCGCATGTTATCCATTTTACGTCACTTCCGCTGCCGAGTCACCAACTTTTAGGCGCGAAAAGTGCACGAAGATAAATTTTCGTTCGTTTAAATATAGTGCAAATGTTAAAAATCGATTTAACTAAGTAATGATTTAAAAGATTTCAATAAGACTTTAACATACTTCTTTTTCCTCATTTACACTTCTGTTAACACAAATATGCGCTCAGCATGAACGTTCGCCTCTGTCGCGTGATCATGGCTTTGCAATTTACGTTGCGGTTTGTGGTTCAGGTTTTAACGCCAAGAGGTACTTCTTGCGGTAGGTAATGAATTGCAAGATTTTTAGCACTTTTAATAAAACCACGTAAGTTTATGGTTCATTGTAATTATTTTATGTAAGTATACATCATGAATATTTCTAATTATCGACAAACCTTAACACCACATCAAATTTAGCTCATGACAAGGCGAATTGCAAAATACAAATGCAAAACGCCAAACTAAATTTAATTTTTTCAAAACGGCAAACCTCGAAGGCAAGCTGGTAGTTGAGGTTTGCCGTTTGCCGTAGACGCCAACTAAAGCTCTCTATTTAAGATCTCAGGCTCCTAGGTTGAAATACGCCAAGTAATTGCAAAAATTTTTAGCTGACTTAACACGGCCAAATCGAACCCCGGGGATGAAAGTGCTTGATGCAATCAACCTCCACATGTCTTTCTATGTCTCGCGTCGTATTTACCAGTCACCATAGCGAAAGAGAACGCGTACCCTACCTCCCTAATAATCACCCGGCAACCAGAAGTGATTCAAGAAAAGATGGCTGAAAGCATGTTTCATTGAACACCACTGCCTCTCCTGGTTGAACTTACGATTTTCTGCGGAGTTCTCGAAACTTTCAAACGTGAAAGACTTGCTGAACGAGACAAGATCTGAGAGCTGTCTTGCTAGCTTGATCGTCTTTTTCGGACCTTCCTTAAAAAATCACACAAATGCTTTAGCTAGGACAATATAAACAGCACAAAGATTGTAACAGCGCTTCATGCTGCATGCTTTGTACATTTTAGAGTACTCAACGAAATACTCTAACGTACTCGTAGGGAGGAGATTGTGGATGCTAACGTCATTGAAAGTTGCAAGTGCAGACTGAAATACTTTGTTAACGACTTATACTACTATTAAAAGACAAGATTTGCACTATGCCTTTTTTTACCACAATCAATTGCTGAAGTATGTTCTTCGTAAATAATTTGATTTCACCTATATTGTGCTGTATCCAACGCGATTTAAAACAAGTTTTCTGTTATTTCACAAGTTCAAGTCAGTTATTTAAAGGCCCGTTCACACTATCCGATTATGTCGGATCCTAAAAAACGGATCGTGTCAACACATATAAGTAAGTCTTCGACAGTTGCAGCCGTCAGTCTGAAAATCGGATGGAAATAGAACTTGCTCTACTTTGATCTGACAAGATCAAAGGAAAGCCGACTAGCCCCAGACCTCTCAGTCTCCATACTTTCCAAATTTCATACTTTGTCGCGAAATATTAGATTTGAAAAAGACGCGGAAACAAGAACAAAAATACGCAAAATATATCGATAAATGTACTGGATAACACACATGGCTGCTCACACGACTATAAATATCCAAACGAATATAAAGATCAACAAAATTATTGAACAAGTAACCACTGAATAAGTAACCACATTACTGAACAAGTAACCACTGAATAAGTAACCACATTACTGAACAAGTAACCACATTACTGAACAAGTAACCACATTACTGAACAAGTAACCACATTACTGAACAAGTAACCACATTACTGAACAAGTAACCACATTATTGAACAAGTAACCACATAACTGAACAAGTAACCACATTACTGAACAAGTAACCACATTATTGAACAAGTAACCACATTACTGAACAAGTAACCACATTATTGAACAAGTAACCACATTACTGAACAAGTAACCACATTACTGAACAAGTAACCACTGAACAAGTAACCACATTACTGAACAAGTAACCACATTATTGAACAAGTAACCACTGAACAAGTAACCACATTACTGAACAAGTAACCACAAGTCGGAACCGAAACAATCGGATCGTGTGAACGGGCCTTAATAAATACAATTCAACATACTCATCCTTTTCATACGAACATCCTAATACAATAATATCCATCATATACCACATAAATCTCAATCCATCCACATAAAATTATGACGAAAAGAGGCGAGAAAAACTTCGGTTTTTTAAAACAATCTGCTCCTTACTTTTACAAGTAGAGACTTTAAGGATTTCTTTTTAGCAAAGTTCTTCATATTCTGATTGCAATTCACAGTGGTGCTTCCACTTTCAAAATCTTCCTCCTCTTCATCAGCAGTCACATCACCTTCTTCGGTGCCATCTGAAAGTTTCTTGCTCTGAAATTTCCACACATCGCTTTAGTGTAAAACAAACCAGCGCAACAACTGCGAAACACACTTGGCCAAACCTTAATCAGTATTTTTCCTTTTAGTTCTTCCGGAGAAGGCAGCAATCTTTTGTTCTTTTCAGGAGGAAGAACATGCAGTTTACCTAAAAATCACGATGCATCATTTAGGCAATGTTTTCATTACAACGGAAAGTAGTATGATGCATCATTTAGGCCATGTTTTCATTACACCGGAAAGTAATCAACCGGGATGAAAATCGAAATTTTTTGAATGTTTTCATGGGACCGTCACGAAATCACGAAAAATCCTCATCCACGTAACGCCTCTTGAGCAGGCTAGTTTTACACTTATCTGCCATTTTTCAGCCAAAAAATGGCCTTCACGCAGTGATTTGTAAGCGATGCATATTGGTTGACACACATTCTTCAATCTCACGAAAAAGGAGAACGGACCAGGGTGTTAAAATTATAGAATCAGCTAACATTTTTTTACCTTTAAGGATGCCCTTAAGATAGTCAGCCATCTTACTTTGTTGTTTAATACAGCAGTGGTTTTTTAACGACATTATCAAAGGATATCTAAGCAAAGATGAAGACCACAGAAAATGAACGATCAGTGTTGACGTTGTTCGAAACTTTATTTAAGTTACTCACTCCGACGCTTTAAAAGCACAGTCGTTGATGGCTTGTACAACATCTTTGAAATATATTCTACTGGTCAGCGTTTTGCCGTGGCTGATCACGGGCTCATCATCGGGACCATCCCAACAGTCCACTAAATATTAATTTAAAGTTTTAACTGCGGACACAAGTTAGAACAATGCTTAAATGATCAAGCGATTAAGTATTAATTATTAATTACTTAAATATCAATTAAAGAAGAAAAAATACTGCATGCACTGATTTTCATCTCAAAACTATAACGCAAAAGCTTTGTAAATTAATAGCAACTTTAACTGAGTTACAAAAGCGACAAAACCTCATTCATAGTTTCCATAATTTGCAACGAACATGAAAAAAATTGCGTTATCTCATGCAGATTTCATACATTGCACACATATTTTTTGTGCGGGACACTGTATTTAGTTCTATAGCTTCCCTTTTCCAATTTTTGTATTGGTCATGCGCAGATGTAGAAAACCGTAATAAATTTCATCGCTGCAGGGGGGAGGGGTGCAGGCCTACATTACTTGACAGATCAAAAATAAAAGGGCGCGCAACCAACATCACTATAATTGAATTTATGCAATAATTTTCAAGTGAACAAAATTAGTAATAACTCTAGTTTACTGAGAATGCTACACCAAGGTCACATCCATTTCTTTAAAGAAAGAGTATCACGGTAATGCTTTGCGCGCTTGTATTTACTTCTTGTATGGAGTCTCCGCGATATCTAATGTGTAGTTTATAGAAGTTGTATTTCCGCTGACCAAATGTAAAATGACGTCTTTCTTTAACTTAACTCTTGTTTCTTCTTCGATTCCTGGCCAACCGTACTTTGATGTTAATGGGCCAGACTTAGTACAATATTTAGGCACATTGCTGCAGTAACAACCTAATATATGCCGCCATTTTTCTTTTGGGGGCGAAAATTTCTACTAGTGTCTGGCGCTTGCTGAGCGCGCTAAGCATTACAGTGAGACTCATTCTTTAAAAAAGTGCACTGGAAACGAAAATTCACTATGTTTTTAGTGATAAATAAGATCAGTAAAAAGCCTTAACTACTTACATTCAATACAGCGACAGCAGAGCTCGCATAACGCTTTTGTATAGCCTGTCACGCTCGAACGACCAGCCAACTGATCCTCTAATAAATATCTGAAAAGAAAACAACAGACAAAATTTGGTCTGACGAGCTTAGGCTCTCCCATCTCCCACCTGCTTTATATAGTTGCAAAGTTTAAAACAGGGGGGTGTTTAAAATCATGTGTCAGGATTTGGTAAAATATTGCACATATGGTCACAATATGCATTATGTACAACATTGAACTGACCATAATTGGAAGGCTACTTCCCGCCAATATAAGAAGCCAGCAATTTAACATCAGTGTGACAAGACTTGGTAATTTATCTTACCGAATCCGCTTTGGTGAGCTTGGACAGTCCCACACCAGCATTCTGCACAGATCAACGAATTTTTGATGATAAATTATTCATGTATGGTTTTATGTATTGTCACATATTTGTTTGTGACAGTAAGCTAAAATGTGTGACTTAATGATGCTTAAAAATGCGTGACCGTTAAAATTGGCCTCGTGCAAGTACAGGCAGGTTTATCTACTAAAGATAGCCCTCCAGATATATTTTTAGCTCAATGGTATGAACTGACTAGAGCTATACCTCATAAACAGTCTCTTATCTGAACTTACGTGTTGTGAGAGGAAGCGATGAAATAATGCGACAACGGTTGATTCATGTCTTGCGTCACATTTGCACAGTCGGAGTCGAAGAGTTCGTTCGTTGACTTCAGCAAATATTTGGTGAATCCTGCAACGAAAAAATAAAAAAGGTAAAAGTATACTACTCCGGATACATAATTTACTTAACTTTACAACAACTTCTTAAAAAGCTAATAAAACTTTTACTATAAAAGATTAAGTGATCTTTAAGCCTATAAATCTGCAACAGCTCGAGGCCCTAGCAATTTTACCAAGGACAATGATGCATTCCCCCCCTTGAAAAATCTGCACCCCTCCTGTCAAACGAGAATCGATCCGCGCTCGGGGCTGCGTGCTATAGCGGAAAATCCATCTTGTTGTGTTGTAACACATGTCGTAATCTATCGAGCGCTAAAATGTCTTGTTGTTTCTATAGTGACTATATTTTGTGCATGATATTTTAAGGAGTAGGCGCAAACTGTTAGATTTCCTTGTTGTATAGCAAAGTTGAATAAATAAATAAATAATAAAATAAATAAATACTATCTGTAAAAAATGAAAAAACTATGGTTCCCATTTAGAAAATTGGTTCATGTCGAGAAATGTTTGCCTTGATCTCGGAAGAGCGCCGTAACCTTCGCACTAGCCTGCGTGCAGTCTCTACGGGGGAGAGAAAATTAGGGCAGAATGTAGAATATTAGTAAACTTAACACTAAATTAGACTGCTTATACTTAGCTTTATATCACTACATCTCATGTAATCTACGATTAAAAGCTTCAAAGGCCGTCACTGACCATCGATTCCCATGTATTTTTTCTTCCTTCCCTCAACAGTTGGTTCGCAATGATTAATAATCTCGATACAATGGTCTTTACCCACACGACTTAACTAAAATTGAATGAAGATGCCTCGTGAAACATGGCAAGTCTCCATTGTATGAAACTTGACAAGGGGAGTCGACAGTGCCTTGAAATAATGTCTAACTTGCACTTTATTTCCCATTTGAGAAAGTCAAGTTCTTAACAATAAACAAGATTGAAATGAAACCAGCTGAGTTTGAAACGATACAAGCAATATTTAAACAATTCTGTAATTAAATATAATATAAAACAAATTCGGGAGAAGCAAGACATCTTGAGATTGCAAAATATGAATAAAACAAGACGAGAAGTGAACTATAAATTTTCGACTTTATTTCAAAGTCATCCTCATTCTGTCTGAGGATGAGTTTGAAATAAAGTCGAAAATTTACAGTGAACTTCTCGTCTTGTTTTGATTCATATTTTGCAATCTCAAGATCTCTTGCTTCTTCGGGATTTGCTTTATATTATATTTCTTTAAATTGTCGACTGGTCATGGTTTCTGTAATTAAAGGTTTGTGGAAAGTTATTTCATATTGTCTTTTATTATCAACGTTCAACGTGCCATTTCACAAATAAAATCGACTGAACTGAAATTACAACATTAAATACCGAAGTATGACAGGCAAATTGTGATGGTGTGTTGTTCCACATCGCGAAACGTTCATCTTACCATTGACCTGGCATGTAGATATTGTTTCCGTTCTAGTATGAAATTAAACTTAGTAAATTCCTCGGTGTCTCGATCGACGTAATTCGAAAAAATAACTTTCGAATGCCTTACATTAAAGTTGCCCCGTTGCCCTAAAGTTTGTCCGGCGTCCCTGATTGTAAGACTGTGAAAAGTCAAGTTTATGCACAACCACAAAAATACTCAGCAAACAGATACGTCAACTTCACTCTACTATTCATGAGACTCACCCCCTGTTCGGATTCCAGAAATATAAGCAGGTCAGCGGGAGTCAAGTAATCTTTATTGCTGGCATATCTACGGAGAGGTAAGAAATTATTTAACGAACTTAATTACAGGGATCTATCCACGATATTTTGCTGAAGGGGGACTCGACTTGGATTATATTTCTTTGGCTACTTGTAGTAGTAGCATTTCAGACATTTTCTTTAAAATCCCCACTAATTATATTTTCATATAAAGCTCGGACCCTATGTTCATTGAATGCAACATATCTACAGCTCCCAACTCTCAATACCTGGCCATTAAGAAATACACTTCTGGCCTCGTGGTGAGATCTTTGTACAGCTGAAGAAATTCTTCTTTATTTAAACTATTTTTCATTGATCTTGAATTATCAGCAACAACTTCCTGGAAAAATGAAAAAGAGCGATGGTAGGACAGAAAATATGGTCGTGTTCAAATAGCAAGAACGGCACTTCTATGTGTACACAACTTACATCAATAGGATAGGCTCATATTTGTTGCCAACCCCCCCCTTTCTCTCTCAAGCCGTACCTCCACAGAAATGTCAATAATACAAACACCTAAGGACACCATCAATGTAGATAGTCATTAACCTTAAACTTCTGTTTGACAACACGAGCTGGTGCTGTGACGTTGACTTGTTGCAGCAACGAGAGAACCTCGTTCTCGTTAAGAAAACCTTTATTCTTCGTGTCCGCAAGTATGAAAATTTCCTTCAACCAATTGCGGTAGGATTAAGGAAAACACGCAAAATGAACAAATATAGATGGTGCGCATTCAAAACATTCAGTAAAGCCGATGGGAAGGATTGAGAAAACTCAAAGTGGACTTCCTCCGAGTTCAGTTCTTTACAGAGAAATGTTTTCAGCCGATTGATTTCGGACTGATTTCTTTTGATAACGATGATACTTTCAAAGAGATAAGCAAGGCAGAGCTTAATTTATAAATATTCAATTCACCCACCCAACGTTCTAGTTTCGGTCCTGACAATGAACTTCTAAAATGAAGAAAGATGTTGTAAAATTTATCAAAGGGGCTTAAACAAAAGGATGTAATTTACAGGGCTGAAGTTGCTGCTCGTTTCAATACCTCAAAATCATTAACGTGCACACGACATTGATGATCCTATATTATTTAAGAAACGATCCATTGCCGGTACACGTAATTACACTTTTCTACAGTGCAATTACAGCTTCTCGACAATGCAATTACACATTTTTACAGTGCAATTACGGATAAACTGCACAGCAATCAACCAATCACAGTTGAGAAATATCTCGAAGAATAATATTAGTATAGGTAATAGCATTGTTTCGAGTGCAATTTGCGAAAAACATGTATGAGTGCATTGGTCAACTACCAGCAGATAATTCTCGATATCTGCAGTTATGACGCTATACCTACAGATAATAGTTTCTACAAACGTGGACGCCATTAAAAGCCTTTGAGCAAAAAAGAAGTCGAAAACACTGAAAAAGCGACGAAGCTTGTTTTCAACATATTTAAAGCATATTTAAACGAGAACAACTTGAACCGTTTTGTTTCAGCGAGAAATTAGCGAAGGTTTGAAAATGTTTTACATTTATCAGTTTTAATATTTAGTTGAGGCGAATAATAAAACAATTATTGAATTCGTTTTTCGCATGATATCAAGAATTGTTCAGACTTCGGTCAATGTTATCCGTCTCAGCTTCGCTTCGGCAGATAACAATGACATCGGTCTGAAAAATTCTTGATATCATGCTCAACCTCATCCAATAATTGCTTAATAATATACATGAAAAAATTTCTCAATTCTGTTGATTTTTAACTTCAGTGTAAGTACATTTCAGCCGGCAAGTTATTCATATCGACCGGCTGGTATTTTTCAATTCCGTCACTGGTGTGCATGTTTTTCCAAAATTGCACTCGAAACCATGATATTACCTATACAAATTGCACTGTATTTTATTTTTTTTGCACTCTAATCAGATTTGAGAAACTTTTTTCAGTATACTATTAAACAAGCAATCAGACGCACGCTCAAAGGGAGTTTTTTGAACATTCCACTGAGACGTTAGACCAATTATTGAATATTCGCTTTAAAATTTCGTCGACAACTGCACTACTACCATTTGCGTTCCAGCGTTGAGTGCGAGAAATTTTCACGATGTATCCGTGTCTGAAACGCTACATTTCCTTGTCGTTTACTGCATATTTTAGGCGTGGAATTTGTACCTTTTAAAAAAAATATGTCAACGTTCGACAAGTCGTTTAAAGAGGTTTCCTTGAAGAAACAACATCTTTGCATGTTTTCGTAACACCTTTATTTTTTACTTATACATTTTTTGATAACAATGTCCATTCGTATAAAAATTTGTATGGAGTTTGATTAGTTATTATAAAAGAAACACAATGAAACGCGTGCGGTGATTGGTCTAGAGCTGTGTTTGAATTAGCCTGTGCAAAACACATCCAAGCTCAACCAATCAAATCAATAATAACAATCAATCAGACAAAGAGAATTTGCAAATCGATCATGAATACATTTAGAGGTAAAATTAAAACGATTACTTTAAATTTGTCTGTTTCGCATTATTGTTATTTTATAAAAGAAATAAAAGATGTTTTTCGCGTTTGCACTCGTGTTTGTACTCGGAGACGTTTGTGAGAACTCTCGGGCAGGTGCAACCCTCAACCTTCGGTCTCAGGCTTGCACTGATTTCTTCTCGAGTTCTCCCAAACGTCTCCTCGGTTTGCATAAGCCTGTGCAAACACAGTAAGCATCTTTTAGTTCTTAATTGCAACTATAATGAAGATTAATCGTGAAGGTCAAAGATAATCGATGAAATGTTTCTTCGCGTAGCCGACAGAATCACGCAGTTTGGGGTAAGATATTTCTTTTCGGTCTGTTCAATGTGAAATGGAGAGATTTTAGGAGATTCTGACTAGAATGGTATATTTCGATTTGTCAGATTCAAAGAAATCAAGTCGACGTTTACGGGTTGCTTCTGCATGACTGCATTATTGTGAAGAAAAGACGAAGATTTTCTTATCTTTTCTGTTGACGTTACTGATGAACTTCTGAGTTGCTTCCACATTGTTATCGTGAATTCGTACACACATTCTAAAAATCCCATCAGAAATCAGTACTGCTGTTAAACAGCGCATAGCATCTTGTAGGTCGCATTCGTCCTTCATGGTTAGTTGTTACAAAGGTATTTTCATCGTCTTTGTGTTGTAGTCGCGCGTTTTGGGTGTCAACTCCGTCGATAAATTCACCAACTGTCTCAGCGACCATTTGTTTAAATTGATATAAATTTAAACAAGTCAAACTATTTTTTTGGATTCAAATGAACCTGATATCGAGAACAGTTTTCTCCATAATGAATTTTTATATGGTTGGTCATTGTTATCAAAAAAATGTATAAGTAAAAAATAAACGTGTTGCACAAACATGTAAAGATGTTGCTCGTTAACATATTTTCTTTAAAAGATACGAATTCCACACCTAAAACATTCAGTAAACGACAAGGAAACGTAACGTTTCAGACACGGAACATCGTTGAAAATTTCTCGCACTCAACAATTGAACGCAAATGGTACTAAACAGGGAAATAACTAAAAGGATATCGATCCCTCATATGCTGCCCACTATTGAAAGAGTTTTTGCCTGAAAAAAAAAACAAAGAAAGAAATTTTACTTTACAAAAAGTTTTTTGGGGATACATAATGTTAAGCTGTTGACAAAAAAATAAGGGGGGGGAGGGTCAAAATCATAAAACTCCATTCCGCGAGGTAAAAGTGATGTGTACACGCTGTAACTCACTTTTCAAATCCGACTCAAGAAGACAACGCAGACCAGTAATCCAGATGTTGGCGTCATCAGGATTGCTCGCAATCAGATCTAACTCGACAAAATCGTCGCCATATATAATTGTAAAGGCACAATCTTCCGATATATCGTCACGCTCGATAGCACGAAACACGACAGTGTTTTTTCCCGATCTTACTTCTTTTATCATCGACAATGGAACTGTAAGAAAAGGTCGTAATAAGACAATTGGCGAGTGTTGAAACAAAGGATTTGAATTTTCGGCAGCGGTAATCTCATTAAATTAAGATAATATGACGTATTGCCAAATTACAAAAGAAAAATTAAAGCGTTGCACACGAGTTAAAGGGATAAATGCCGATGAGTAATTAACGGTCACTTTAGTCTTGGGACAATTGTTCACAGCGGTTATAGAAATAAGCAAAATAGTGAAATATTTAAATTGCGTCAGATTGATAATTATCTCACCAAGCAATCGGCTAAACACTGACTTCCACATTATAACTAGAGCGTTGTCCTGCCATTCTGATTCTCTTCTAGGAAGCACTTTTCATTTGTGATTATTGAATTTATGTCGAGAGTTATCAAACGAAGTCCAATAGCTGGGAATGGTTTAAATGATAACTCCTTCTCTTGCACATTTCTCCTGGCACTTATGTCCGAGTACATATATTGTTGACTATTACAAAGGCGCAGTGAAAAGAAACAGTTGTCCAGGCAAATTGTTTCAATTTTATAATTGATATTTTGTATTATGTCTTATTATATTATCTCATTCCCCGGATTTGTAGCTTTCTGAAAGCAACTTTCATGGAAAAGAAACGCGCCTCGGCTCGGTTCGAATGTCGCGTCAAATGACATTTTCACGTCGAATATTATAATCGATATATTTGTTTTGACAAGTTCGTATAAGCTTATCATATCGCGAACATCCCTAATAATATGACCTGTTTTTAATAGCTGTTTAATTGTCTAGTTTACATTTGGCCGGGTATATTTGACTTTACTTGTAGAACAGAAAGCGAACATTGCGAATGATATAATTAAAATTTCATACAAACAAAAGCTTTTGAACTTTCAAAGGAACTTAAATAGATCAAAAACTGTATACGGCTCATGGCATAACTGGCAATCATTGAGCTAATTTATCTTTGGCATTAACATTTCACGATGTTCTTGAACGATTAACATTGATAACAAATCGACCGGCATTTGAAGAGCAAAAATGTAAAATATAAAAGAAAATTTGATACATAACAGCGTCGCATACTTTTTGAAACGGCGCATACCAAAAGTTCGAATAAAAGTTGCAACCGTTTTGACTATTCGGTCGACAATTCGGGTAGTAATGAATATCGAGGGTTCAATGTCACCCTTATCATAATAAAATCAACTCATGATAAAAAAGCTCGATTCCGCCAATGAAAATTGGAAAGAAATTGCAGTACATTGTCATCGAAGGAGGCGTTAAATTTAACCACATCATCGATTCCGGTGCGCATTAATGAAAAGAACGTCTCCGAAATTTTTTCGTTAACTCAAAAACATCTGAAACATCTGCAACGTATGGCGATGGCATAAATATTTCATTCGTTCGCCGTTAATAGTAGATAAACACGATGTTGATATTGAACAAGGATACATCAACACACTTCAAACCTACGAACATATGGAAGTTCACAAGCAATCTTCTGGCCATAAATCATAAACTATTTGTTTTGATCCGTACACAGAGACATACATGGAATGAAATTCCCTACTTTTTGCCTTCTCCGGTTTCTTGGTGGAAGGACTCCATCGCAGGCAAGAGAAATCATGTTCCAAGTAAAAAAATCGTAGATACTGTCTCGATGTCGAGCGAACTTTATGTAACTCGGTACCACTTTGCATGCACAATAAACAGTCGGAAGCTGTAAGGATATACAAAAATACATTTGTTTCAAAAACACACCGACACAAACGTATACAATTGGCGAAACCGTTAGCCTGAAGCAAGGCAGCTACGTTACCTTACCATTTGCCACCTTCTTCTCGCTAGGAATCGAGCTGAACGACACAGACTTCGATACAGTTCGAACAGATTTTCTCTTCATAATGCTCGACCGTCTTTGCTGAACAAGTTTTCCAGCAGAATTCTCACCAAACACATCCTCACAATCTTCGAGTGCGTTGTTGGGGGAATTATTCTCCGCGCTCTCTTCCCTCCTCTCCTGCTCTTCCATAACGGTTATGTCCAACAGCAACGTAAAAGATGTGATGTTTAAAAATACAACGTGTTAGAGATGTGTCTGCCAAGTGTTGATAACTGTATGTAAAAGATTACACGGAAATAAACGGCGTGTTTCCACTTTTATGAAACGCAATCACACACGATCACACACCGTAGAAATAAATCATTACTTCTGGAGACATTTCCATGTTCTAGACATACCAATATCGTAGGAAACTAAGGAAAGCGACAACTGTTTTTTACATCGTCATTGTCATCTACTAAACCTATTGTTATCCACTGTCATCCACGATAATCCATCGTTCTTTTTTCACTCCTGAATCCAAATAACTGCGTATATTCAATGGAAGAAATATTTTTTCTTAAGAAAAGAATAGTTTTGACTTTTACCGACAAAAATTGGCATCGTAGTAGCTGGTTGCACAGAGGGTAAATATATCGTCAAAAACTTTACTATAAGTAAAATCGTGGTAGTGAAGGTACTTAGTGTACTTTGTTATACTATTAATATTGCCGAAGTCAGTGCATGACACGCTGTCAACGAAGGTGTGAGTTAAATGTTTTTGTGTTTTACGGAATACTTTGTTGTGATTTTTATGATTTCAAGCTCAAAAATCGGGATTGATAGTAATACTAACAGTACAGACGACGTGTAAGATCGTATTAAATGTAATGCAACCTTGAATTTGAGTAGGTAAATTCTGATTAGGTAAATTTATAAATCAAAAAGTTCAAAACAACAAAGTACCTGGGTACGAGGCTGGTTAAATAAGATATCAATTCCTCTTGCTAGGACCTATAGAAATTGAGGCGCCCACGGAGGATATTCAAGGATATGCTTTATGTTATGCACATGATGGTGCAGTCGCTGACTATGTAAAAGCTATGAAATAAACATATTTTGTGAGTCTATTTTGATCACTGATCAGTCGTTACGATATATAGAAACGAGCGTAATGGACATTGATGGCATTTCGTTTTCTTATTTTTCTTGTAATGGATGTATGGATTAAACACATCAAGTCGACGTAATTGACTGTCTCACTCAAGTTCGAAATCACAGCAATAAACGAAAAACATTTTTCCTGATTATTTTTCTCGAAATTTTATTCGTTCATCTTAACTAAACTCTCTATTTTGGATACCCCCGGAGGTGCATGTTCTTGTTGACAAGAGAAAAGGGGTCTTAGGGGTGTATGGCCTATTGCAGTTTGTCAGTTTCGGAAGTTCACAATATCAACCCGTGACCCTCATAGACAGACAACATCCACAATTATTTCGACCAGAGTTTATGAGCACTGTACGCATTAACCAGTTCTTTTACCAATTTGGGGCAATGATGGGGTTCGCCGCGCTTTCGTAATTCTATGGTTGCCACAAGCCACCCGAAAAAAAGCCACTCGTGCCTCGAAAAAAACCCAGCTAGTGGCCATAATAACATTGATAAAATATTATTTTTTATTTTTTATTTAGCGGTTCAAAGCGATATTTTTTATTTCAAGCAATTTGATTGGCTGCCCTTTTTACGATATCTGCCCGTGGGCAGAAGCGATATTTTTTCGCAATGTAATTGTTTACGAAGTAAAATGTAAATTTGAAAAATAAAATTGATATAAAAGCGTTTTAAATTGGTGAACGAGTAGGCAAGAGTGAATTTTACTGTCTAGACGAAGCGAAGTTTGAAGAAAACAATCCAATTTTAGGCTCAACATTTTTTTCGCGATGTATTTGTTTTCGAGGCGCCAAATTGGACTTTATTCTAAACTTACAATACTACATAACATACTAAAATTATACATGGCAAACTTTATATACTTCGAGACAAATCTAAAAAATATATGCGAAACTTGCTGTAGGACATTCTAAACTTTTCATATACGTTCGAAACTTCTTGTATCGTATCGTCAAAATTTATAGCCTATTCCGAAGTTTCATGAAGCGTTCCAATTTTTATATACTGTATGGCGAACTTTTTACTTTTTACTTTTTACTTTGCGATCCCCACTCTGGATTTCATATGAATTTAAATATATTAGTGCCCAGGTCCCAGGTTTTTAGAGAAGTGTATTATTTTGATTTTGACGCCGCCATATTGACAACATGTTTGCATTCGACATCGTGCTATCTCGACTTTAAACTTAATAATTCAATCAAAATAAACTCTCACTACATGGCTGAAAATACTGGAAACTTTCGGGCTGCTTTATCAAATCTTGCTCAGGAGGCGCGTAATCTTCTGGATAATTTCGATCATAGAAACACTTTGACAATTGAACGTCGTCTGATAGAATCAAATTCTCAGGCAACTTTGACTCAGGAAGATGGGGGAAATATTGGAGGAAACTCTTTGTCCGTAACTTCTCTACCCCTAAATCGACCAAGTCTTCCGTCCAACAGACTGAGTCAATCCGTTTCAAACTGCCCAAATTCAAACACAAATAATATTGCAATAACACGTGGGCAAAGAAGCAGTGCAGATGTACCCGCTGCTCTTCGACGGTCATTTTCAACACTTTCATCAACTACTTCATCAAAGAAAATCAAAAGACCGCCATCAAAAAAGATAAAGAAACATTGTATTGTTCACAAAGATCTTGTCCTACTTCCATCTTCCACATCTCAATTAGTACCAACTCATTAAACAAGATGTCAGCTTGAAAATAGAGGATTTGTAGTACATGGATGCCCAATTGACAAGTCTTGGGAAGAGTTTGAACTCAAAAACAAAATATATGGATGGTTTCCTATGTTAGAAGAAAATAATATTGATATTGACTTTGTCAAATCTTGTTATGGTCAAATTGTCACTCCAAAACTGGCAGGAGGTGTTCAATTCACTTCTGCTCGAGTTTTAAGCCTTTCCGGACAAGAAAGTATTTATATAAGACCAAAAGAGGATCTTCCCGATGATGATGAAGGTACATTTACTCCAGGAACAGAAACATTTTCTGAAACATTTTGCATATGCCAAGCTCTTTAGATTCCAGTCAAGAGCAAGTTTTCAATAACAATGAGCCTTGCTCTTCATCTATAACAAGTAATGATGGGAGTGAAGCTACATTACAAGAAATGTTTCCAAACAAGGATGATGATGTGTTAAATCATGCTTTAGAAGTAAGTGGGACTGTAAATAGAGCAGCTTTGGCACTTTCTGCAAACAGCAATGAGCAATTGTTATCAATTGGTGATGATACTGATGATGAAGTTCGTATTCAAGGTGTCTCTTCTTTGTCTGAAGAGGCATGTCTGCATGCATAAAGAATTTCATTGATCAGGTGATACACTACTATATACCCAATACGTGTCGCACATAAACCAATCACAATGTTACGACAAGTACTAACGAATATAAAGGACAAAGAACAACCCAACAAACGACAAGGTGCAGTTTACAAAATAAACTGCTCCGTCTGCCACGCCTCCTATATCGCCTCCTATAAACATAAGACTTACTGAACACAAACGAGCTACTAAGGAACAAGACAAAACTAATCACGTTGCCGAACATCACCGAATCAGAAAGCGCAACATTGACTGGGACTTGGCAAAATGCATTACTTACAGTACTGACTGTAGACAACGGCTTACATTAGAAAGTTCGTATACCAACTTGGAACAAACCCCCCTGAACAGATCACAGCAATTACCGGCACCTTATAAATGACTTATTCACAATACAAACAAACGATCAACGAAAAACATTACACTTCACACTAATTTGCAATGACAATACACAATTGACACCCACACATTACACTAAAAACATCACACCTAAATCACACTTCACAACTACAAAACATTTCACTTCACACTAAATCACAATGACAGTACACATTTCCTGTACACAAAATACAATAACTTAAGAACCAGATAACAAATATGGCTAACCTGACGTTTACTTCTCATTTGACTCTGAAGATGACTACCGCTAAGGTTGTCGAAACGTCAGTCAACAACAACAAAAACAGTCCTTCTCAGGACTACAGCAGCCTGGATGATCTACATTTACAAACATGTAACGATACTCCCGGGTTCAAACCATTTACTTTATGATGCAATTGGATTTGAAACATAAAATGTGACCATAAGCACAAAGAATCATTGGTGTGTGACACATACATAGTTTATGAATTTTTGTCCTTTATTGCTAATAATCTGCAGCAATTTATTCTTAATGCAGATCATCCATTTCTTGAAAAATTTCTGATTTTTACTACTGCTTCCACCAGACTGCCAAATTTTGGATTCGGTAAGATAAAAGTAAAACTCAATAATGCCACTTCGTTTTTTACGTCTACTTGCCTATTTAGTGTTACTCTTCCAAACGAGCTTATAGGTCAAAAGTCTTTCAATGCATCATTAAAAGCTGTTCTTGAGTCATCTAAGCAGTCTTTTACTTCTCCGTAGGAATGTATAAGTAGACATTCATAGACTGCATAAGAATAACTGTTCTTACAACAAATATAGTTTGATGAAATGTTACGTTTTCGTTTTAAGTATTGTTAGTGTTTAATTGTTAAAGTTTTGGAACATTTTTTAAATGTTATCTTTCGTTAAATTTTTATAGTTCAGTTAAGATATTGGCAATAAAAATAACAACTCTTGGATTTACGTAGTCATTATTTTTAAAAAGCAGACACGAAATTATAAACTTTGCAAAAATAGCCTTGCCATGAAGATGGTCGCTGCTTTAGAAGAATCATATCATTTTACCCTTGTTGTTACGTCATATCTGTTGATGGAAGTACAAATTCAAGATGGCAAAAGCATTTTAGTTGTTGCTTAATATTTTTTTTATTTCAATATATTTACTCGGAAATTGAAAAAGAGTTTGCAATATTTCAAATGTTTTCCCTAACATAGATGGCAAACTTAATTTTTGTTGCCAATTCTTACTGTATTAGTCGACATTGTTTGACGAATTGTTGAAATTTGTCTGGCATATCTACGTATATTATTACATGAATATTACAGAGCAATCTTACACATAGTTACTGTGTGCCTTGATATATACTTCAATTGCATGGACATGCATGATCATCAGGGGCGGATTATCTGGGAGTAGCAGGGGGTGCGCACCTTCCCCAAAAAATTCACCAGCAACCTCCTAAGAAAAATTCAAAATGGGATTACGTAATGTAGATGCTTAATACAACAGTATTAGAGGCTATGAAATTGTACAGTAAGACCTAGTAAAGGTTGAACTTTTCATTTCAAAAGCAATTATATATTTTATACCACCACCATTTTCAATTGAGTATTACCATGTGCGTTTTCATGAAAACATTGAAGTTGAAATAAATCACTAAATGCGCGCTCATTGAAAAAATCATACAAATGTTTTTTTTAAAAAGGTAAGCCTAAAAATCTTCTGTAAGCCTAAAAATCTGCAATAGCCCAAAGCTCTAGCAACTTTAGCTACGATGACTATGCACACCCTCACATTCTCAAGTCTGACGTGAGCGTTACAACGATACCCACAAACGAGCTGCCAAAATCTTATCCAAAACAGAATCGAACAGAGCACACACACCCCCCTTACAAAATCATCCATGTGGGACGCTGAATTTTACCCCTGTTTTTACCCAATTCATTTCTTGTTTATGAAAAAAGTGCATTCCACCTTCCCATGCTTGGCTGGATGACTCAGTAACTTTACCATACTATTTTTGTGGTAAATATATTAGGGAGGGAAGTTAAAATGGAATAAGAATAGAAAGTTCTACAATAAAAGACTACTTCAACCATTATTTGCATAAAATTAGAGTCGACAATACACATAAATGATGGCATTTACATACAGCAAATCGTTTTACGTGGGTTTCCTTGATAGTGTAAAAGATACAACAGCAGTTTCATTACATTCGAGTACTAAATGCAAAAATCTAGTTCCGTGTTGAGATCGTGACCATGTACTCTTTCGGACGGGATGTCATTTGTACGACTGGGTCGTCTAATTTTGGTGCTATCGTATTTTCAGCTAGCTCAATACGATAGCGAGAGAGGAGATGGGCAAGCATCATTACCACCTCAAACTTTCCAAGATCTCGGCCAGGACATGCGCGTCGACCAAGGCCAAAGGGCATGAAGGATGGGATCCCAGACCACCCGACAAATTTACCATTTTCGTCCAGAAAACGTCCCGGTTTGAAAACGCTCGGATTTTTCCATGTATTTGGATTGTGGTTAACGCTGTGCTGGTTCAAGAAGACCAACATATTTTTTGGTATGCTGTACCCCATTACGGATGTTTCGCGCATTGTACGATGCAAGCCAATAAGTGGGCTCAGTGGTGTTGATCGCATCACCTCGCAAACGAAAGCGTGTAGGTAATCGAACTTTTTAACTTCCTCAAACGTTAACACCTTCCCCTTCTCGTAGCTTGTGTCCAATTCTTCTTGAATCTTTGTTTGTATGTCTTCCATAAGAATCAAATGAAGCAAACACCAATTCAAAGCGGAAACACTAGTATCCACTCCTCCGACAATCACGTCCATCATTAAGAACACGATGTCGTCGCTTGTGCCAACTTGTTTCTTACCTTCTTTCTCCTCTTTGAAGTAAGCCGCCAGCATGCCATCGGTGATGTCTCGGAGGTTGTCGCTTTTGAACGTTTTTTTGTGATGTTCCAATAATCCCACAAACAGTTCTTCGCGAGTTTTAAGCACATTATCGAGATTTCTTTTGAATTGACTTGGCAGGAAGCGAAGCAACGGGATAAGCTGAAAAATGCTTCCTTGACGTCCCAAAAAACTAATGCTGTTAATAAAGTTAATTATTGTTTGCACTTTAGGATCGTCATACGCCAACCGTTCAGAAGAAATCCACTCCCACATGTGCTTTATGATTTCAGATCGAATGATGGTCATGATGTTAAGCTTCTGCCCCACACATTTATCCAATCTGGAGCAAAGCAACGAAACCGTCTCGTTTAAACGCTTCTCGAGTTTTTCCGTTTCTTCGCCGAACAGATGGAGCGCCGATTTGAAAACTTTCGAGCGAAAAACGAAAAGTTGCCCGTAATCCGCCGTGACAATATCTTTTTCTTCAAACAAGATATTCATAGGGTAAAATTCCTTTACTGGTCGACCAGCGAAGTCGGTTTTTCTTGTTACCAAGGCTTCCCGAGCGGCTTCAGCGCTGTTTAGAAAAAGACAATAACCGAAGGGAAATTTTACCGTCATGACGTCCCGATACTTCAGACACATCTCCAACATGGTATATGGAGGATTATTGCCCAGCTGATGCAGGTTTCCAATGAGTGGCAACGGAAATGGACCTGGTGGCAATTTTCTGGTTTCGAGCCATGTTTTTGTGATGAAAGCGATGACGTAAAACACAGCCAACGCCAACGATACTTCCAAGAACATTCTAAAGACAAATTTGAATTTGTGTATTTTGTGCGTCAATTCACCGTTAATGAGGGAGATCATGTCCATATATTCTGCCATGTCAGGCATATTTCTTGATCAAAAGAAATTTGCCAGGTACGTCAGAATAAATGAATTTTGTCCTCTCTCAGTCAATGAACGTTTGTTGACGCAAATGAACAAAAGTTTCTTATTTCATGGAGCATCGTGTATTCTGTTCTTTGAAAATAAACAAATAGGCGGCCAATGGTGTATGAGCACAAATTGAACTATATCTACGGCTAAGTCACTAAGCCCAACGATTTAGTGATTTTGCAGATCGTTGCAAATGTTGTCCGTCAAATAAGAATCAGATATAAGTTGTACATACCTTATTGTTAAATGTGATTTACAATGCTTAAGAATGAAATTTACACAATACTTGACAATGCAATGGGAAGAAGCAGTACTTTAGTGATGTCAATCGTAACAAAGATTGCGATAAACTCAGGTTTATATTGGTTTAATGTGCTTCTCCTCAGTTGACCAGTCAGTACTCTGTACTCAGTGCCGGCTGGCACCAGGCATTCAGTGCCTGACAGTGCTAGGAAAAGGTCCAAACATTCATCGGATATTTGAACTTTGCAAAAAGGTTAGGAACTATAGCATGAAGACGAAAGACCTGCATGGGAATGCGTATTTTGTTAAAGCCGCTTGTTCATGTGAAAAAGTATTTTTCACAACACTTTATTTGCTAATATTGTGTATTTTGTAATGAAGTGCTTCGAAACTAACCACTTTGAAGTGGGATGAGTTTGCGCAATAAAGTTGCTATCTTATTTCCAACCACTGAATATTTTATTTTCTGGGTGGTGCAGTGGGAGATGCCACTATCCAAATATCTGATTTCACCCCCAAAATAGATTATTCACAGTCCATGAAACATTTTAACCCCCCGGAAATTTCAGCAAAACAAATCAGAAGTACTGTTGAACTAAGTATTTTGGGCATTGCTTCTACTGTACATACTACTTTCGGTCGCTGCACTGCTCGAGCGCCTTAAAAATATAGACACTTATTGTATCTTAAGGCACTTTCAAGCTCAACCCACAAAAATGTTTCTAGAACTACCCTTGTAAAAAATAAGAAAATCCGTTCACGTTTCGAGCTGAAGTTGTTGTTCTGTAAACTTGGAAAGCTTCCATTTATAAAAACTACTCCTTTGCTAACTTAAGTTGATTTGCTGGGTGGCTGTCCGCCATGTTTATGACAGTTCAATGTTAGATCGTGGGCATGTCTTGGGCTGGAAATTAAACACGACACCATGCACTTGTGTTCTAAAACAGCACTACTATAGCTGTAAGTACATTATGAGAGTTGAACAATTTCCAAGAGCTCAAATAACTCACGATTATTATCATTGTTGTTATTATAGTTTCGTAGGGCATTTAGTTTCGACTTGTTACTTTTAGCAACGGTTAATTTCAAATATCTCAACGTGTTTACAGTTGTGTAAGGTCACAGAATATATACTATACAGAAGGGTGAAGGCCATTGAGTTCTATAATAACTCAATATAAAACTCAATTATAGAACTCAATGGTGAAGGCTATTTCAGATATGGTAGAGCACCTTGTGCCCAGGCCCTTCTTTTCCTGACACGCACGTGAGTAAATGATATTCTCCTTATCATGATAACATTCCTATTTCTTACGTGCTTGCAACTTGCCATGGCGTTTTATACTTTATATGGCTTTACAGAAGATAGTGGGATAGTGAAATATCCTAAATAATAGCGGGTTTTATTCAAACATCATTTCAAAGATAAAGATGACTAAGGTGACTAGGTGAGCAAGTATTGTATACTTTTAATTTATTTACCGATATTTTGTAATTTGTAGTGCTGTACTTGCACTGTGCGAATTATTGCAGCGACGGTTTTTAGCACATTTCTATCAACGATAAATGGTAGTAAATACTCAATTTTCAATTGTGTTATGTTAGTATTCAAATTCAAACATTCTTGATGATGATATTTTCGCCCGAATCATTACACAAGAAGTAATTACAGGGCAAATGCAACAGTTAAAATATAAGACAACAAATACTGCACTGGAAACGTGTAAAGCACAAGCTAAGTTTGTTATTATATAGGCTATACATTGGTTTAGGTGTTGAAGCAATCGCCATATTACTTGGAGTATGCTATACATATGTATATGATACACAAACTAGTATTACTAATTACATAGGCAATGGGTGATGATTGATTTTGGTGGATGTATTTACACATCCCATCCTTTAGACTGTTTTATGGGAATGGTTGTTGTGTGTTAACTTTACCTAGACAATCATTAGCCTATTAGTAATTTTGTGTCAAAACATCAAAATTGACATGAGGGCAGCTTGGGCATATAATTTTACTCTCTATTTGCATGTTTTCTCCATTTCCAATCACCTGTCATTTATTTTAGGAAGAGTCCTTTCAGTTTATGGTGGGCAATAAAAGTGAGGATTCCTTGTTGTAGGATGATTTTCAGAGTCAATACATAATATGTGGTAGGATTGACAGCACCGTATACATTTTAAGTTTTCTTCAAAAACAGGTGCTCCACATAGTGGGCATTTGGAAAGTTCTGGCTGTTGTGAGTGTTGTTTCAGACAAGTTCCTCTTATTTTGTTGTAAATTCTAACCCTCATCTTATATGGATCACAGCCATCACTCATTGACTTTCCTTGCACAAACTGTGATGCATACCAGCAAACAAAAACACCACAACTTGAAGTATCTTGTTGAAGAGTATGCGGCGGTGAGGATCTGAAATTCTGACAGACCAAATTTGTTTTCAATAATTAAGGATGAATTTTGCTATAATCTGCATCTGTGCCTTGTTTTTAATATCATCAGCTGCATTCAATGGATCAACTTAAAAAATATTTCTCTGTTGCAGATCTATGGCAATCAATGTCCAGTGACAGTGAGTTGGGTTCCAAGGTGCTATAATGAGATTTTTTTCATTGCTCTTTTCAGACCAAAGTCTTCCTCCCTGACCACCATTTTGCAAGGAAAGCATTGATGTGGATGCTGCATAAAGAACATATTCATGATCTTCCTGTAGACACCAGAAAAATGAATTGATTACTTCATCATACAACCAGCCAGGTATGAAAGGTTTTTCACTCATGCTACTAAGTAAAATCTGTGTTTCTCTGTGCAAAATGGCTCTAATGATTTAATTTCTAGCAGAGATACAGAATGTGGTCCATTCCTTAATAGTTTTGCGGTGATTGATGAAGATTCTGTAATGAGAGGTGTGAAACCTGTGTGAGGAGTTGGCATGAAAGGAATTGTTTGTGTATCTTTGCTGGATGATTGCGTTTCCATTTTCTCTAGAGATAAGTCTTTATTATAGAATTTTCTCATCATTGCAGCATGTTGGCCAACTCTTCTATTGTATGGGTGTATCTTCTTTAATTTTGCAGATGGTAGATTAGATAATCTGGCTTTTTTTAGGATTGCTGGTTGTTGACTTGCTGATATTTGATGTTCTTTTTTTACGTTTCATTGACGTTTTCCCGGCGTCAGGAGCTGTAAGTGCTAGTCCTGAATCAGTATTGCTGTTATTCTCAAATTCCTGAAGTGCAGACTGAAGACTCTTTTCCAGGCTGGCTAGTGAAGTTGAATTAGTACACTCGTGGACCAAACTCTTTATTCTAGATAACAGATCACAACACCTAGTAATAGCTGTCCATTTTGGGAACACTGGTTTAGGTAGAACAGCTGTCATAGTTTGTTTTATGTCAGCTTCTTCTGTTTCTTTTTCTTGGTCATGAAAACTTTCTGCACCACAAACTTGCTGAGCATCGTCAACTCTTTTCAAAATATGATCAATTGGTTTGAAGAATAGCTATATCGACATCTAAGGTCAGAAATGGAGAATCTTTATATGCTGTTGGTAGGTTTTTCCATCCCCAACTTGTAAATTTTTTATTTTGAATAATCGCTAATAAGTGCTTGCATGGTAAATAGTTTCGTTGCCAGTCAAGACACTCGCAGCAAGGTTTTTCTTTGTCATGAGGTGCCCTAAAATATACATGATAGTTGTGCTTTCCCATTTCACTGGTTACTAAAAATGCACCCATAGAGTCATCCACCAAAGCGATTGAACGTACATCTTCAGCATAAACAAGACGTTTCATGCAATGGTCGATAAGGTAGTTAGGACGATTATGCAGAAATTCTGGAATCTGTTTGTTATAACGCTTATATGCTGTGGAGCATTTTGTATTTTCGTTAATGTAGCTGAAATAAAAAATATAATACACAACTTTTTGGTGCAAGCACACAAAATTTAATACAAAAATTTTGGTTTTAAAACCAGTATGCATGAGATTCATGCAACTTCACTTTACGGTTTACTCTCGGCATTAATATAAATAATATACGTAAGCTAGCCAGGATCTGCCTCTCATTCAGAAAGAAAAACTGTGTCACCTTAGATCATCTATTAATTGAATGCCAGACTTACCTTTCGTATTTGTCAGGAAGAAATTCATTTACAAGAATTGTTAACATTGCGCTGAGAGAATACTTTCGTAAAGTCAGTAAATACTGGTGTTTGAAAGCCCCATTTTGTCTTTCCAACCCATTGTTTGTGCTAACATAAACAAGCAGACGCTCTTTCTGAATGCCCATACCCATCTCTGTAAAAGTTAAATATCAATAAAGTATAAAAATGGTTGTAGGTTTTACTTGTATTGACCTGACGAAGAAGGAAAGTACAATGAAACGTACTTTTCCACGTTTTTCGTGTAAACGCTTGTGGTAGTTATTTGTGCAGTACATTTTGCGGCCGTGCAATTGCTAAGTCTGTATTCTTTTTTTTACCTTTTTGTGTCTTATCCACGTGTTTTCCAGCCACCTTTTAAAGCTGTTATTGGTCTTCCACTCGCAGCAACTTTTTGCAGGGCATTTTCGTATGCATCCTCAGTTCTTGCCCGTGCCAATTGTCTCATCAAAGCCAATATAAATTCACGGTTGTCTGCGATTCCATTATCTTTTTTAGATGTCCAACGTTCCCATGCTTGCTCTCGATGAAAATCGCAAAGCAGCACTTTGCAGTCTGAAAATATACCCACATGTTACACTCCATGATGAATTGCAGAGCTACGTAGCCATGGTATATAGAACTTTTTAAAAGGATGTTTAACTTTGTCAACACGATTACATATATATCGTAAAATAAAATAATCTGCATGTAGAAATTGATCAACCCTTTCTTCCCTTCCCATGTCCAAAGTTTTCTAATATTATTATTATATTTGATTAGCGATGGAAGAAATATAACTTGTGAATTGCTGTTCATTGCTTTTATTATTTAGGTGTTACATGGTTGATTTAGTGCAATAAAGAATGCCAGATGTTTTGGTCAAAACCTCTTGCAGCTCGTGCCTCATACCTGGAAAAACAAACTCAATTGATTTTATTTCTTCTTCACAAAGATCGGTCATCATATGCTGTGGGTTCCATCGTGGATTCCATTGATGTAAAATACTGAGAGCTTCTGTTATACTAGCTGTTGTTTCATCTTGTATTACAAAGGATGAAACGATAGCATAATCAACATTAGTCTTCACAGCAACAAAAAATAATGGCAAGGAATACTTTGTGGTTTTGTATGTGGCATCTAGGAAAGCTAGTTCCTGACCATAACGACAAAGTAACCTTGATTGCCAAGCCGTTTGGTGTATAAACAAAAGTCGCCCTTTTTGCTCCTTTGCAGTCGTCATAACCTCTTCATTTAAACTTATATCGTCATCGCTGTCTTCTTCATTTTGTAAGTCTGTATTTTTGAATTCACCGCTTCCTTCAACGTATGGACGGAAATAAAATCTATCGTTGCTCAAAGCCTTTTCGCATTTCCATTTTTCAACCAGTCGAGTGACGTTGTCTTGGTCCATAAATGAAAGCCTGGGTCTCATTGCCGCGTTGTACATGTGATTTTTTATTGTTTTAGCTCTGGGAAAGTATCGTCGATTGTCACGCAGAGGTTGTTCTTTTCCTCAAAAAAACTCATCCTTCATGTATATTTTCAAATGACGTTTCATCTCATGAACAGTTCGCACTCCTTCACTGACAAGTTCTTCTATCTTTCTAATAACCTTTTCATCTAGTTGTTGTGTCATTCCGCTGTGCTGAAATAGCAAAAGGCAAAACTAGTTAGTGTCATGAATTTTATCATGCACATGCCACAAATGATTGTGATGTTCTTGTCTACAGATTGCAAGACGAGCATGTCAAACAAGAGCATATACCATTCCAAGTCTGTGCGTGGTGTGATCTTCTGGCCGTGGAAATGAAATATAGATTCTGCGTTCAGTTTTTACTGAGGAGCTGGGGTTTATTAAATGGGCTCGCAAATCAGCAGAGGTCGTGTCACGTTTCTTCTTTTTAGCGTCATGTGGCACCTAAAAATATTGCACTCTAATCTTTTAGAAAAAAACCAATTTAACATGTGTATACTTGTCGATTTACTATGAACAAAAATAAAGCCACAGTATAAGCAATTTTCTTTTTTATTAGTAATATACCTTGTATTCTGGAAACTTTATTACTTCTTTCATTTGTATGATGGCTGTGCAATCAAGTTTTTTACTATCTTGCTTCCAGAAACGTCTCTGTTTTATAGTATGATCTCCACGGTCGCCCTGTAATATGAGTAAAACTTTAATTTTAAGTCCAATTTACTTTCATTACCTAAAGAATTTATGAAGAGTAGTGGTGTCATCTAGAATAATTACCATGAGATTTGATTCATGTTTTTTTTTCTGATAAACGTTCCTGTCTACACCGTGTTGGCATTCCAAGACATTCGTTCCAACCAAATAGAACGGTACTCCATCAAAGGGATGGGCTTTTCAGTACCGGATTTAGATTCCCACCAAATACGGTGTGGTTTTAGGTCATTTTGGTCTAACGCACAAAACCATTGTAACAGTAGTTTTCATAGATTATGTTAACATACAGCGAAGCAATATAATATGTTACGTGAAGATGAGGAGATTTTAATTTCGTTAACAAGGTGCACTTTTAATAAATTAAAACAGGCCATGACCATGTACGATTATTATATTGATATTATACAGCAGGAAATGCACAAGATGAATCCTAACAACTTCCGTAAATACTTAGCTGCAGATAAACATTACATTTTAAACCTACTGATTTTATTGATTTATACTTGGTTCAACAAATGTATTCGACATTCTACTAAAATAAATACTTAATAATGTGTGATGATTGCATCATCACGGTAGAGTATTTCAAATATTCGCGCTCAAAACGCATTTTACCGGTGGCTACAAAGCTCTTTGTTTTCGTGAAGACTGTGAATTTTGTCGTGGTCGCGTTTTCAAAATCCCTCACGAGCTCAAGCGCTTTTTCCAAAGAACTTACATAACCGAAAAAAGGATTTTCTTCGTTGACAATATTGTCAATTTTTGGAATATGTAAATCAGATAAAGTATAATCTTCCATGTTGCGAAAGAGTAAGCGCGATGTAATATGTAAATATGCTGAAATTAATTATTAATAGCTTTAAGTAGACAAGTTAAAGCTAAAGGACCTGGGCACAACGTGCTCTACCACATCTGAAATAGCCTTCACCATACAGAAGGGCCACTCTTGAGTTAACTTGTCGCTAATTTTTTATGCGCATGCTCCAATTCCGCCATCTTCCTGGCCAGTCAATAGAGAGTTTACGAAACTTCACATTTTGACGACGACGCCGGGAGTTAATGCTAGTGCGCATGCTTCTTAACATTTTGGCTGCTTCCTTTGGCGACGACGCCGTGAAATCGTCTTCTTTGGACGCGTCCTGCATGTTCAAGATGGCGGATGAACATCAAAACACAAAAAGGTAAGAATCGAACAGTTTTAAGTGTTTAAAGCCTTTTTTAGCAATAAGTTATTGTTATGTTCAGTTTGTACTGAGATAAGGGTAAATTATTTAACACACAGAGTACTAAATCGATTGTTTTTTTCAAATATTACAACTCAACTAATATTTTATTATATTTTTATATGCACGAAATATTATATATTTATAATTAGTTTATTTGTTTGGTTTCCTTTGCATTCTTATTTATTTTTGTAATTTTAGCAAAAAAGCAATGACTTGGACAAATGAACATGATGAAATTCTAGTTCGTGAAATGTATTTATTCCAACCATGGAACTTCAAAAAGGATCACAGCAACGAGGTAATGCATGGAAAATGATCAGTGATTCCTTAAATGTTATGGATCACCCAAAGTTTAACGTGACGCAAAAGTCTGTTCGAGATCACTACACTTTACTTCAAAAACAACAAAAGAAAAGATTAAGAGAGGAGGAAAAAGCTTCTGGGATCTCTCCAGAGCCATCTGCAGTAGAAACTCCATTGAGGAATTTATTCAATTGTTCAGAAATAGAGATGAAGAAGAGAAAATTTGGGAGAAACAAAAACAAAACTCTGTTGCAGAAGTAGAAAAGGCTGTGGAAATGAGACAACAGTCAATGGAAACATTAGCTGAAACTTACAAAAGAAAATTTCAAAGTAACAGGAGTTTCGTTGTTCAAATGATCCAGCTGCTGAAGCTTGTTATATAAACTGGATTGGGCAAGCATTGCGCTGTCATGGCGTCTACCCTCCACAGGACCAAAGAGATTAGCCACAAGACCATTTGGAACAGCAACTGACTGAAATTTTATGGCATGAACTCTTTTATGGCCATTATAAAGAACTCTTTGATTTTGACCAGGTTTAGAAATTGGACGTACTGTCCCATCGACAAAACCAAAACAATTTTGTAAGGCACCACTCTTCTGAAACACTGCATTACAAAATTCTTGAATGTTGCCGGAAGATAACCATGGTTGATCAAATGTTAACAGCAAGCGGTTCCACTCCATGTATAAAAAGTTTATGACAGCATTACTGATCATACAGAGTTGAGGGACTGGTCTACCAAATCTTGGCAACATATCCAGGTATCGACAAGGGTAGGCAAAATGTTTCAAAAATATGCACAATGCCTCAACTCTATCAACCTTAAGGCCGTTATAACATGTAATAAATTGTGGTAGCCTCGAAGCATCCACAAGAATATAAATGTGTGATTTCATAAACCGAAATTCTGCTTTACACTCGTCGTCGCTTAATTTATCTAAATCAAACTCTTCGTATTTCCAATAAGGCAAATCCGGACTTTTAGCAGTATATAAGTTGAAAAGCAAAATAAAATCTTCGTCGTTGATTGATTGATCCGAATAAGACATAAAAAGACGCTCTCGAATTGCTCTCCACTTCGGCATTTTTTGTTTTTGAATTTTTTTGAAAGCAATGTTTTCTGATTTATTTTCCCGCCAATTATTTTTCCGCCGAGGCGACGTTGTAAATTTGCGTAAACTAAAAATACGCTTGCGCCGGCGTTGTGAAACACAAGACGCCGGCGTTGTGAAACACAAGACGTCGCCGTCACGAAAAACAGTGGAACGTAAACTCTCTAATAGCTGGAAGCAGAGCCCTCTATAGTATAAAGCCATAGGTGTCATAAAATAAACCAACTGAGCAGTATGATACAGTTTTTGTCTCGCAAGTCATTAGTTTATGTTAACAATGTGATGCAAATTAGACATTCTTAGTTAAAATTGTATTGGCATTGTAGAAGAAAAACAAATAATAATAGTACCATGATAATAATAAAAATTGCATTTATTTAATAAGGATAACTTCCTCAGTTTTCCTACATCAATTGCCCTAGAGTAACTACGTATATATCACTCCTGGTGATATATGTATCGCATCCATTTTCTGTCATATACAACCACAAATACAACCCAGAGCCACAGAATAGATATATACAGAAGCGCCACTCAGCGAAAAATCTGTCGCCTACTTGTACCAGTCCTTAAGTGCGCATCTTTTGCGTCCGCCATTACTCCAGCCAGATAAACTGGCCAGAATGTATATAGATTAGTATTATGGAGAGTTGTTTTTCATAAAATTGATGGGTTTTGATTCACATATGGACAACAATTTTAATGCCTTTAAGCAGGATATAAAGGAAATAAGGTAAGAAATAATTTTAATACAATATACGTTCGTCATTCGTATTCTACGGGTTTTATAAGTTTCTTTCATTGAATTGTATTGGTTACGAGATCAATGTTTTTACAACGTGTATGATATTGAAAGGTAATTTGTTGAGTCATGCTCATAAACCACAAAAAACATGTTGAGGAAATAGTATATGCGTAGTTTAGTTTATCAATGTATCCGTTCCCACACGGCTAAGAGCCAAGGAACAGTTATTGACGTTAGTTAAATTTCCTTATGTACCATATATAGCTTAAACAGAGGAACTACTTCGACCAATAATAATATTTGTTTTTGGTGAAAAATACTATAAATACTGCTCTGTAAAATAATGAAAATCAGTTCGATCATCAAGTTCACTCGAAGATACTCACCAGAATTACAATCATTAGCTGTCTCTCTATGCCATGCTAGTGGAAAAGCATACAAGCTTCTATCAAAGCTTTTTATTCTGCCATCAATGACATCAATAAGAAGATTTGTTTCAAGAATTCCTATGAAAACAGGCATACCACAAGCAACATTAAACCTATTAAAAGAGAAAGTTCTACATATGAGTGAAATGGAAAAGACATGTACATTATGTGTTGATGAGCTATCTTTAAAGACCCACCTTTACTACAATATCACAGATGACAACATAGTAGGTGTGGAAGACTTTGGTGGTGGGTGCAGAACAAACAAAGTTGCAACATCTGGTCTCGTGCTAATGTTAAGAAGTGTTTCTGGGGGGTGGAAGCAACCATTGGGTTATGTACTTGTCAACGAGTCCTGTCCTGTTGATGTTTTGGAAGAAATAATCAAAGAAGTCATTGATAAATTGAAGGAAATTGGATTGAATGTCCTGGTCATTACATCAGACATGGGGCCCAAATTCTATAGCTTATCTCTTCGCTTAAATGTAAATTGTGACCAACCATGGTTTCTGCACAATAACAAAAAAGTTTACCTCATGTTTGATCCACCACATCTAATAAAGTGCACGAGAAACAATCTGATAAACTACAATTTCCAATTTGGACAACATGTTGCCAGTTGGAAGGACATAGAGAACTTCTATGTAAAAGACAAAATGCTATCAATCAGAAATGCTCCATAGTTGACAGATAAACACATCCATCCAACTAACTTCCAAAAAATGAAAGTCAAATATGCTACACAGATTTTTAGTCATACCGTTGCAGCAGCTATTTGCACATATGTCAGCTTGGGAGGTTTATCATCTTGTGCCAGTGGAACTGCAGAGTTTCTCTTGAAGTTTGATTCCCTCTTTGATTGTGTAAATAGCTCGAACCTAAAAGCAATGAAAGAGTTGAGAAGACCAATCACAACAAAGAGTTCACACATCACATTTTTGCAAGAATCCTTACAATTTATTAAAAAAATTAAAGTTTTCAATGGCAATGAGGATGTAACAGGCAGGATCAAATCTCTAAAAGGTTGGTTGGTTACAATTAGTGCAATTATAAACATCTGGAGTACATTGCAAACATGTCGTCCGTATTCAAGTTCTACTTTGAATGTTTCTACAAACACTTATTTTTCAAATACGATATCGAATTGACTGATATGACATAGAAGACTCGCTGCGATTTACTGTCTCTACTCGAAAAACGCAAAAAACTGCCAATGTGCCGAACTATTTTAGTTTTTGGTTAAAAACTTGTCCTTGGCACTATAAATTACATTGCGATCTGGCTGCATTTATCCTGGCTGGAAACATGGCTGCCGTGTAAAGTTCCCCGGATGCTGCGGACACGAACATCAAAGGTTCCGACATCGAGTGGCGCTTCTGTATATATCTATTCTGTGCCAGAGCCATTGAGTTCTATAATAACTGGAGCGGCTATCTTTACTGGGGCGAGGTCGCCAAAAAAATGGCGGCCAACGGACGTATAAATGATCGCTTTGCAGAAAAATAATATTCTCGACCTCCATGGTGTATATAGTAAATTATAAAGAATTTTCAAAACCAACACGATATCGTTAGTTCCATATTCTGTGACGATATCTTTTGGCATTTCTTTATAATGCCAACACTTCAATCGTTCAATTGTTGGATGTCGTAGTTTCCACAAAAGGAACATATCGCTTCTCAAGATAGTTGCTTAGTTTTTAGTCCGTCAACGATTGAAAACTGAAAAGCAATTATACATGCACTTTAAAGCCATAAAATACATATTAAAGATCGTATTTTTAAGAAAAAATATACTGATGTTTTCCTGTTTTTGTTTATAAAATTCTGCATACTTTTCTAAAGTCTGCATGAAGTCGTAAATTTACCCATCTATTTGCAAAATAGTTTCCTAAAGCAAAAGACCCTGCACACATTTTGCTCTGTGAGTAAGTATCAAAACGAAATGATCAGCCCCAAGAGTACCCATGATTTGGAGCAGAGCTTGTTATGTTCTATTTGCTGACAACATGCAGGGAAGACCAAGGAGTAAAGATGACTGGAAGATGTTATTGACCAGGCAGAGTCTTAAAAAATTATAATGCTGTAAAGATAATTGATTTATCGTCTGCCCTATCCAGAGTTATTTAATTTGATCATGGTCAAATTCTAGGATGGAGACAATGGATTCACTAAGGATGCCTTGAATGCTTTGAAGTTAAAGTTCATGAACCAAAGAAAGATGGCAAGGTTGTGTGTGTTTTGATGCTTAATGAAATGTCAATTCACAAAGATATAAAATGGAAAGCCATAAAGTCTATGTAAACATTTGTACTGAGATTGATGACTTGATGCAGATGTGAAGCATCAAACTGTATAAGCCATTGGTTTTATAACTTATGTTTAAATCAAGTCATATCTTTATCAAAACATTTTAGTTGAGTGTTGTATAAATGTTACTAATATCTAATGCACTACACTGAAGCATTAAAGATTCAGTGATGAAACTTTCAAAGTTACTGTGTATATTTCTTCATTATTACAGTTTTGTTTCAAGAAACAGTTTGAGCTTATTTACCTAGTAAAGTACAGAATGGAGATTTATCATATGCATTATTGCTACTTTTTTAAAGAAAAGTTTTTCACTTTTCAAAGCTTTCCTACAAATTTTTTGCTTCTTATTTCTTTTCATGAGATTGATGATATATGGTTAATATAATCCAATAACTTTATAATTTCTAAAAGCTTTTAAGCTTCTAGAATAACTATAGGTATTTGATTCATTTGGTTATATTGCCTTGCTATGACATATCTACTTGCACTTCATCATTCTTGTATGAACAAAACACCAGATGTGGATACTCAGAGAACAAAATGCACTACCAACTGCTTATGAAATTTATTATTTAGGTGAAAACTGTGTTAATCATTCAAATTGTGTACTTATTTGCAAATATAGGAAAAACAAAACAAAGTGTAGAAGTATTAAAACTACAAATGAATTATAAACACCATTGGAAGCATAAGTGTTTTGATGATTATTTGCATTTTGCCCAATTCATGTATCAATACAACAAAATCAAATGTGCTACAACTTTACAAGTATTTGATGCAGTTGCACTTCAGAACATCACAAAAGGTTACTTAAAGTACTTTCTATACAATATTGTTTGTTTTGATTTACCAAACCTATGCAGACTTGAGTCTTTTGAAATTTAATATGAAACTCAATTACAGAAAATCCGTAAATATCCAGAGATTTAATATTTACTTTTTAAAAACAAGTAAAAATCCAACAATTGTGGCGAAAAGCCATTGCCCATTGCATCATGAAAGAAGCAAAATAGCAATGATAACAAATAAGCTAACTTCTCTCGTGAACCGTGGAGATGAACTATGATATACTTTTTGTATAGACTAAAGAGTTTAATCGATCAAACAAGTTCGACGTTGGTAAAAACGACGCACATCTGCATTCATACATGTAGCCGACATATAGCTCTTTCGTCGATAGTTATAAATGCATCCTCGTAGTAGCACATAACTGACAACCACAGTTGACTCGCTGTTATGAATTTGAGGTTTTTACCTTGATTTTCATCAAAAATTGCTTGACGAATCCCAAATACACACATACATTTTCTCTCTCTTTCCTCAGGAGTGGAAATTGTGAAATTTTCGGAAAAGCGATCAATTTCGGTAAATCTCAGCGGCAACGGACGAAATCCGCCATTTTTTTGGCGTCAGCAGATATCTAAGGCCGCGCTTGAGATAGCCGCTCCAGTTATTATTGAACTCAATGGCCAGAGCCCTCTATTAGTAAGAGTTGGGACAAACGGTCTGGGGCGAGCGCGGAGCCGCCATTTTGGTTCCTACTTGCAAAGTTAAACTATAATAATACTATTGAAAATTGGGTTTATATGCAAAAGAAGAAGGCAATTTAAGCTTATTCCATGGTAGTATCAAATATATTAGGAATAATAGCAAGCTCTTTGCGTTTTTTTAACGATTTGCGGCAGACCTGATTTAATTTCATTGGTTTGAGCTTCCTTTGCGGTTTACTTGTTCTTGCTTCAAATTGATCGTGACCCATTGTAAGAAGTATTTTTCGTACGTGAACGTGTTTTCTCGGCTTATGTTCCGACTCTGTAACAAGTTTTCAAGATCTTTAAGCTTGGTGGCAAGCGGCAATGTTATCCTGGCATCAGTGTTATCAAATACTTGGACAAGACTTTGTTCGAAACTTCGAATCATAGTAATCATGCAGATTTGGTCCGGAGATTTGTGTTCAAGATTTGTAACAATTTAATGGTAGTGAGTGATTTTTCTCCCCAATTTAATCCAAGCATGATATTTTTTATTCTGAAAGATCACAAAATTTTCTTGCTCAGCAGAAAATGACAGACTTTTTTACTTTTTAGTTATTGAAATATGCAATGATTTGACCAAGATGCATTTGACCTTAAACGTTTTATTCCTGTATATGAAGTTATTTCGCCTTTATCACTTTATAAAGTATTAAAGTTTATTTCTAATAAAGTTTGTTAGGGATTCTGCTGAAAATTTTAGTGAAGCATTTCTTTAAAATGAATATATTATTTCCATAATATGAAACATTTCTGTTGTTGTTTGTTTGCTATAAATGCTACTGTTTGTAGTCTTTTATACAGCATATGAGTCTGATCCAATCTTTAGTTTAGCAAAGAGTTAAATTTATTGGTTGAGGAATGACAAAACTTCTATATGTGTTTAATGATCAAACAGGGGTGTGTTGGAGGGAGCTCAGCCCCGTTTGTTCAAATTCTATGCCTTGTATTGCCAGTGAAATATATATATCAAAAGCTAGCAGCACCTAAATATATATCAGAAAGCCGGCAATATTTTAATATATATGAGAAAGGCAGCAACAGTTGTAATATACATTAAAAGCCCAAATAGCTGAAATTATGGAGATATGCCTCTGTGATCTTATAAACCAAAACCTACAATTAAAATATCATCAACAAGTCTAGAAGAGAAGTAATGTTCTACTTTGAGCTACAGAAGTAGGGTACATTTGTACAATTCAATACCAAAAATATATTGTACTCAGCTGTTTCATTGAATATCCTAATTATAAGTACTTCATTTTTAAATGATGAACTAAAAATACAAAATACAACATGGAAAATCATAAGAGTTTCTGTGATTTGGTGTAGTTGTTTTAGTGTGGAAGTGGCTGAGAATTGAGAGGTTTGTAGATTGATCAATTTCAGAACATAATGAGAAATCATCTTTGATTAAAAAACAAGCTTTGGAGTAAGAAAACTATTGAAACTGCATCAGCACAAACTTTGCAATGTTATTTGGCCCAAAAATGTTTCTCTACTTGAGTCAGTTAATTGAACCTTATATCAAAAGCAGTTCAGCACAACAATCACCTTGCGCAATCAAATTTCGTAAGTTCGACGTAAAGGCATTTCTTTCATTTTTTTCGTAATCCTCGATTTATGCGATATGTAATGACATTTAGTAGCCTTCAAAAATCAGTTATTACACACTTATCCATAAAAAAACGCAATATTATCTCAAAATACTGTATTACTAGCAGCAATTGCTATATAAACACAAGCTAAAATTTCAAAACTTGGAACGAAAATGGCGGAAATTGATCAGGTGATCAATATTGCCCAATCAACGTAAGCTGAACGGATAACAATAGATGTCCCAACTCTTATACTATAGAGGGCTTTGGCTGGAAGCGGTATATAAAACTATATGGTAAGATGTGAAGTGAAGACTGGAAAACGTCGATTTTTTTCAATTGAGGCTGTTCAATCTGATGCGTAATTTATAAAGTTATAAAAGCAAGGTATGTTTTAACTTTTCTGAAAGTTTTAAGGAATCTCAGTCGTACTTTATGCCGACTCATCGTCATCGCATGTTCGATTTGGTCAAACGATCACACTATGAATCTTTATGACACCATACGACTGAACTTTGATGATTGAACTACAGAACATTTATTTGGTGTTTCAGGATATTTTTCTGTGTTATTTAAGAAGAAAACATCCAGGAATATCTGCCAATTTAAAGCTGCACTGTTTATACGATACCATTAAGACCAATATATTACTATAAATTCTATATACTTATAGTTTTATTGAACGTGTAATTAACATTTTATCAGTGGTTAGGTAGATAAATATACGATATATTGATCTTGTAAATGATCATATACCATTATAATGTATCTGAGAAATAGTGAATTGCATAAGAGCATACACACTGGCTGAACTGAAGTTTTGTACTGTTGTTTAAATTTTGGTCAATTACAAAGACAGACATGAGCTAATTAAATGATAAGATAATTTATTACATACCTTTGGTATACAAATAAATCTTAGTTGGACTAAAAAACAACTTTGACCATGACGAATGGCATCTATGCTGTGTGTTGTAGCAATAGTTGGTAGTTGAGTAATGTATTCTTGCAGTAAATCTCATAGACCAAATTTCCACTATTTATTTTATTTTAATAGAATCCTTCTGCTGTAGTTTTTACTAGAAATAAATATAAACTGTATGGAACTGTCCTGAGAATTAAAAGCAATGATCTTTAATTTTGTGAATTGTCTTGAAAACCTATGCTCATATTTTATTTTCCTTGTAAACTCAAACAATACTCAACATTGCTCAATTGATGATTGTATATGCTTTATCTGTAATAGTAGTTTGTTCCTACAGATTCAATAAAACATAAAAAATGATTAAATATGATAATTCAAAGTGGAAGTGGTATATGGAAAACACAATTTACAAGTACTTCTTGCAAACTTTACATAACATCAGCTGTGGATTCAAACATTAATGCCAAATACTGGAAAGAAATATAAAGGAAAAGGAGGAGGACGAACATTTTGTTCTGCTGTTAACTGTTCAAACAGCAAGCATTCACATCCACATCTACGTTTTTTAGATTTCCAAGAGATCCCAAAAGGTGAAATTTCAATCACAAATCAAATTTTGCTGTTAGAAATCAAATAAAACAACCTTTTCATACCCTAGTCATTTGTCTTTCCAGATCAAAGGAATGGGTGATTCTCAGCAGAAGAGAGGATCTTATGAACAAGGATGCAAACTACCTTTACAAAAATTGTCGATTATGCACTGACCATTTTGAAGATATGATGTTTGCAAATGATTTGAAAAATCGATTAAAGACTGATGCAAAACCCAATCTATTTACCATTCCAAATGCACCCCTCACTGTTGGCACAAAACGGAGAACAATTAAAAGAGTGGACCAATCACATATACAAGGTAAACACCAAACCTAGTTTCAAGATGAAATTAGACAAATTTATTTTACAGCCAAAAAATCTAAAATGGATAAAGATCAGGAAAAAAGGAAAGGTGGTATGAGAAGTTCTATTGTATGATTTCATTGCATGATTTCATTGATATATGGGAAACTATTTCAGTTCTAATTCTTGACCATTAGTATTGGTGAGATGTAATTATAGCTAAAGTTATTCATTTTGCATTTTATTTTCCATCTCAAGCTTTTGGTCACCACTTTGAATTAGTTATTACTCTTAAGTTTATGTTTAGAGCCACCAGATAAACATTCACCATTGCACGAAGTTGATGAAAGTGGGCCTAGTACAGAAAGCCAAACTTCAGATTTTTCTTGCCAAACAAGTGCTATACTATCCAATAATACACCTAGAAAACAAAAACAACGAAAGTTAATAAAAGCCCAGGCAAGGAAAATAAGTCGTTTTCATGCAAACAAAAATCCATCAACACATAAAAATTTGGAAAAAGCATTGGAAAAGCTGCCTAAAAGATAAAAAGTTGTCAATAAGAGCAGCACCTAAACTGACTGATAAGCACATTGCACCAAACAACTTTGCAAAGATGAAGGTGAAATATGCTACCCAAGTCTTAAGCCACACAGTAGCAGCATCCATATGCACATATGTAAGTGTTGGATGTCTGCCGTCATCAGCTATGGGCACTGCAGAATTCCTTTTGAAGTTTGATTCTCTGTTAGATTCTGTGAACGTTTCAACAGCACATTCACAAAAGTCTTTAAAATGTGCATTGACCAATACCTCTCCACACCTCAACTTTTATGAGCAAGCTATTCACTTCCTATCTAATCTCAAGATTTTTCATGGCAGCCAAGATGTAACAGGCAGAGTAAAGTGCATCAATGGATGGCTAATTACCATAAATGAGATTTGTCAGATTTGGGATAACCTTCACCAAAATTATGGGCTTAAGTTTCTTCTAACAAGATTAAATACTGACCCAATAGTGAACTTTTTTGGAGCAATTCGTCAGCAGGGTGGCAACAGCGACAATCCGACCTCCATCCAGTTCACCCGTGCTTTCAGGAAGCTGTTTTTAATTCATTCTTAAATTCATCACAAGGCAACTGTGAAGATGACATTGATGACTTACTGGCACAATTCTGCAAAGCTGACTCAAGCATTCCTGTTTTGATTTCTCCATCTAAAAACACAAAAACTGACGATGTTGAGACAAGGGATTACTAGGAAAAGGAGGTTGGTGACAATTTAATGAAAGAGAATCCAATTGCTTATGTAGCTGGATACTTACTCCAGAAACATTTTGAAAAGCACAAGTGTTCCATATGTGAGTCAGTTATGGTCACAGACCAACTTGATGATAGCAGAAATCTGCTTTGCTACTTCAAGGCATATGAGTCAGACAAGAGCTTTGGTGGTCTCCTTGCACCAAAAGTATCATTTTATGAATGTATCACCAAAATTGAAGACATATTTGTCACAGAATTCTCCACTTATACAAAAAGTGTAGGTATTTTGAAAAAGATTCTTCAGCAGCTACAAAAAGCTCCAATCCCATTTGAACAGTGCTCGCATTTTTCAATTGATTACCTCCTCAAACTCTTTCTAAGAATGAGGATTTACTATGCCATCAAGTTTACAAATCGTAATCTATCAGCCGCCAAGTTCAAAAAAAATAAAAAGTACGTAAAAGTGACTCACCTTTAGAAGGAAAATAAATGAACCCGCATACACCTCGGATGAATCAAATGAAAGTGACTGTCAAGATTCAATGCTTTTTCAATACATTATGATGCAGGTCATCTGAACTTCTAAACTGCATCAAAGTGCCAAACCACTGTAAGTAAAAAATTCCAAGAGATTTCAAACTTAATGTCATTAACGAGGCAAAATAAGAAAAATTCTATTGACTGCAGTTTACAAAGCTGAGGAGCGGTCAGAGTCACAGAACGAAATGTAAGATTTCGAGCTTTACAACACGTTTAATTACGTTGTAAAAAAAGAAAGACATAGAATATACCTCAAATTTTTTCAAACTCTCGCTAGGAACAAATCTACGACCTTATTGAAGAGATACAGGCAAATATTTGTACTTCTCTTTACAATCCTTATATTGTTTGTCAGAAATTGACTGGCAAGGAAGATGGCGGCCGAGATGCGCGAAGCAGCATGCGCGGCCCCCAAAACATCAAAGGCTCCGACAAGAGTGACCCTTCTGTATAGTATATATTCTGTGTCTTGCCTACTATTAAGTTCACTTCAATTTCATCAATTTTTATGTTCCGTTCGTAGATATACAACTGCTGCAAAGGCAAATTCTGATGCATCGCAAAATCCATGTATCTGATGAATCGGAGATGAATTGTATCCACCATGGAAGTAACAACGCGGTACTCGTATGTCACTTAAAGTGCTACTGAAGTGAAATTTTCATATTTCGTTTTTCGATACAAACGTTTTCTCTGTATTTTACTGATCATTTTGAGCTATCGCCCACTGAATTTAATCGATGGGAACGCATCGAACTTTGTGTTCAAACATGGCATATTTGCTTGTTTTGATGCGAATTTTACTTTGAGTGCGTGACGTCATATAAAGGACGGAAGTTCAATTTTAAAGCTCTTAGTATATAAAAATTATATACGAACAAGCATATTTCCACCTGGAATTTTACATATTTTATAACTTCTCTTCGCAAAAATTGCGTATATTTAGTGACAAATGAGAAACACGCATAGGTAAGCAACATTTACAATCGATTAGAGTTTTATAAACTTCTTGAATTAACTTATATTTCTCAATAAACTGGGTGCCGCATGCTTGACGAAGTCTGCGGTTTTAACACACACGCATTGTTATCAGAAACTAACTGTAACGCGCTTATTTCCAATCATCCAATGTATACTACTTTTATAAACTTCTGGATTAGACTTATCATTCTTATCATATGGGTGTCGCATCCTTGACGTAGTCTGTGGTTTTAAAACCCATGCAATATTATCACAACGCACATAATATAAGGAGAATAATTTTTTATTAAGTTAGTCAAACGTAACGATACACCGCAAGTTAAAATATGGCGAGTAGGCAAAATTCTGCAAAAAATCGTCGAGGAGGACAATATTGTGTTGCTGGTTGGCCCAACGGAAAAAGTTGTACAAACAGTCAACACACAGAGGGTGTCTCAGTACATCGTTTCCCCATGAATGACAAGGAGAGGCTGAATAAATGGACGAAATTTGTTAGGAGACATAGGCCAAAATTCGTTCCTCAGCAGTACTCTGTGCTATGTTCAATGCATTTCGCAGATTCTGCATTCACCGTGAACGCAACAGTTGCAAAATCGCTAAACATGAGACGACGATTGCGAAATGGAAATCCATTGCTAGGCACATTACAAACAAGCATGAAAACCATCCAGATGAGTTGTTTCCTAAATGTGCTCATGGAGAGCTAGATGAACGTCTATGGCTTCAAGTTGGTATGAGCATGCACACATTTAGGCAGCAAGACAGAATTGAGATTGTTAAAATGTCTAAAATGTTATTTACCACTTTTCAGATGGGATTGTATTCTTTTTAAGGAACATATCGGCGACTTTCCTCCATTCTGTTGAAAAAATCTGTTCTCAAAGATGTTAAAAAACTATCTTCAGAAGCACAAACTAGTTGTCTCAAAGGTTTTCATTCAACATTAAATGGTTGGCATCCAAAGATGACCCACTTTTCTTGGCTTGGTACATATTGCAGGTAACTTGTAATCACTGTTCTCTATCTGCCAAGCCTTTTTCACTTGTTCCTAGTCAAGAAAAAAAATTACATAATAAATGGTTTGTTCTGTTTAGGCACGTACTGGCTGTACTTCATTTCAATGAAAACCTTCACAGACAGCCAAAAAAAACAAAAAATGGAACACCATATTATTCTGTGACATACCCAAAATTTAAATCAGGGGATGAAGTAGTAAGAACTGTTTCTTCAGCACCATCATATTGTAAATTTAGCATGTATGCATTGGTACTCTTGACTTACACATCTAACCACTTGTCATTTTTCCAGACTATGTTAATGAAATCAAAAATGTCAAGGTTCTTAGTTGTGAGGAATCCATGGACAACATATTTAAGAAGTATAAGGAAAAAGTCCCAGAAGCCTTAAACAAAACTTTCTTGGATCGAATTTCCAAAACTGAGGCAATCCAACGGCATTTGGATAGGAAACAACTATCTTCAACACCATTGTTTCCCACATGTAAGTTGTTCATGCTACCATGTATAATAGGTATGGCCAGTGCATTCTAAAAGTAAACAAATTAAATTGTTATTTATAGATCAACAGCAAGATGTACTGCAAGCAAAAGGTTTCGACAAAGAAGAACAAGCTGCTTCAACAGGTCCTTCAGATCCAAAAAAAATGTGCTTATGCAAAAATTGTGGACAGCCAATGAAAGGACATCCAAAAGGTCATTGTCCACAAGAATTACTTGACAAATATTCTTAGCAGGCCAACTTTAAAGTTAGGTATAAAATAATATACTATGCTACAAAAAATGTTCTTATTTGATTAATTATTTTGACTTCACACAACAAAATTGTGAAGCATCACAGCACAATAATGAACCACATAAAGGTAAAAAGTAGAGATACATGGCAAGATATTAATCATTCGTTACAAAACAAAATTAGAAATCAAAAATGTACTAACTCATTTTCATGTATTCTTGGTCATATGCTTGTATGACCTTCCATCTTGGTCTCTTAGAAGTGAGCCAACATTCTTCCAACATTCTTCAAGACTGTAGCATGTGTCATAATCGTGTACTCGTCGTGAAGAGTAACACAGCTAATTTTTTCAATGCTAACATCGAATACCAGTTTATGTAAAGTAGGCCCAACCTATTGACAACAACGGTATTCAATGGCATCTGTCAGCAGTTGAGTACGACCCAAGCTACATGCACACCTATAAAAAAGTGGTTTGTTATCATATTTATGCACCACGACATAAGGACAAAAGAACATGTTTAATTCATGGTTTAATTTCTTCTAGAGTTCTAGTAACATTTATCAACTTACCACTTATCTAACTGAAAGGTTCCTTCGAACCTCGCTTCCAATGTTCGAGGTTCTAAGCCATCTGCGTCTTCTTCGACCGACACAAAATTCTCTCCGACTGCGTTCGCAAGAGGTTCATTTTCGTAAGGATTTACCACTGAATTAGCCACAATTGTATCCTCATCGCCGGAATTTGAAAGTAAATTTTCATTTGCCATATCTGAGTTTTCAGTATCCGAACTGCGTTCGCTTTCACTGCTTGAAGAACTCATATTTTATTGTGTATATGTGTTAAAAATCTAACAAAATACTAGTAAATCAATGCTCATACTTCGACTTCCGTCCTTTTTATTACGTCACATCCGTATAATATTTCAGTGGTAAAAATTCGCACGCGTAACCCAACTTTGAGCAAAAATTTATTGATGATCCCGTGCTTCAATATGCATAAAAATTATACCAAAGTGATCAGGAAAGATAGAACTATTTGATTATAGAAAAAAATCGATACCCAAAATTTCACTTCAGTAGCACTTTAAAGCCCTTAAGTCGTGAACGAGAGAATTCCAAAGTGATAAGACCTTGCCAAACAGATCTTCATCCCAATTACTGCCAGAAGAGCAGAGGGTTTAAAACAACATCTTCATAGTGATAGTAAAGGGTGCAAGAAGGCCAATAGGATCGAATATCTTCGCAGATAGCATTAAAACTGACCTCTTAGTTGCAGGAAATGATTTTGCATAATGCACTAGCTCTTCAAGATCATAACAAAGCTCGTCGCTGTTCTCATCCCAACTGATTCCTAAAATTTTGATACAGTTCTCTTGAGATGTGGACTTAGGTTGTGGCTCTGTGTATGAGGCGAAGGAGTTTTTACTAACTTGTCTTCTACCATCGTACTTGGTATATGTTTAACACATGATGACCCCTTTTCATTTCCCACCTTAACAAACTGTCGATCTTCATCATTCGCGATAACATTTCGGACATGTTGGAGTTTGAATGCCATTTTCGAAGCTTCATTAATTTTCGAGATCTATAATAGATGTATAGAGCTTCGTCCTCATTAGAAGCTTCACCAGCAAAATCGTCAACATATAACGACTCGATTAATAAGGAGACTATTTCTGGATCGACATTCTTGTATTTCAATACGTGGTGACGAATAACAGTAGATAATATTGCAGGACTTGGGGTTAGACCAAATGGTAGGCGTCGGAACGTGTATTCCTTTAGAATCGGGTGAACTTTGTTAATATCGTCAATCAAACCAAAGAAACTTCATTATCTTTCTATCTTCGTGGAACAATTTGTATTTGATGAAAAGCCTTTTCGATATCGCCATCAAGCCCAAAGGAGAAGCCTCGAAAGTTTATCATAGTGTCAAATAAACGTGGAACCAAATTTGGTCCCTTTTCGAGGCAATCATTGAATGACTGCTCCTCCTTAGTAGCTCTTGCCGAACCACGCGAAAAGCGAAAACCACGCGAAGTTTTGTAGTTTTCTTATCTTCTCAAAGCACGCCTTGATGGGGTAGGAAATAACCGGTTTCATGTGCAACACGAACTGGGTCAATAAGTCCTCCTTTCACTTGATCTTTGATAATTGTATCGTATTCTTGCAATAAGGGTTTATCTTTATCGAGACGAGATTTCAACTGGTGTAATCGTTTCAAACACATACCGTAACAGTCTGATTTTGGAATACATTCCCCCTTCCAAGGTAAATTCACTTCATATCTCCCTTCATCCTCCAGATATTGTATATTCCTCAGAAACTCCTCATCCTGTGAGTCGCTGGATTCTTTGATTCCCATTGATTCGATCTCCCTAAACCGTTTCAAGCATTCATGTAATTTGGGTTCTCTCTTGTCAAATGGAACTTCTTTGAAAAATAGTAATCTTCCATGATTAAAGTAACGTTGGACAATTTCGAATTAGTTTCATTTGAGTAGGCCATGTTTCACCATCATTCGTCTGTCCAGTGATAATCCAGCCAAATTCACTATTAATCGCAACAGGACCACCTTCACTTCTTACAATCTCGCCTGTCATGATATCGAAATAATAATCTGCTCCAATTAGAATGTCGATGTTGCTGTACGTCTGTCGTCCAGAGAGGATATTGGTATTGGAAAGCTGCAACTCCATCAGATGAGGATAATGATTACGATCAATTGTCGTTGTTAATGGAGAGCAGATATTTGGGAAGAAAAGAGCTGTTATGATTCGATTTCCATTCTTTCCTTTCAGGGACAAATGAACCAAGTTGCATTTTTGCTTTGTAAAATGTTGGTTGCCAAAGGTATTTAAGTTAACAACTTCTCTTCTGATGGGAACTAGTTCAAGCCGTTTTTTTAATGAATTCGTAACGTAAGTGCGCTGACTACCCCTGTCCAAAAGCACGCGAACAGGTATCAAAATGGAAGCATTCCCGTTATTGCAGTATGTAATAGCTGTTTGCAGAAGAAGTTGGTAACGCGTTTTTGCCGTATTCGTCGTAAAGTAATTATTTCCATCAATCATAGTAGCTGTGCGAACGTTGTTTCCTTCCTTGGTTTCTGGCGGGTTGTTTCCAATAGGGGAAAGTTTGAGATCATTTGCATTCTTTTGTTGAAGAGGCGTAAAATTTGACTTAATCACTTCACAAATCGATTGATGATGAGCCCCATGACAACGTCTACAATTCTTCTTTGACTCGCGTGATCACTGTTGAGTCCCCACTGACTTCAAACATCTTCCTACGCCTTTGATCTCTGTGTGTGCTTAAAGGATGAGGAAACAAATTCACAGAGGGTAGAAGTACGCCAACGATCTTTCAACCATTAACTAAAATGAAGCAAAGATTGGGTGCGTTGCTGTTTGGGTGGGTTGCTGTAAAGAAGCCATTTCTTTGCCTCACAAAAAATAAGAACAATCGGTGTGGGCACAAACACCATTAATGTGAAATGTGAAGCAATTGGGTCAAGTTTTAATGTATGATGAGTGAACTTTTCATTTGTTTTGAGTAAATGGACAATTTTTGTATAAATAATGCTAAGTAAATGAGATGCTAAGTTTGAAGTTGTGCCCTTAGTGACACGAAGGGTGGTTCTATGATGGTATGAAGATGCTTAAAATAGGGAGGTCTTTTGATCTGATCGAGGTAAAGGATTTCTAGACAAATAATAGTGACATTCCGTATTGCAACGACATACAACATCATCCACATAAAAATCATTGAAAAGAACTTAGTTCAGTTTCAATGGTCGTAAGGAATCTGTTAAAAATGAACGAAGAATAAAAGTCAATATTTTAATTGATGAAGAGCTAAAATACTGGTTTCTACGAGTCATTAGCATTGAAAGGTTTCCTTAGCAGTAAAAATTAATTAACTTCAATATTAAATGGCCTTCTCATCGGGCAAGTACCCTAGAACTTTATGACCCTCCGAATTAAATGTTCCTCCCACGCCCGAATGCTTAGACTACAATGTCATTTGTCAATGTCAATCAGATTTCATGATGAAAATGCATAAATTTAGAACAATATCTTACTATCAAGTTTGCATTCTTCGAGACTTGCTTGGAAATTAGAACAGTTTAGATTTAGAACACACTCTATCTCGTCTTTCCCAAAGTCATTACTTATTAAAGTTGCAACTGATTTTATACAACAACAAAAATGCCTGCAAACGTTTTATTTAACATAAAATCGAAAAACGCGCCATAAAAACATGTGCTATGATGATATTTTCGAAATTCAATGATCAATAAAAATGATCGAACATTTTACAGCCAATGTACTGCCTTTCGTTTGAAGAAGCAAAAATTGTACCATGATATTGCCTTACACAGCTCAAAGTACCTTGTGTTCGTGTCAGTTTACAATTACAAATCAAATGAGACTGCAACGAATACAATTAGCCAAAGCTTCTCGGAAGAAGACTTCGAAAAAGGATTTTTTCTCTCCGTTTAAACTTTCATCCATTTCACAATGACGCCGGCAAAACGTCTTAAAGAGCTAATTGTACAAGATCGCAATAATTTCGATGCAGCGTTTCCAAAATTAATAGAAACAGCGATGGCTGGATTGCCGAGTGAAACGTCCAGCGCTATCGCACATTTTGAAAAAGTATGCTCTTGAATTCTTGATGTAAATACGTTGTAATTTTTAATGAATGTGTTTGATGATCAAGTCTCCATTGGTTAATTTTTTAGAACATCATGCATAATCTTCGTGGAGGTGAGTTTTAGAACTATTTGTTGTTCGAGCAAAATACTGCACAACTGTAAACTAAAACATTTCCTGACACCCAATTAAGCAAATATTCGTATCAAACATTATATAATGTTGAATATCTATTTACGATAAGTATTATACCAATTATTCGGTAGGCATACTTTGACAAATGCTCCACTCGAAATTCACCGAAATGTGACTTTTAGCCCTACTTCCGGCTTCTGTAGTCTGTTGGTTGCAATTTCCTGTTATACTGACATATTAATTTCCAATCACAAAAACTTTTTCCCAGCTGCGCAAGGGATTATTTAGAGCAACACGTGTCTGCTTCAAAACACACTTTCACCCCGCAATTTTAAAAAGATAGGACGAAGCAGTATTGAAGAAGATGTAATGAAATTCAACATTTGAGCATGAATACGTGAGTGCCTATTTTCTTAACATAATACCTAACGTATACAATATGTACACGGATAAATATGCACATAGGGAAAAAATGATAGATACATATACGTACAGAAAGGGACATTAATAAAGTATGCAAAGTTTCTGCTAAGGCGATGAAATTAGTTGACGGGTTTTACTATCAGTATTAACTTGTGCTCTGTTGTTTTTGATTCGAGAAACTTCAAGAAAATAAAGTCGAAAACTAAAAACCAATTTTTACGTCTCTCACAATTACGAAATTTCTGAGAATTATGGGTTAACGAATTTTGCTTCTTATTTCCAAGGGGAATTTTTTTACGTAGTGCTTATACAGTGGCGGATGTAGGATAAGTCAAAATAAATTACTGCAACATACTTTGAAATATCTTTACATTTTTAAGCACCTTTTAGAGGCAAGTCCATTGGTAAATTAATTTTGACGAACGCGGTGGATCTGCAACTGAGCTTATATACTACGCGACTTTTTTTTACATTTAAACATGTGGAGTGCATGTTTCAGTCTTTCATATTCACCGCGTTTTTGGAATTGCCTTTTGTAGTCAGCATTTATGGAAATCGCAACCGACTAAAGCAGAGGGCACTTGTGGTATTTTGACTATAAATTACTTTTAACCGCTAGTTGTCTTCATTGATGCATTTCTTGATACGTATTGACCGTTAGTCAATCACCTAATTTAGGTAAAATGAATCGAGGAATGACAGTGCTGTCAACTTGGAGACTATTGCTAAGTGATAAAACACCCAGTGATGACGAGTATGACTCAGCTATTGTGCTGGCGTGGTGTATTGAATTAGTAAGGAAAATTGTAAACTAAATGAATGCCGTTGTTTGATACGTAAATTTCATTGGGAGTGTTTAAAACTTCTTTCAAGTTGCAACAAGAAATTAGCGTCAAGTGCAATGTACAAGGAAACAGTGGCAAAGCAAAGTCGATAATTGAAGGGTGGTGTATTTTTGTCTGTTCCTTTGAAATGCAACATGCATATATGAATACTACGGCTCTCCCCCCCCCCTTGCCCAAATATTGAGCTTGCTACAACACTAGTTGAATGAAGCGCCTACGCTAGAAGTTAAGCTTTGCTTTTTTGAGTACTTGGATGATTGATTTGATGAGGTTCTGTGTTGTGATGCAGTAGTACGATTTGATAGTAAGCTTATTTTATTTATATACGTACACCAATTGTATAATGCATGAATGGACTGTTCAAGTCTGCAGCTATCAAGATGATTTTACTCCTTGTGCGTTTAGACAGAAAAAGCATGTCTGTGTTTCGACTTTTTCTTGGCTTATTCTTAGCTTCAAGCGTTCTTCTTGGTGGCAGATGATGTGATGGATCAGTCTTGGACGAGGCGTGGAAAGCCCTGCTGGTTTAGACAGGTCAGTTGTCAAAGTATTTCTTTCAAAAGAAGTTTCAAAAGACTCATTTTCCTGTTGCTGTAATCGCAGGAAGATGTAGGCTACATCGCCATCAACGATTCCTTCATGCTGGAAGCGCTAGTGTATCGATTGATTGATTTTTATTTTCGTGGAAAAAGTTGTTACAAGAATATTACTCGTCTGGTTCACGAGGTACGAAAACTGCTTGTGACAACAGCTCGAACTTGACGGTATGCCAGTCTTCATGCATGGGATTTACACGAAACAAATATTGTTGTAAACACAAATATTGTATTTATTTCAATATTTTTGAAATATAATTGAATGAGTAAGTTACTCAACTATTTTTCTGTAAGAGGCATTTCGGCAGCCAAATCGACGAAATCGAAATTCGAGAAATGATTCTGTATAAATGTTCAACCATATATATAATTTTTGCGTGTACTTCCAATCTTCCAAACCACCAGCCCTCTCTCATCCACCACAACTGAGCTCGCATGTACTTGTTTCTTACATTTTGGAGCTTTTCGGCGGAGGGACGGAGATAATATCAAATACTTTTGACTTTTGAAGATAATTTACGCTTGGCGTGAGCTACATTGATATAATGCATTTTTGGATTGTTCTGAAAACTAATCTAAGCCATTTAGAAATCTTCATTGCTGTTTAGGTAACTTATCAGACAGGAACGGGACAGACATTAGATCTTATAACAAAGCCGGGAGAAAACTTTGTCAACTTTACTTTGGCGAGGTATTGTATGAGAATAGTTTCGCTGAATGATTTCACGGCGTAGGAATATAAAAAAATTCCTGTGAAGTCGATCACAAAATAGTTACCAGCAAAAACCAAGTTTCCTTTACATACATACGAGCTATTGACGTCGACAAGTACACTGTTTTTAAATGGAACTTGAATGGCTATGTGTCTTGCTCAATAATGTTTAGATACAAGGCTATTGTCAAGTGGAAAACGTCATTCTATTCATTCTACTTTCCGGTGGCTCTGGCGTTGTACATGGTGAACAATTTTTGTGTTTTTATGGAATGTTGCCTTCGAATGTATTATTTCCTTCGATTTTTTTATTGTTTGTGTCGGCTTTTTATTCGTTGTTCGTTTTTCTTAGCATAACATAACCGATGCCAAAGTTCATGATATATCAAAGGAAATCCTTCTGGAAATGGGAGAGTTCTTTCAAATACAGGCGGGTTTTTAATTTTGACGATGTTGATTGAGTATTATTCAAAAAAGTCTTGAATTATAATATTGTCTTTTAAAACCACGAACGCTGATTGGCTGAATGCCCGAAAAAGGCGTGTTTCCATAACTCTATGGAAACAAGGGAATTTCAGTCACGTAAAGTGTCGCAGACAGCGTGGCTCGCGCGGAAAGCAAAAATATCAACAATATAGTATTAAGATCAATAAATTTATCTTTTTACCATTGTTTTTTCAAACGCTATTTTATGAAGAAAATGAAAAACATTTTACTTGTTCCAACTGAAATCTAGAAACAGTTATGAAACACTTATGAAAATATGGAAAACTTGGAAATTGCTTTGAGGACATCTGCACTTCGTTCTCGTGCTTGCCACACAATTTTTCGTTTCTTCAAAACTTTCCCCCGTGTTTCTATAACTGCTTAGAAACAAATTTATAACTTTTGCTTGTCCATGTGCACAGGACGACTATCTTGATTGCTACGGCGACCCGGCAATTACGGGAAAAGTTGGAACGGATATTGAAGAAACGAAATGTTCTTGGCTGCTCGTTCAGGCTCTGCAGAAAGTTGACGAACCACAAAGGAAAGTTTTAGAGGTTAGTTTGGTAAAATGTAAAAGCCAATTCTATTATTTCAGAAAGCCGTGCAAAAATATTTTAAACTGACAGCTATAACTGACCTTCTCCCTCCCCCCCCCCATTCTATCGTTTGTAACCCTGCCAGTACCTTCGGAAATTTATTGAAATGAACTGAATTTTTGACATAGGAGAATTACGGTGTGAATGATCCAGCTGCCGTGGCGAAAGTTAAAGAAATTTATTCAAAGTTGGATTTGAAATCTATTTATAAGAAATACGAAGAAGTCAGTTACCAGAAATTAATGAAACTCATTGAGGACGTTCCAAGCGAATTGCCAAAAGAGATCTTTACTCAACTTGCAGCAAAGTTATACAAAAGAGATAAATAATTCTTCAAACGCTCGAGAATAAATTGATGACTATCAGATCATATGATATGTTACAACTTTTCTTTTTTTTCCTTATTCCTACCTGTTGATTATCTGGAAAATTATGAGAAACAAATGTTACAATCTCGACATTTATGTATTCAAGCGACAGTAAAGCTAGATTTCTCCGTACAAAATCTGTCATTTTAGTTACCTCTCAGAAAATTGGCATTCATGTACATTTGTCTCAACTACTGCAACCTTACCACAGAATATATACTGTACAGAATGTCCACTCTTGTCGGAACCTTTGATGTTTTTGGGACTGCGCATGCTGCTTCGCGCATCTCGGCCGCCATCTTCCTAGCCAGTCAATTTCTGACAAACAATATAAGGATTATGAAAGAGTGTTTTATGCAGTGCGGTGTTTGAAATTAAATGTAGAAATGATCTTTGCTGGACAATTTAAGCAATTGTCTCATGAACCTCAAAAAACCACTGCACCGGCACCGCAGAGATCATTGTCCAGCAAAGATCATTTCTACATTTAATTTCAAACACCGCACTGCATAAAACATTCTTTCATATAACATTCCTTTCACGAGAAAACATGAGCCCAACAAAATTGACCTGCTCACCACTGTGTGACTCATTGAGCTCTATAAGACCTGGAGGGGAAAAGGGGCCTGGACCCCGTGGTCAAAAACATGGCGGTAATGGCGGATTTTGGTGGTCAAAATTTCCACTTTAAAAATTTTTTTCAATATTCACTCCCTCCTGATTTCTAATACTGTTTGTATGAACGAAAACAAGTGAGAAAAAAAACAACAATTACGATACCGACAGCATATCATGTGAAAATAATGCTTCAGCATTGCGTGAAAAACACAGTACAGACACACATCAAAATAAAGAAAATCGACGGTAGAGAAACGCATATTTTGGATGTAACATTTAAGTTATTTTATGACATTTTAGCCTTTTAAAAGTGAAAATCAAACGGCATTCTTTACTAGACCTGTCAATTTCGTCAAACCTATACATTATTTCATGCTTTTGTGTGTTTGACTGTTTGTAAACTGTTTGGTGCACCTATTTTTCTTGCTTCAAATGGATAAATCTTTGTAAAAATGCTCCTAAGGAAGCGAGAAAATGTTTGCTTCAGTCCTACGACATAAGTCAACTGAAAATTTATCATGGATAAGTATCATAAGTGTATTGTCATTACCTGATAAATCTACTGAAAACTCATAAAGAAAGTATGTTGAACTAGAAGAGCTACAAAAAAGAAAAAATTCAAAACACCATGATACTGTTGCTTGGTAATTTGTATTTTGTAAACAGCTTGGCAGAATCTTGGATCTATTACTGAACAGAACTACATTAATTTTCCATTGAAATTACAAACTTGGAAACTAAAGTGCATTGGTTTCTCTGACAAAAACACTGTCTATTGCTGCATGAAGGCAAAATAGTTATTTGACAGTGTAGGTGAAGAAATTTATCAAGTACTATAAATATTATTGTGCATTACTTACAGTTTTTTTGGATTGTGTAATATATGTCATGAACAAGATATAATTTTTCAAAAATGCTAACCCCTTCGAGCACTACTACTCTTCTGTTTTGCTTAAACAACTTACAGCTACCAATACTAATTATTTATATGTACAAACTAACATTTGGGAATTAAATGATAAACAACTTGATAAATCTTTGTATTTTACATCAAGCCTTTGAATTAGTTCCTTTTATCTCTTGGTAAAAAAATATTAATGAAAGACTTACAAATCACGTTTCTCGAAAATAGTATTTTGTACAAAGAAACTAATTAATTGGAAAGGTCACATGTTGAATACAGACTTTGCTTCTTTGACTAGGTTGCTTGACCATGAGCAAATTTAAATTTGTTTACAATTTGTTTAAAGAATTCTTTTTATTGATTTCTACTAATTCTTCATAAGACACAAAGAATTTCTTTGCCATGTATTTTGGCTTCTTCTACATTCAACTTCATTGTAAGCAATGCATCCGATGTGAATTTGTGGATCACCTGGAATCATACCAAGTATGGATTTGATGAGATGAGACAATAATGTGTTTAATTTTTCATGCATATTAATGATATAATCATAAGCTACTGTTGAACAAAAATTTCAAGGTAGAAACAAATCTTAGCACATTGTTCAACACACTACTTTTATCTTGGTTTTGAAGTAGTAACCTGTTTACTATAACAATAAATACTTCATTTACAGAAACACTAAGTAGTACTTTAAAATTGTTTGCATAAATCCAACTTTCCAATCCCATTATAATTGTCTACAATGTACAGTCAGTCAAATTGAGCAGGCAAACAGTTTAATAGTTATTTTTATTATACAACATATACCATAGTTCTCATTAATTTTGCATGGCACTGCATTCAATTTCAACACAACTCTGTTGTAAACTTTCCCTTCATCTTTTAAAAAAAAACATGAACAAATTATGCCCCATTTTTGGGATGTAAACTCAATTCAAATCAGTAGAGTTTAGCTTGATGCCTTGATCATGATACAAGATGGATGCAAAACTCGATAAAAATTGACAGCTTCGCCACGTCTGGCGAGTGATTAAGTGAAGAAAAAACAAGACTGGACCAAAATAACTTTAAATTAAAACTTAGTAGTAGAAACACTCTTCAAGTATCGTGTTAAAAACAAAATAGTAAAACTAATACTGTGCTACTTACCGGAGGCAAGAAATGTTCCCTTTTCTGTCGCTATTTCAGCATCCGCAAACCACAGAAGTTGGCAGTTTAATAAATAACGTTTTAAAAAAGTGTTTATGTTAGGAAAATAAATAGTTATGATATTTTCTATACTCGCAATCGTGGTGGTCAAATCAGGGTGGGCGACAAAAATTTTATTTCATGAGCCCGCGTCTCTCCGCTGACTTTGACCACCAAAATCCGCCATGTTTTTGACCACGCGGCCGCGCACTAATAATTTATACTAATTTTGTTGACGTTTCCCCTCCAGTTATTATAGAACTCAATGTATAGATCTCAATGGTGTGACTTCATAGCTCAGGTGGTCAGAGCACTGCACCGGCACCGCAGAGGTCATGGGTTCGAATCCCCTTGAGTCACCTGAATTTTTCAGGTTCATGAGACAATTGCTTAAATTGTCCAGCAAAGTGCGAAGATCATTTCTACATTTAATATAAGGATTGTAAAGAGAAGTACAAATATTTGCCTGTATATCTTCAATAAGGTCGTAGATGTGTTCCTAGCGAGAGTTTGACAAAATTTGAGGTATATTCTATGTCTTTCTTTTTTTACAACGTAATTAAACGTGTTGTAAAGCTCGAAATCTTACATTTCGTTCTGTGACTGTGACCGCTCCTCAGCTTTGTAAACTGCAGTCAATAGAATTTTTCTTATTTTGCCTCGTTAATGACATTAAGTTTGAAATCTCTTGGAATTTTTTACTTACAGTGGTTTGGCACTTTGATGCAGTTTAGAAGTTCAGATGACCTGCATCATAATGTATTGAAAAAGCATTGAATCTTGACAGTCACTTTCATTTGATTCATCCGAGGTGTATGCGGGTTCATTTATTTTCCTTCTAAAGGTGAGTCACTTTTACGTACTTTTTATTTTTTTTGAACTTGGCGGCTGATAGATTACGATTTGTAAACTTGATGGCATAGTAAATCCTCATTCTTAGAAAGAGTTTGAGGAGATAATCAATTGAAAAATGCGAGCACTGTTCAAATGGGATTGGAGCTTTTTGTAGCTGCTGAAGAATCTTTTTCAAAATACCTACACTTTTTGTATAAGTGGAGAATTCTGTGACAAATATGTCTTCAATTTTGGTGATATATTCATAAAATGATACTTTTGGTGCAAGGAGACCGCCAAAGCTTTTGTCTGACTCATATGCCTTGAAGTAGCAAAGCAGATTTCTGCTATCATCAAGTTGGTTTGTGACCATAACTGACTCACATATGGAACACTTGTACTTTTCAAAATGTTTCTGGAGTAAGTATCCAGCTACATAAGCAATTGGATTCTCTTTCATTAAATTGTCACCAACCTCCTTTTCCTTGTAATCCCTTGTCTCAACATCGTCAGTTTTTGTGTTTTTAGATGGAGAAATCAAAACAGGAATGCTTGAGTCAGCTTTGCAGAATTGTGCCAGTAAGTCATCAATGTCATCTTCACAGTTGCCTTGTGATGAATTTAAGAATGAACTAAAAAACAGCTTCCTGAAAGCACGGGTGAACTGGATGGAGGTCGGATTGTCGCTGTTGCCACCCTGCTGACGAATTGCTCCAAAAAAGTTCACTATTGGGTCAGTATTTAATCTTGTTAGAAGAAACTTAAGCCCATAATTTTGGTGAAGGTTATCCCAAATCTGACAAATCTCATTTATGGTAATTAGCCATCCATTGATGCACTTTACTCTGCCTGTTACATCTTGGCTGCCATGAAAATCTTGAGATTAGATAGGAAGTGAATAGCTTGCTCATAAAAGTTGAGGTGTGGAGAGGTATTGGTCAATGCACATTTTAAAGACTTTTGTGAATGTACTGTTGAAACGTTCACAGAATCAAACAGAGAATCAAACTTCAAAAGGAATTCTGCAGTGCCCATAGCTGATGACGGCAGACATCCAACACTTACATATGTGCATATGGATGCTGCTACTGTGTGGCTTAAGACTTGGGTAGCATATTTCACCTTCATCTTTGCAAAGTTGTTTGGTGCAATGTGCTTATCAGTCAGTTTAGGTGCTGCTCTTATTGACAACTTTTTATCTTTTAGGCAGCTTTTCCAATGCTTTTTCCAAATTTTTATGTGTTGATGGATTTTTGTTTGCATGCGTAAAACGACTTATTTTCCTTGCCTGGGCTTTTATTAACTTTCGTTGTTTTTGTTTTCTAGGTGTATTATTGGATAGTATAGCACTTGTTTGGCAAGAAAAATCTGAAGTTTGGCTTTCTGTACTAGGCCCACTTTCATCAACTTCGTGCAATGGTGAATGTTTATCTGGTGGCTCTAAACATAAACTTAAGAGTAATAACTAATTTAAAGTGGTGACCAAAAGCTTGAGATGGAAAATAAAATGCAAAATGAATAACTTTAGCTATAATTACATCTCACCAATACTAATGGTCAAGAATTAGAACTGAAATAGTTTCCCAAGTATTTTTGGACTCAACAATGAAATCATACAATAGAACTTCTCATACCACCTTTCCTTTTTTCCTGATCTTTATCCATTTTAGATTTTTGGCTGTAAAATAAATTTGTTAAAATTTGTCTAATTTCATCTTGAAACTAGGTTTGGTGTTTACCTTGTATATGTGATTGGTCCACTCTTTTAATTGTTCTCCGTTTTGTGCCAACAGTGAGGGGTGCATTTGGAATACTAAATAAAGTGGGTTTTGCATCAGTCTTTAATGGATTTTTCAAATCATTTGCAAACATAATATCTTCAAAATGATCAGTACATAATCGACAATTTTTGTAAAGGTAGTTTGCATCCTTGTTCATAAGATCCTCTCTTCTGCTGAGAATCACCCATTCCTTTGATCTGGAAAGACAAATGACTAGGGTATGAAAAGGTTGTTTTATTTGATTTCTAACAGCAAAATTTGATTTGTGATTGAAGTTTCACCTTTTGGGATCTCTTGGAAATCTAAAAAAACGTAGATGTGGATGTGAATGCTTGCTGTTTGAACAGTTAACAGCAGAACAAAATGTTCGTCCTCCTCCTTTTCCTTTATATTTCTTTCCAGTATTTGGCATTAATGTTTGAATCCACAGCTGATGTTATGTAAAGTTTGCAAGAAGTACTTGTAAATTGTGTTTTCCATATACCACTTCCACTTTGAATTATCATATTTAATCATTTTTTATGTTTTATTGAATCTGTAGGAACAAACTACTATTACAGATAAAGCATATACAATCATCAATTGAGCAATGTTGAGTATTGTTTGAGTTTACAAGGAAAATAAAATATGAGCATAGGTTTTCAAGACAATTCACAAAATTAAAGATCATTGCTTTTAATTCTCAGGACAGTTCCGCCATACAGTTTATATTTATTTCTAGTAAAAAACTACAGCAGAAGGATTCTATTAAAATAAAATAAATAGTGGAAATTTAGTCTATGAGATTTACTGCAAGAATACATTACTCAACTACCAACTATTGCTACAACACACAGCATAGATGCCATTCGTCATGGTCAAAGTTGTTTTTTAGTCCAACTAAGATTTATTTGTATACCAAAGGTAAGTAATAAATTATCTTATCATTTAATTAGCTCATGTCTGTCTTTGTAATTGACCAAAATTCAAACAACAGTACAAAACTTCAGTTCAGCCAGTGTGTATGCTCTTATGCAATTCACTATTTCTCAGATACATTATAATGGTATATGATCATTTACAAGATCAATATATCGCATATTTATCTACCTAACCACTGATAAAATGTTAATTACACGTTCAATAAAACTATAACTACTTAGAATTTATAGTAATATATTGGTCTTAATGGTATCGTATAAACAGTGCAGCTTTAAATTGGCAGATATTCCTGGATGTTTTCTTCTTAAATAACACAGAAAAATATCCTGAAACACCAAATAAATGTTCTGTAGTTCAATCATCAAAGTTCAGTCGTATGGTGTCATAAAGATTCATAGTGTGATCGTTTGACCAAATCGAACATGCGATGACGATGAGTCGGCATAAAGTACGACTGAGATTCCTTAAAACTTTCAGAAAAGTTAAAACATACCTTGCTTTTGCTATTTTATAAACTACGCATCAGATTGAACAGCCTCAATTGAAAAAAATCGACGTTTTCCAGTCTTCACTTCGCATCTTACCATATAGTTTTATATACCGCTGCCAGCTATTGACTGGCCAGGAAGATGGCGGATTTGGAGCATGCGCATGAAAAATTAGCGACAAGTTAACTCAAGAGTGGCCCTTCTGTATAGTACATATTCTGTGGCCAAGACAAGAGTCGCTCCTATCAAACAACAGAACATACCACGACTTGAATTGCTAGGCGCAACTACCTTAGCAAGATTAGTCGATTCGATATTGAAAGCGCTGACTTCAATAAAATGTATCACTGACCTATGGACGGATTAATTTACCACATTTTGTTGGATTCAAAATCATAAACTGTGGAAGTCGTATGTACAGAACCGCGTAAACGAAATCAGAAAGTTAACTAATAGTTATAAATGGAGGCACTGCCCTGGGGTAATAAACTCTGCTGACTTGCCTTCTTGTGAGTGTTCCGGAAGTGAACTTCTGCGATCTGGAATCTGGTGGAATGGTCAGCAGTTTTTCCAAGTTACTGAAGACAAATGCCTCGAAGACCTTCAACCTACAAAATTGGATGAGAGCCATTGCTACACAGAAATAATACAAAATCCTCTTCCAATAACACAATCCTTGACTTTAATATCGCTTCCCGACCGTAATTCCATCCACTTGGAGTAGATTATTGACCAAGACAGATATGGTACGAAGAAGAAACTACTTCGTGTCACAGCACAAATCTTAAAGTGGTTATATCACGAATTTTAGCCCCCCTTTTTTATGAGCTTAATTGAAAATTTGGATTATTTGAAGAACTATGACATGTCGCTGGACTTAGATAAATATAAGTTGCTTAATTTTGCCTCCAAAGTCGGGTACTTTTTGCGAATTTTTTACGACGCCATATTAATACTTGTGACGTAGATAGTTGAACACGTCTGTTTCCGTCAATATAATATTATATTATAGGAGGTGATTTTGTTGTCGTTTTTCTTGTCTCAAAAACAAATAATGACAGTATTTTCAATAAAATATTAAAAAACAAGTTGTCCGGAAAGTATGGCCTCAAATCAGTGCTCAGATAATTCGAATTCGATGTCTGAATGCGTATCTGATTCGAGCTCGGAATCCGTGGGTTATGTCGAGCATTTAAACGACTTCGCATATGACGATGAACCGCTCGCAGGAGATGCTGATGAAGTGCATACTCCAAATGATCCCGATGGAATTCTCCCTGCGACCTAAGAACAACTAAGTGATGGCGTAATTCCACTCGGTGAATGGTAAGTTGTTGTTTTCTCCTGTTTGTAATATACATAAAGTTGCTTTATAAACCACAATGCTCCCACGTTTCAGGTGTAATTGTCAATGCTGTTATACCGATTTGTTAGAAGGCGCATTAGAGTACAGATGCTGTAAGGAAATAGGACCAGCTTTGCAGAAAATGACATTCGATGGCAGCATTGAGAAACTATCATGCATAACACAGCATGCCAAATTTGGGCCTTTAGTTCACGAGGCTGTCCTTGAAAATGTCGGGCCACTATTGAGAGATAGGAATGGACGTGCTTATCGCCGCCAAGCATCACAATCATTAAATATGTAAGATTGTAAATTGTATGAGAAACAATGTTATCATCAACATTGTTTCAAACAAACAAACAAACAACATTTGTATACCGGCCAGTATTAATCCCCGCCGGGGGGGTTGACCGGTCCATGAACTTTTCTACGCCAAACGTCTCTATCTCTCGCCATATCTCTCGTTATACCCATTGCCTTCATATCACTGTTCACAGCATCCATCCATCTCTTTCTCGGTCTACCTCGTCTGCACTCCTTCCCTTCATTGTCCCAACGTTCACTGTGCCTACCCGAAGGGTGACACTTCCACCAACATTCGATCCGGAGATTCTTCGCACCCCCTGCCCACTGAAGGGCTGCCGGGAACTGGGGGCCATGTCTTCTTTTCCAAAGTTCAACAACATCATCAACATTGTTTCATCAACAATAATTAGTCCAACCTTTTTATTTACTTCAGGTACTTGAGAGCTGTGGCATACAGATGGTTGAGAGCTTGTGGCATACAGATGCATTTAACTGAAAAAACTTCAAGTGGACCAGTTGAACATCGCAATCCTTTCTCTATATGGTAAGAATTGTCAAACAATGTAATATCATGAAAGATTTAACAATGTTGAACGTACGTATGTCACTAAACGATAACTTGATTTTACAAATATGCATTGTGTAGCTAATTAAGATTAACAACTAAGATACAGCTTATGTTATGTGGTTTGTTTATCTTATAGGAGGTTGACTCACGTTTACAGATATGTGCGACAGTTTCTATTTTGAATTCGGGCAAATTGCAAGTGAAAGCCTGTGATGCTGTGAAGGCGGTTGTTGAGTACTTTGCAACCAGGGACTCTGAGTGCATCTGTTGAAAAACAAATAAAAGATGAAGTACCTTCATTTGTGCCAGGGTGGATTGCCTACACTTTAAGTAAATATAACTATAGCTTTTTTAAGTAATTAAGCAAGTGAAACAAAATTATTGAAATGTTTTTGCTAGATAACAGCGATATAGCAATAAAAAATTGAGTTTATTGTTTATATAACAGACCTCCGTTGGATGAGCATAGCGTGCGCCTTTACACCGTTATACAGGGACGCCGGAACATCGATAGTTGGGAGGAGGCAAATAGTAAAACATATGTGTTGCCTGCTTACTTTCTTTTGAAATCAATTGTTTTTTACGATCAGTGACTACGAATATACATATGAACATTTGCCCCACCACCAAATTACCGACGCTGCAGCGTCACTGATCGTTATTAGCAAGTATTAAGTCAATATTTAGTAAAATATAAAAACAGTAAAGCAAAAATTATTCTAGATAATTGATTCAACATTGTGGCAACTCAATTGCAACAACAATCTCATTTTGGTTGCCGATACAACCTTAGAAGAATTTGTAAAGCGTGGCTCAAGTAGCCGTCGACTGTGGCAGAGAGGAAGGTTTCAAAACATTGAGAAGTTTTCATTCCTTTGAATATAAATGGAGTGCACTGGACTTTGTTCGTAAGTAACTCATCAAACACAATTTACACTTCATTTTTCGTTTTGCTGAATTTAAAATGTGTAGAATAAGGGCAACCGTAGACAGGGGCGGTCCAGGATTTTTTCCTTGCTAGTCAAAGTGGCCGGAGGCGTTCGTTGCCTAGGGAATGCACCCCCCTGAAAAGGAGTTTTTCCAAAAATAGCTTAAGACTATAGAACTCAGGCCGTTTTGCTCAATATCAGATCTCATCAGCATGCCTAGGATGCAGTTGATTAATGCACTTTATATTCACTGTAACATCCGACATGGACTGCCAGGTCTTTGCAAACCCAACCTTAAAAAAATTCTTTATGATGAGCCACGATAATAAGCAGTTGCGAGCATGCTGATTATTACTGAAGACACACCATCAAAACACAAAACATGCTTAAGTCCATGACAAACGCGAAATGTAGTACACAGATCTTGCAACAATAGAAGAAAAACAATCTACATTTTTAAGCAAAACAAAGTATAGATTTTCCAGTACAATACTTCATATGAAGTAAACTTCGAGTAAAATAGTAAACGCTTATGCTGGTTGAAGCATGTAAGGTAGTAATTTATTTTCAAGCAAGATGTATATTGTTAGAAGTGAGAGCTGTCGATATAAGTTAATGTTTTATGTAATGGAATGAAATGGAGTCAAATAAAAAAAAGGTTTTCTCTTTCAGCTAAAAGCCAATTCAATCTTCCTTTTATCCTTTGCAAACATATTAATAACTTTTTGAATATCCAACTCTATGTCATTCTGAATGCAAAGCAACGCCAAACCATTTAAACGAGTCTCAACCATCCAACTTCGACTATACTCTTTAAGTCTCCTTAAAGCTGAAAACGATCTCTCACACTCACAAGAGGTTACGGGAATGATTCCTAAAATTCTCAACAAAACATTGATATTCTCAAACCCTGGAAAGTTAGTGGCTTTTTGGGTTGAATTAATATTATCAGGAAGACTATCTTGCTCCTTAGATTTCCAATATGTTTCCCGCAATTCAAGCTCACCATCCAAAGCAATAGGATTTGGAAGATCATCAGTAAACATGGTAGCAAATAAAGTGAACTTATCCTGCTAGCGTGCGGATCCAGACTTGGAATGAGAGAGAAAAGAAATTAATTTGGATAGAATTAGATATAAACCATAGTAAACATTAGTAGAAGATTCTTCAAATCTTCTGGCTAACTCCAAATTTAAATGATCGACTAAAGGAATCGTGATAGATCTCTTATAGTAATTTCAAGTGCAGTCAGCAGGGATGTTGCTGCGATTTATCTGACGATGACAAGTACGAGGTTTACCTTCTTCAACATTGACCTTCGCTGCTAAGTCTAAAGCAATTTTATACCATCTAGTATGATAGTTATCGATGTCATTACGCATTGGACGACCTAAGTTTTTTAAAGAATTATCAAATGCAAACCATCTGCAATATCGTTACTAGAAGATTGGAGTAATTGGGTAACAGAAAGAGTAAGGTCGAAGAAGCATCTTGTTATCACGAGGAAAACAATGAACTCAAAACTAGCTAGAAAGTGAAAGAGAGGGCCTGCTTTGCTGGATGTCTCTACATTGCTGTTGCGTTCAAGATTGTAGTACATCTCCCTAAGTGTGAAAACGATTGGCAAAAATAGCTCCTCAAACGTGTCAAGACTTTGAATGCGTTCCACTCACCTAGTTTTGCAAGCACTTTTCAACCTTTTTTTTAAAGAGTGTGGGCAATATTTGGTGATATTGGATTCTAGCAGAAGACGCCTTGTATCAGAAGAATTGAAAAAATTTACGACTTCTTTTACTCTTTCCAAGAGATTTCTATTAGACTGAACAGATGAAGAAATGATGAAGAAATGCTTAAATTAATGGCTATAGCAATGAATGTAGATGGCTTTTTTGTTAAGCGTTTAATATGTGCAACAAGACCATTTATGTGGCCAGAAACAGCACCAGCACCATCGTAACCCTTTCCACGACAATCGTTTATGTCCAAGAAAAGATC